CAGGTCTCGGAGCTTGTCACTCACCACAGATGCCTTAACAATATACTTGTAGGATATGTATTTCTTCATAGAATATTGGAATAGTATGCATTGGAAAGGGTGGAGTAGCTTGCATCTAAGAGGACATCCTCGAAGTCCTGAGTGTAGTATTCTTGATTATTAAATATAATTAAAAACTATGCATTGGAAGTATTGGAGGTTAATTATCCTTTTTTACTTGAGTGTTGCAAAGATATGCGATTATCAGGACTACACTATGGATCCAACAAGGAGGCCTTTCCCTTGTATGGATTCTGAAGAATCCCAGAGAGATCATTATTCTTTTTTAGATTGACTTTCTAAGAACCTGTTCTGCACTTCCACCACTTCAGCACTTGACGTGCACTTGGAGTACTCCTCAAGAAGATCTTCATTTAACTTGTAGAATTCATTTCCATAATTAAATTCGTTAAGAATCTCATAGGCTTCCTCTTTGAAGCCACAGATATACAGCGAAGCACTCAGTGCCTCGGCACAGTTCAGCTTAAAAGGCTTGCCATAGTTTACCGGGTTTGCTGCAACCATAAACGGAAGAAGCCTGTTGTGCTTCCTTGGAAGCCTTTTAAAGTCCACAGAGTCTAACTGTGCCCATGAACAGTCTATAAGCCCTATTCCAAATCTTTCTATGACGTCTCTGTCTGCAGGAGAGATAGACTGATCTGCATCTGGAGAAAGAACCACTCCTTTGAAGTTTTTATTCTTTTTTATTGGCTCAATCTTGTTCTGTTTGATAAGTTTCTTCCCAGAACACTTTTTTGGATCGCACTGCTCAAACTCGTAGATTATCTTCCTCATCCCAGGACTACCCAATTATAAAGACTTTATTCTATGCAGAAGAGACAGAAAGGTTCTTGCTATCCCTTTCCATACTTTCGTCAGGCTCCAGAATCCCCTCAACCATTTTTCTGAAGTTCTCGTACCCTATCTTGTAGATATTTCCCTTCTCTTGGTAAAAAGATGGCTCTCCCCCAACAGCAACCACCCTTGCATCCTCCTTTCTCTGTATTTCTTTGTACACATCAAACGAAACATCCTTCGTCGAAACCACCGTTCTTATGTCGAAACTCGAATATTCAAAGAAAAGAAGCTCGGCAAGAATCTGAGGAAGAGGACGGGCAGAGACAAAGTAGACTGTCTGCTTTGTTCTATGGAGCTTCACAACAGAGTCGTATAGACGTGTTATTCGGCTTTTAAGTAGCCTATCTACACTGTAGAAAAGAGGCGTGCATGTAAACTTGAACCTTTCTGAGCTGTTAAATATCCTTTCAAACCGATGGTATTTGTCCCTCTTCAAGTTCCGAAGTGTAGTTGCTTCATGGCCTTCTCCTCCGTCTTCCTCACCCAAGCTCCCGAGGGTGATGATTCTAGAGCAACTGTTGTCGATGCAAAATAGAATGTCTCTGATCTCGGAGATTCTTCTTGATGTCTCTTCCTTTGCCTGGCATCTTAGCCCTCCAATTCCAAATATGGGATCAAGATCAATCACAAATACACTTCGGACACTAGTCAACCCATCCTTGATTTCGCACACCTCTTTGGTGGTTATTTCAGGGAGCTCAATTAGAAGTGACTTTATCTCTTCTTTTGTGTCGCTTGCTTTGTTGAATTCCCTCTTGATCATCTTGTCTCTTCTTCTGTCTGCTTCAATCTTAGATATTATAAATGAGTTTTCCGTATCTTCAAACATCTTCTCGTAATTTTTCATGCATTGGAAGTGCTTCTTCACATCCTCAAATTTCTCCCTCCTAATCAGGCCCATCTTATAGAGGTAGTAATATGTTGAGTACACATATTGATTGATGTTCTTCCTGTCCTCAATGGAGGGAACGAGTTCATCTGCAGGTGCCTCTACAGCTTCAATCAACCTTACTATAGCAGTGTTCCTTTTTGTCCCAAGTAAGCTTCGGACTTGGTCCCTTAGAGGCTGCTGGATCATCTTCGTTCTTATCTGCTCCTTGTTGTCATTTACAAATGCTTTGTCCTTGCATCTTTCCAAGAGATCCGAAATGTCCATTCCCTTTTCCATTCAAAGGGCTTTGTAAATTCCTGCTTTGTTGGTGCCTCTTCCCTCTTCAACCACATCATTCCTTCACTTCTCCAGAACAACAAATAGACTCTCCTCCTCAGGCCCATGGTCTAGAACCTTGAATCCGGAAGATTTGCAGAGCTCCACCAAATCCTCCATGCCATAAAGATGGTAGTATCTCTTGGCATCATCCCTGAGATTCCATGTTGCAAAATAGTCCTGTTCAGATCCTCCGATGATCTTCGAAAACTTCCTCTTTCCACTTACAGAACTTCCCCACACATATACTAGCATCTTGCCTCCATCTCTCAGGACCCTTCTCATCTCCTCCATCGCCTTCTTCCTCCTACAATCAGTACTAAGATGATGGATCACCCCGACACTCAGCACAAGATCAAAGCTACAATCTACAAAGGGAAGCTCCAAAACATCTCCTCGGATCAGCCCATAGTTCTTTACAGCCTTCCCGTCTCTCAAGAGACCCCAGCAGTAATCCAACCCGACTATTCCCGGCACCAGAAACGATCTTCCGTTTCCACATCCAGCATCAAGCACAATAGAATCGGCTGTCCAGTACCTGTCCAGGAAGGTTTCTGTCATCTTCCAATGCTTCCTCCTTGTTGCCGAAAACTCCCTCGAGTTTTCATTGTAGAATTTGTGTACAAACTCTCCTTCAAACTCGTTTGGATCTTCCATAGTATAGGCTCAGAAGTCAATAAATATTTAAAAGACTCAAATACATATTCTTTACTAAGTTCTATGCTATTTCAAAAGGCCTTTGGCTGCCCTTCTGATCTCGGAATCCGAACTGTCGCATAGCCTACAAACAATTTCTTTTATGCCCTCGTCCATTTCCTGCGCATCTATTCTTTCCAGTGTGCACAACTTCACATTTTCAATCGGGTCCGACAACAGCTTCTTCCCAAACCCCGTTCCGTGGGCCTTATCAAAGGAGAGTGCTGCCTCCACCGAAGTTATCCTATACAGATAGGACTTTGATGAGGAGATGGCTTCTATCTCGGGGAGCCATTCAACCGTCCAGGGATATATCGAAACTAACTCCCCAATTACCTTGGAAGCCTCTGCCCTTACCTCATACACCTTGTCCTTAAGATAGCCAAGAAGATGCCTTCCCAAAAACTCCTTGAGAAGCTTTTCATCCTGCTTCGAGGCACATGAAATAGACTCGAGGATCTCCTTTCTTGTCCTCCAATTAGGTGTGGAGTTGAGGGTGTTTATAAGAGGGATGACAATGCTTTTGTATGTATCCACCCTCTGGACACACAGAAGAGCCTTTTTAACTTCCCAACTTGTATCCGTGATAACATCCTTTAGCATCTCTTGAAACTCCTCTCTGTTTCCTATCATCTGGATGATCAGGGCCCGGACTCCAGGACTACTGTCTTTCAGAAACAACGGAACAAGCCTGTCCCAACCTTCAACGTGCTCCATGTTTCCTGCAAGACATATTCTAATCTCCTCCTCAGGATCCTGGGACAGATGTGAATACACAGCAGCTCGGTCGCTTACATTGAGCCTGCGAATCTCCTTAGCAATTGCATACCTTCTCCTCCAGGATTTCGATGTGCATATCTCAGATACAAACTTTGTCTGTCTCTTTATAAGGGGAATCACACAAGAACTTGCACACTGAATCCATTCCGAGTAGGAGCCATGCAGATCGTTCACAATCTCTACAAGCTCGTCGTCATCAAATGGAATCGTCTTGTATTCCTCTAGCGATAACGCTGCTTTTCTAGCTACTGCTGCAACAGGATCCTTCAAGCATCTTCTCAAAGCCTCCTTTGCCTCCTTGTACTCCATGTTCACAATCAAGGATGGAATAGCTTGTCTTTGTACATAAAATGGTGATTTAAGAAGCTTCTTGATGAATCTGTCCACCTCGTCTGGAAAAGATTCAAATATCCTTCGAATAACAGGTACAATCCTTTCGGGCTCCTCAATAAGAAGAAGCTCACAAATGATTAGATGTCCTTTGTCCGGAGCAAGAGCAGCAAGATACTCGACTAACAACTCGTTGAGCTTTGGATCAACCCCAACAAGTAACTCTAGCTTTTCTACAGATAGATGCATCCGGCCCCTCAACTTTTCCACAAGGTTCGACACTTCGTTGTCAATCATTTCAAAGGGTTTTGAAACAGGAGAATTTCAGGTTGGAGTTATAGGACGGAATCCTATTCCATTTTCTTTTGTGCCATCTATCCTACTCCTTAGTTTGGAATAATTTTATCCATAGCATGAAGTACAAAATAACATCGAAGAGACTTGATGAGAAGATCCTGGCAGTTCATGTGAACGGGGCTGTTTACACAGGCGGAACATCTAGGACATTGGTCAACCAGGATACTGGAGAAGTGATGTGCCGGTGCCGGAAGTCGATAAGATCAATAGCAAGCCATGGAAGGTACATATGCTGTGCAAGCTATGATTGCACTGCAGTGCTGTTCCACGACGGGAAGGTTGTAGATGTCATCGAGGGCCCAGACACAGAGATCAAATGTGTTGGATTTTCCGAGGATGGACGGTATCTAGCCATGGCTACACGAGGAAAGTCGGTGTGGGTGGTGAAGATAGACCCCGAGATAGAAATCGACGAGATTATAGAGGATCATCTTCATGATGTAAAGGGTTGTGTGTTCCATAAGGGATTTCTATTTACATATGGATACGACAACACAATAAAGATCTACGAAAGGTTTGACTACGATGACTCCTGGGAACTTGTGCAGTCGATCAGTGAGAAAAATACAGTATGGTGTGTTATATTTCACGGGGATAAAATGGTATGTTCCACCGAGGAAGGGACGATCAGCTCGTATGTGCTGAGAAATGGGTGGGAGCTCGAGGCATGCAAGAAGTTGTCGATATTTCCTATCTATTCGATTTGTAGTGTTGGGAGGGATATGGCATACGTTTTGAACAGAAACAACATCGGGATTATCGACAGTAACCTGAACCTTACCACGACTATTGAGGATATACATGAAGACTTCATAAATGGAATTGCATATGATGAAGGACGAGGCAGGATAATCAGTGGAGGAGACGATGGGATTCTGAATGTGATCGAGATGTTTTAGAATCCTTTTTTAAAAAGGCGATAAAATTTTGCCCCTAAAGAAAGGATGCAATTGACAAGGAAGACTAATCAACTGGCTATTCCTGATCTCTCAGGAAAGGTAACTGTGAAGGATCTACTGGAGGCTTTTTCGAAGTATGAAAAGGAAATGTAAGTGAAGATAAAGTATCCTTGGTTCGTGAAACTGAGCCATGATGAGAACTTTGGGCAGATACTAACTTTTAGAACAAGCGTCAAGCTTAGCAAGCAAAGGAGATCAAGAGATGAGGATCTCAAGGTTGGATATGTTGAGTTTGAAACGGTTGAGGATACGGAAAAGGCCTATGGAGAGGGAAGCATCAAGGTTGGGGGAGAGATGAAGGCTCTACACTATGCAAAGAGAAAGGACCAAAGAATGAGAGAACGGGTTGTTGTTTCTAACAAGAAGGTGTATATTTCTGGAATTCCCGAGGATACCGACAAGGACGAGCTTTCTGCACTCTTGGGAAATTGCAGGATATCTGGAGGAGACAAGGGCAAAAGCTATCTTTTTGCAGAGTATGACAACAGCGAGGAACAGGAGAAGGCACTGAACAGAATCAATAACTCGAAGATCAAAGGCTCTAAGTTGTTTGCAACTCAAGCATATGAAAAGGCAAACATTGGAAGAACTGGTAGAAAGAGGAGCGATTCCAATTAAACAGGTTTTAGTTTTTACACTATGTTCTAGGCAGTCCGTTACTCCTGGGGTTTGATTATATTTTTTCAGCTTTCTGGCCGTGAGATGTCTTGCTTTGACTCCACGCTTGTGGTGGAAACAGACGCAGTGAAGGATTTCAAGCTTCCCCACACACGGCAGATGATTCTTGTGAAGAATGTGTCTTCTATCCAGAGTTCCCCATTTCCCAAGTATCTCCATGTGTTTGGTAGAAGCTGTATGTCCTATCAGCTTGCTCCATTCAAGTTGCTCAGAACTTTTGAGTACAGCGAAGATGTGATGGATGCAGTGGCCATCCGAGGCAAGATGGCTGTTCTCTCTAGAGACTCGATAGTTGTCTGGAACAAAGGGAAAGAGCAAGTTATTGCAGGGAAGTTTGATGGAAGACTCTCAGAAGTAGACGGGTGCCTCGGAGTTCAGGAACGGGCCAAGTTGTCGGTGTATTCGTTGGAGACGTTGGAGGTGATGAAGGTGTACAAGGCAAATGCCCACTGTTCAATAAGAGACGTGCTTGTGACATCTCTGGATAATCTGGTTTCTTTGTACTTCAAGGGGGGAAAGATACTTGAGATTTCGATGCCGGAGGCAATATGTAAGCTGTGCACCGACCCACTACTTACAAACATATACTGTGGAACAGGTAGTGGAACCATATTCTGCTGCAACACAAGCAATGGAGAGCCAAGTAGTATGAAGTACCATAGAAGCCAGGTTGTGGGGCTGGGCATAAGTTTCTGTGGAAAGTACTTGTACTCTGCAGACATGGAGGGTCTTGTGTGCATATGGGATACAAAGTTCAACACGGTGGTTGGAAAAGTGTCCATGGAGTCGGAAATAAGGAGGATGAAAGTGGTATATGTCTCCGAGTGGAGAAAAGCTCTGGACACGCCAGAGGATGATCTAATAATTCCAGGGGGGACAACAAAATAAAAACGGTGAAGAGACCAAAGGTTTTATTATATTGATCAGATATTTAAAAAGTACAGGACATACGTCTCTAGAGTAGTACAGTCAGCAACACTTACTATTAACCTTTCTATTTGGATTCCCGCGAGAGGAAAGAGGGCTGTCAATGTCCCATTTTTGGCCTAGTGCCTGCTTCTTAAGGAGGATCATTGCCATGTCTTCAAAGATGTTGTTTACATTTTCTCCTGTCTTGGCACTTGTAGTGTAGTACCTTGCCTTCATTTCATCTGCCTTCTCTCTGAACCTACCTTCCATTGCTTTGTACGAAGCGCTGTCCACCTTGTCCCTTTTGTTTCCAACAAGAAACAAGGGAACACCTCCAGTCTCTTCTCTTATACGCCCAAACCATCTGTCCACACACGAGAATGTTCTTTCGTCACTGATGTCAAAAATAAGGAGTATCCCGTCTGCATTTCTATAGTAGCTCTTTGTTATAGAGAAAAACCTCTCCTGCCCGGCGGTGTCCCAGATGTTAAGCATAATGTTCTTCCCGTTCAGAACTATACTCTTGGAGACTGTGTCCACTCCAATTGTTGTCATCAAAGACTGCTTGAAGTCGTCTTCCTTGTACTTGTGGAGAAGACATGTCTTCCCTACATCGCTTTCTCCTAAGACTATTATCTTGTAGCGGTAGTCTATCCGTGGAGCAGCCATTCTGATTAGGGGCTTTGCTGTTATTTGCAATTGATCCTATCCTAGAAACCTGATTCTTTGTGATTGAGGTATTTGCAGCAGGCAGGCCAAGATGAGTCAAAACAAACCAATGTGTGATGTGATCTCCTTAAGAACAAATAAAAGAAAATTGACATCGATATAATAGGAAGCCGAGAATAAGGGTTATGACGGATTTGATGGGGAGATTTCGGCACATATCGAAGGAACAGAGAAGAAGATACCCTCCCAACATTATAAGGAACCAGAAGTACAAGTGGTATACGTTTATATTTGCGGTTCTTAGGCTGCAGTTCAGCCACTTCTTCAATACATTTCTTTTTTTTGTGTGCATGACGCAGTTGAAGAAAGAGTATCTTGTGTCCTCTCTTGTGGCTTCTGTCGGGCCCTGGGCGATGGTTCTCATGTTTTCACTTTTCAAAGAGGGAGTGGAGGACTACAAGAGGTATGAGAGAGACAAGGTTACTAACAATCAGTTGTACGCAAAGCTCACAAGCCAGGGGTTTGTCCGGGTGCCCAGCTCTCGGATAGAAGTTGGAGATCTGATCCTTCTGGAGAAGAATGAGCGTGTTCCTGCAGATATGGTTCTCTTGAAGGCTTCAGACGTGTCTGGAAATGTGTTTGTAAGAACAGACCAGCTGGATGGAGAGACGGACTGGAAGTTGAAGTTGTCGATTCCAAGGATACAGTCAGCAACATTTGACGAGGTTCGGAGATTGAGTATACTTGCAGAGCAACCAAACAAAAACATATACTCATTTGTAGGGAAGATTAAGATAGGAAGATTTTCACCGGAAGAGCTTGAGGAAGTTGAAGAAGAAGATGGAGAGAAAGAAAGGTTTGCAAGCTGGCTGGAAAGGTTTTTAGAGTTTGACTTTGGTAGAGAGGAGTCGGAAGCTGACGAGATGGAGAAGCCTAGAGACGTCTCTTGGGTCTATTCCTCGTCTACCCAGAGCAGTGAGGAGAATGGGTCTCGAGAGAACAGTCTGAAGACCCCTAGCGAGGTAAGTGAGAATTCTGTCTCTTCGGAGACGGCAGAAGGCCTTGAAGTGGGAAACGAAAGCAACATAGGAAGCGAAGCAGGGGACATTGATGCAAGTTTGAGAGACCAAGAGGGAGGAGAGAACATTGCTGAGGTGCTTAACTGCGAGAATATGCTATGGATGAATACAGTTGTTGCAACATGCTCAGTTCTTGGGTGTGTTGTATACACGGGAAAGGATGCAAAAGCAATGCTCAACACCACTCAGCCAAGAAATAAGATAGGAAAAATAGAACTGGAGTTGAACGGATATATGAAGGTGCTAGGGATTGGATGCATGGTGCTTGCGGGAGTGTTTACATACATGCGGGGGCTTGAATCAAGACCCGACATTATATTTATCCGGTTTCTTGTGCTGTTTTCGTCGGTGATACCTATTTCTTTGAGGATCACAGTGGATTGGGCGAGATACTGCTATGGGCGATACATAAGCAGGGATGAGAAGATAGAAGGAGCAATGATGCGATCAAATGGACTGCCTGAGGAGCTTGGGAGAGTGTCGTACTTCCTTACAGACAAGACAGGGACACTGACCAAGAATGAGATGGAAATGAAGAAAATACATCTTGGGACGATATGTTACACAAAGGAGCTAAACAGGGAGATCAGTAAGAATCTGGCCAAGGTGCTTAACAGCAGAAGCGATGGAAAAAAGGTGTTTTCCAGAGGTAAGAAGAACATCAACGCAAGGGTATACGACCTGGTCCAAGCACTTAGTGTTTGCCATAATGTTACACCTGTTGTTTCTGAGAACGAGGTAAGCTATCAAGCGTCAAGCCCCGATGAGGTTGCAATTGTCCAGTGGACAGAGTGTGTGGGAATGAAGCTATATAAAAGGGATCGGTCGACGATAGTTATAAGAGACCCTCTGAATGATGAACAAGAGTACCGGGTGCTCTATACTTTTCCATTCACCAGCGAGACAAAGAGAATGGGGATTATTGTAAGGTACAACGAGGAGATAATATTCTTTTTGAAGGGGGCTGATGTGGTGATGAAAAAGATAGTAAAAGGCAACGATTGGGTTGAGGAAGAGGCAGATAACATGGCCCGGGATGGGTTAAGAACACTTGTCATAGCAAAGAAGGTTCTCAGCAAGAAGGAGTTTGAGACCTTTGAGGAAATGTACAACAAAGCGTGGATGAGTCTAGTCGATAGGGCTGAGGCAATAAACAAAGCAATGGAAACCATTGAGAACGACATGAGTGTTCTTGGGATAACAGGGGTTGAAGACAAGCTTCAGGAAGATGTTAAGGTTACACTCGAGAATCTAAGGAATGCAGAAATGAAGATTTGGATGCTTACAGGAGACAAGATAGAGACAGCCATTTCTATTGCAAGGTCCTCGCGGATCTTCCATAGAGGAACCTCATACCTGGTGATCAGCAATGCAAGTTCTGTGGGAGATGTTAAGACAAAGCTTGACCTGCTCCGCGGCTCTGGATACAACTCCCTAGTTATCGACGGCCAAAGCTTGTCGTTTGTAATTGAGAGCTGCATGGACGAATTTATTGAGGTTGTCTCGGGGTTAGAATCTGTGGTAGGGTGTCGGTACACTCCCACACAGAAGGCGGCAGTTGCAAGAGAATTGAAGAGAAAGACCAAGAAATGTGTGTGCTGCATCGGAGATGGAGGGAACGACGTCTCGATGATAACGGAAGCAAATGTGGGAATAGGAATAGTGGGGAAGGAGGGAAACCAAGCATCGCTGGCTGCAGACTTCAGTATAAATAAGTTTTGCCATGTGTCGGACCTTCTCTTCTGGCACGGGAGAAATTCGTATCAAAGAACAGCAAAGATAGCCCATCTGATAATTCACAGAGGGCTTACCCTTACTGTGATTCAGGCAATTTTCTGCTCTCTCATCTACTTTGTCCCGGTGGGTCTTTTCCGAGGAGAGCTTCTTATGATGTTTATAACAGTCTACACCTTTCTTCCAATATTTTCCATCATATGCTCAAGCGATATAAGCAGAAGCGTTGTCGTCAAGTTTCCAGAGCTCTACAAGGAACTGGTGGAGAACAAGCTCCTGTCGTTTAGACATTTTTCGGTATGGATCCTGATATCATTTTACCAGGGAACAATCATGATGATAACATTCTATCTTCTGAAACAAGAGTTCTTTATTATTTCGACACTGACCTTCACAAGCCTAATAATCAACGAGCTTCTGATGGTGATACTAACAACCACTCGGATGACGTCCTTGGTGTTTATATCTTCTGGGATGTCACTTGCCATCTATGTCGTTTACTTTATCCTTAGAAAAGGTCTTCTAAGATACCAGAAGCCTTTTTATCTCTTTCTGTTGAAGATTGTGGTTGTAAACGCTCTTGCAATACTGGTCAGTGTAATCCAGAAGCTCTGGACCAAGTATATGAGCCCTCCAACCTACTCAAAACTAGAGGTTTTGGTATGAGCTTCTGGCTTATCAATAAATACAGGTAATTAGAAGAAGGCACTTTAAAACTAAGCATTCAAGGAGGGCTGTTTTAATCTGTTGAGGAGACTTGTTCCCGTTCTGTCCCTGTCTTGACAATTTCTCCAAAGAACAGATTCAGGAGGAATCTTGCAATTGAAGTATGATATATCCTGTAGAAAGGATTACATCTGAGATCCAGCATTCTCAAAGAGCCTATCCCCTCCTTCCTAAGCTTCAAGAGATACCATGGGAAAAACCTTAATCTGTTATTAGATAGATTGAGTACCTTCAGATTCTTCATATTTTTCATCGAGCGCGGGAGCCTTCTTATCCTATTGTTAGAAGCATCTACCTCTTCAATCCACTCCAGACACCCAAAATCTGAGGGTAATTCCTTCAGCTTATTATCTGAAAGATCGAGTTTCCTGATCTTCTTGTTCCTTTTCAGGGCCTCCATCATTTCAGGAGATATGAACTCAAGGTCCATATCATGGAGATCGCAGATTTTCAAATCTTCTAAGTTTTTAATGATACTTAGTGCTTCGTTCATATTGTCTGAGCACAAGACATGCATCAGAAAAAAAGGCAAAATGCTGATCCTGAGTTTAGTATTCATTAGAAGGGAGAATTTTTGCTTTATTTTAATAAAAATTTAATTCTACTACATAAAAGTCTAATCTACCATCTTCTAACTCTTGGGTACTCCTCGTCCCTCCTTCCCTTCGTTCGCTTAGAATGGTTGTGGTTTCCTTGTCCATCCAATCTTCTTCTAGACATTCCATAACTTTCATGAGGATTTCCGTTTCTTATCGGCCCCTTTCTCAGGTTCTCTCCCGAGGCTTTGGCCCCACCATCAAACCAAGTGCTTTTTGTTCCTTTCTCTCCATACAATAGTCCCTGGGATTCAAACAATTCCTCTGCAAGATCGGTAGACACTCGGGCAGAGTGTATGAAACCACACTTCTCTCCCTTTTCGCACTTCTCCTTCTCATTGTCTGTGCACATTCCATCGTCTATCCTGTAGCAGTTTCCAAGTTCTGCAGCTATTCTCCTCCCGCTGTAGTATCTCTTTCCAATTTCTTCAACACATCTTAGTGCTGTCTTCTCTTCTTCAAACTCAATGTAGATATTTCCTAGGAGCTGGGAAGAGCTGTTGGAAGCAATAACAAGTCTTCGAATGGACCCATATCTTATAGACAGCTCGGAAAACCAATCTTCGTAGAAAAGATCAAGATGGATCTGGATGGATTCCTTGCTCAGTGTGGATTCTGGATCATTCTTAGGATACAAGTACATTCCTTTTACAACAACAACCTTGCCTCTTATAGGAATCCGATGGGCTTTTGTGCACTCAAGACCATATCTGCATGCATTGGTTTTTGAGTAAAAAAGACATGTGTCTCTCCCTGTAGCCATTTGCTCTGGGGACTCTCGGCCGATGAAATTCTGCAGAGATTTGATATAAACTCAAATTTCTTCCCTATAAAGGCATTATGGAGAGCGAAGTAAAAATTTCCATTACAACCTTGGCAAAGGAAATCTATTCTGGAGTTCTTGGTAGATACGCATCTGGGAAATACGTTATTCTGAAGAATGTGGTCCGAAGGCATCCGGGATCTACTGATAACAGGAGAGATGTCTTTGTCTATCCAGTCATGAGGTTTAAGATAGAAAATATCGGAGAAATCGGAATCACATGGACTCCAAACAGTGGTGGAAAGGAGAATGGGCTTCTGGTTTTGGAAAGCTTGGGGAGTAAGGCTAGAATTCTTGAGGCCGGGGGAGATAAAGGGATATGTTCAAGGTCCAGTGGAAGCCCGGAGGGTCTGGAAGGAACCAGAGGCGAAGTGGTGGAAAGGATTCTGGATACGCATAGGAGTCCTAGGATAGAGAGGTTGTTTAGGAGGCTTGACCTAGACTGTATGCCCAGCAGAGCAACCCGGCAAATAAGATGATTTCGTTTGGTGAATAAACATCTCTGCTGCAGAACATTGGGCTGACTTCTCCTGGAGAGTCCCTGAGATATACCCTTTTATTATGACAAATCATCTAATTGATAAAGCTAAGTTTAAAGAAACCAAGTCTATGGGTTTCAATGTCAACAACAAACAGTGATGAAGACCAGAAGAGGATTCTTTACGAGTCTCTTTGCACAGTCGAGGCTGAGAACCTAAGCGAGGCGTGCACCAACGCCATAGAAGGGAAACGAACAGAGACGGGAAAAAAAGCTCATATCATAAGATTTATTGGAGAGATGTGCTGCTGTGGAGACATGTTTGACACAGATGCATTTATAAACGAGTCTGTTTTTTCAGCCATGGCATATATAGAAAAGGACATTTCCGGCGTCAAGGATGTGTTCATCAGTGCCGAGTCGGAGGAAAACTCTAACAACTGTGCAAAGTTACTTGAACTGAATGAGAAGATAGAGTATTCCTCTGTCCATCCAAAGGATGTTGCAATGGGATTCCGAATTTATACTGAGGAAAACATAAAGAACGTAATCCCGCACAATGTTCGAAAAAAGGTTATTGAAGCGTACAGGAACAATGATGAGGAAAAGAAGAAAACAATAATCCCTCGAATCCCGTTTGTGATAGGAGATTCGAAGAGGATGTTTCTTAAGTCTCTGAAAAGCATTTTCCTTGCGATCGAGGCAAACAATAAGGACGAGGGAGCTAATGTGGAGAAGATATACAGGATATTTGGGTCCCTTATTATAAGAAGGCCTGATGGGATGCTTGACACAGATGGAGAAACATTGAAGATGATACTGATGGACTTGATGAAAGCCGATTTTGATGAATTCCCTGTTTCATTCTACTCATGAAGGGCTGTCACCTTAGGATGTTTGAACTTTATAATAAATCAGCTTCTATGTCTGAAAATGCAAAAGGACGTTCCGGGTGGGACTCGAACCCACGACCTCAGCTTTAGGAGAGCCGCGCTCTACCAACTGAGCTACAGGAACTGTACCATGGCAGGGGAGGTTCCATCACGCCGACTCTGCCTGGACGGGGATTCTAAAGGATACATTGTGCCACCAAACACTATCCCCAGGATGGCAAAGAACAGTAACATAGCAATCCATAGTCATGTAAAGTCCCTGGGCCTAGACAATCTTGGGAGGCCTCTGGACGTGCCGGATGCGGTGGTTGGACAGGAAGATGCACGAGAAGCTGCAGGTCTCATAGTAGAAATGGTTAGGACAAAGAAGATGTCTGGTAGAGCAGTACTTATATCCGGGCCTGCAGGGTGTGGGAAAACTGCTCTTGCTGTTGGAATCAGCGAGGAGCTAGGCCCTGGAACTCCATTTACCTCGATGAGTGGTAGCGAGATATACTCCAGCGAAGTGAAGAAGACCGAGGTCCTTGAAGAGGCTCTGAGAAGATCAATTCTTGTGCGGATGAGAGAATTGAAGGATGTTTATGAGGGAGAGATAGTTGATCTTCGGATTGTGGATGAGGAAAATCCATTGAGTACTCATGGTAGAAGAGTTAAGGAGATATTTGTTACTTTAAAGACAAGCAAGGAGTCAAAGAAACTTAAGCTTGCACCATCTCTCTATGAGCAGATAGATAAGCAAAGGATAGTCAATGGGGATGTTGTTTACATCGAAGTCAATTCAGGAGTTATCAAGAAGTTAGGGAGGAGCGAGGCTCACATGAATGACTTTGATCTTGAAGCCGAAGCTTATGTCCCTATTCCAAAGGGAGAAGTTCTGAAGAGAAAAGAGGTGGTACAATCTGTAACGCTTCACGACTTGGATATGGCAAATGCCCGGCCTTCTGGACAAGACATGCTTTCGCTTGTTTTCCGGATACTGAGTCCCAAGAAGACAGAAATAACAGAAAGACTAAGAAGCGATGTCAACAAGATGGTGAACGAATATCTTGAGAAGGGGAATGCCGAGATTGTTCCTGGAGTTCTCTTTATTGACGAGGTCCATATGCTTGACATTGAATGCTTCACCTTCCTCCACAAGGTCATCGAGTCTCCGCTCAGCCCAACAATAGTATTTGCCTCTAACAGAGGAATGGCTCCAATTAAAGGAAGTGGAGGGCTCCTCGGGCCCTTTGGAATTACCAAGGACTTGCTTGATAGAGTTGTGATTATCAGTGTAAAGAGCAACTCAAGCGAGTCAAACAGAAAGATTATCGAGATGAGGTTGAAGGAAGAAGGGCTTGAGATGGATGACGACGGACTTGTGTTTCTTGCAAGCTTGAGCTCTTCAAGGGGGCTGAGATATTGCATAAGTCTTATTCCTCTGCTGAAAACATACGGAAGGAGTGTTGGAGTTAGGGATGTGGAGGAGGTGAGTGAATTGTTCCATGACGGTTAACTTTTGGCGATTAAATAGTTTAATTATCCCCCCTGTTTAGGATGATTCTGTGCTGTAAATGTGGAATACTTATCGAGCCGAGACTGATGAACATGTGTGACAGATGTCTTGTAACTGAAGTCACAATATCTTCCAAGGTAAAGAGAAATCTTGTTGTGGAACGCTGCAGAGGCTGCGAGCGGTATCTTCAGCCTCCAAAGAGTTGGGAGGGATTTTCTTGGGGATCGAAGGAGCTTCTTCTTTTTTTGATAAAGAAGAACAAAACACTCAACGGTCTCTGCATTGTGGACTCGAATTTTGTGTACACAGAACCGAATTCCAAAAGGATTGTGGTGGCACTCACAGTGTCGGAGTGTGGAGTGGAACAGCCTTTGGAGATCAAGTATGTGATTAAGAACATGCAGTGTTCGGATTGTGCAAAGGTGGAGGCAAAGCAGTTCTGGAACAGCCTGGTGCAAGTCCGGCACAGAGGAAGACACAAAAGGATGATGATATATCTAGAGCATCTTGTTCTGAAGAATAATGCATATGGAGATACCAGCAATATAAAACAAAGAAAAGAAGGACTGGACTTCTATTATATCGATCGAAATGCAGCGTCCAGAATGGTAAGTTTTCTGCAAAGTGTTCTTCCAGTCAAGACCAAGGTATCTGAAAGGCTGATAAGCAAGGATGTTCATACCAGTAAATGCAACTACAAGTTCAGCTATTCTGTTGAGATTGCACCTCTATGCAAAGATGATTTGGTTGTTGTTGGGAGAAGCCTTTCGCAGAGTCTTGGGATTGGGAGTCTAGTTCTTGTCCAAAAGATAGCCACAAGCATTGTCCTTTTTGATGTGGGATTGATGAAGAGTGTTAGGATTGCAGGGTCGTTTTACTGGAGTAACCAAGATGAATTCAAAGTGCTGATGAGTTCGAAAGACTTCACTAAATATTCTGTTGTGATGAGGGATGAAAGAAGAAGGAAAGGAGGAATAGGATACGACCTCACTGTGACATCCGATGGAAGTGTGTTTTCCGAGGCCAGATTTCATCTTGGGAATGTAGAGGAGGATGATGAGATTCTGGGGTATGATCTTCGGCATTTGAACTTAACTGTGGAGTGTGAAGAGAAACCCGAAGTTGTTCTTGTGAGGAAGATGCCCCGAGACGATGTTGTATGGAAAATAGATGTTCCACAAGAAAGCCAAATGGAGTACAGGTTGTTTGTAGAGGATGTGGAGAATGACAAAGAGATGGTTGAAGGCCTTTGTTTGGTTGAAGAGAAAGGGGGAATAGACAAAAAAATAGAGGCATTCCGAGTTAGCTGAGGATCTATGGGCAAATTGGCCATGCCGAATTGGGATATATAATGGATACTTCCAAAGGCCTTGAAATGAAAGGAGGAGAACTAGAAAAAGCCTTGGACAAAAATGAAAACCTAATAGTTTCGAAGGAGGGATGTCCATTCTGCCTAGATGCAGTAGAGATATTAAATGAATGGAAGATAAAGTTTGATGAGGTGAGAAACATAGAGAATGAAGAACTCTCGAAGGAGATAGAAAGGAGGTATGGGATCTCCACATTCCCGAAGATTTTCCTTAAGAGACGATTTGTTGGGGGAGCAAGCGACTTGAGGAAGTATGTAACAAAAAAAGAGTTTGTTGATGCCTTTGGTTCTGAAAGAAAATAAAATTTGCATTGGTCTTATTTTTGGTGTTCCAAGGAAAAAAGGAAAATTCGTATAGCCCTGAAATGGAAAATTTAAGATTTGAGGAGACACCCACCAGTCCAAAGGACATAAGACCTGGAAACTATATTAAGGTTGAGGTTAATGGACAGATGAGGTCTGCACAGGTTGTTGATACCTCTTCTGTAAAGAACGGCAAGCATGGAGCGGCAAAGACAACGATTGCATCAAAGATCCTCTGCACGGGATCGAACCACAAGGGCATATATACTGCAAACGATTCCATCATTGTGTGCAGGCCTGAGAAGGTCCAGCTCAAGTTAATTGATATTAGCGGATCGACAATAACGTTTTCCGATAGTAACGGGTCATTTGACTCTGTCGACGTTTCTGGGAAGATGAGCTCTGAGGATATCAGCAAGATTGCTCAAAGTGTTGAGGGGTCTAGCAGCGAGAGCTTTGATCTTTCCCTTCGAGTGCTTCCAGACTTCTACAAGCTAGAATCGATCAGGAAATCAGGAGGACCGTCTGGCTCTACTGCAGGAGGATGAATTTCCAGGAGGCGGGATTTGGATAATGTTCTGCCCAAATACTTTCAATAAAACCTTTTCTGGATGGATTTTTAGCTCCAATGATTTATCTTTTTCTCTGTATCCCTGAGAATGAACCAAGTCAGTGAGTTGCGGAAGTTTGAGACATCTATAAATTACCAGTTGGACAAAGATAGACTGAGTAAGTTTTTGCTCTTCCATGAGGAGGATGGAGAATTAACCTATGTCAATCGGATCCGAGAGTCTGAGGGGTGTGTTGAGATTGACACTGAGGACATAGCAGTATACGATGACAGTGGACTTGTGAGTAGAATTGAGGGGAATGCAATGTCTTATATGAACCTGTTGTACACGGTGATAGACGAGATTTTGCTTGAGAATGGAGAAGCTTTTGGTGGAGAAGAGCCGGAAGATGTCTTTTTCCACCACAGAGTTTCAAGGCTTAAGGAGAGATTTCCTGAGAAGAATGTGATGGATGTGTTTCCTCCGTTTCTATTGAGAAGATACTCTTTGGTGTTGAAGCCGCGGAGAAATTCCAGGGTGTACTCTGTCCGGGGGCTGAAGTCGATGCATATTGGATCTCTAGTGAGGGTAAGCGGGGTTGTCACCAAGGCTAGCCAGGTGAAGCCAAGTATCCGAGTTGCAACATACATCTGTGAGAACTGTGGTGCAGAAACGTACCAGCAGGTGGAGGGAGATGTGTTTGATCTATTAGAAGAATGTGGAAGTGAAAAATGCAGGATTAGGAATGTTCGGGGAACTTTGGTTCTTGTTACAAGAGGGTCGAAGTTTATTAAGCATCAAACGGTATACATCCAAGAGCTTACGGGGGACATTCCACGGGGATGTATTCCAAGAACCTTGGTAATGGAGTGTTACTCTTCTCTTGCCGAAAAGTGCAGGCCTGGAGATGTGGTGGTGGCTGGGGGAGTCTTTATGCCCAAGCCATATCATGGAATAAAGAAGTTGAAGGCTGGGTTACTTGCAGATACTTATCTCCATGCAACTAGTATTGAGAGGGTTGGGACAAGTGCTCCGAAGCTCAGTGGAAAAGTGAAAAAGTATCCTGTGGAGCAGATGGTAAGATCTATAGCGCCGGAGATCTTCGGGATGGAGGATATAAAAAAGATCTTACTTCTGATGCTTGTAGGAGCACCTGGAAAAGTTCGTTCTGATGGAATGAGAATAAGAGGAGACATCAACGTATTACTTGTGGGAGATCCCGGAATTGCAAAAAGTCAGCTCTTGAAAACATGTGTGAAGATAAGCAGAAGGGGAGTGTACACAACAGGGAAGGGATCAAGTGGAGTTGGTCTTACGGCAAGTGTCACTAAGGACCAGATTACTGGAGAGATGGTTCTTGAAGGAGGAGCTCTAGTACTTGCAGATGGAGGGATATGCTGTATTGATGAGCTGGACAAGATGAACGAGGTGGATAGAATCAGCATCCATGAGGTTATGGAACAACAGAGTGTATCGATCAGTAAGGCAGGAATCAACACAAGCTTAAATGCGAGATGCTGTGTCCTTGGGGCAGCCAACCCTGTAAGAGGAAAATACGATATAAGGCAGAGCGTTGAATATAACATTGGTCTTCCATGTGCTCTTCTTTCCAGATTTGATGTAGTTGCCATCCTCCGAGACGAACCTGATTTGGAAAGAGATGAAAGCCTTGCCAACCATATCACATCTCTCCATCTGGAAGAGGAAACCGAGTCTATTTCTTACGATGAAATCCGGCAAGTTATTGACGAGGCCAAGAGAATAGACCCTGTCCTTCCACTCCACCTTTCGAACAGGCTAACAGATGCATATGTGAAGGCCAGGAAGGAAAGTCCTTATGTGACACCCAGATATCTCTTGTCATTGATAAGATTAAGCTTGGCACACTGCAGACTCCGTCTTTCAACGGAAGTGGAGGAAGATGATATTAATGAAGCATTAAGACTTATGGAAGTAACAAAAATTCCTATTCCAAAGAAAAAGAGAGAAGAGGTTTCCAGTAAGAGGGAGATATACAATCTTATTCTCTCTCTTGCCATTGAAGAAGGAAACAAAAGATATGTAAAGCTAGCACGTCTTTGGGAGGCTACCAAGAACAAGTACAGTACTAGCGAAGTCGAAGATGTTATTTCTGATTTTGCCTCGTGTGGAATTTGGATAAGAAATAACGAAGAGCTAGTTATTTTCAATTAAAGGATGCCATGAAAAGAAATAGTTTTTAATAGAAGTATCCAAGGATTCTTCCTCCAACATTTTCTGTCAGACATTCCTTGTGGTCGAGGATACCTTTGGATGTATTGAACAGGACATGTCCGAACTGTCTAGCAGGAAGAAGCCTCTCTCTGAAGTTCTCAATCCCATCTCGCTTAACGATGTAGTTAGGAGAAATAGCTCCGCATCTGTTAAGCCTGCCGTTCAGGTCGATAATGCTCTTTCCACTTCTTTTGTCATGTATATAGGAAAACCCTGAGATATAGCCGTACTTCAGCATCTGGAGAAGAAACATACGCATCTCCTCTGTTGAGAACTTCAGGAGGAGCTGTCTCTTTCCTGCTCTACTGGCATTGTTGATAGCCTTGCACATGTTGGCCAATTCTGCGCTCATTTCAAGGGGCAAATTTTTCTCTGGATAATTTGCTCCTATTGCTAAGGCAACAGTACAAGTGACATGAATAATCCGGGTATCCAACACCCATGATCTTCCTCCTTATTTTCACTGTTGTGCTGGCAATCTTCATTAGAATTGTAGCACACCTCATCACAAGAAGGGGACCTAGGGTGATAAAGTTTGTTGGACCTCGTGGAGCAGGAAAGACCAAGACACTTAATGCACTGATGGGAATTCATGGTAGGACAGTCCCCACCCTTGAGAGCTACAAGGTAATATATAAAGGTATGGAAATACATGATGTAATTCCAAAGGATGGAAGCTTTTTTGAAAGATATGGCATTGATGATCCGTCGGCAACCTATTTCTTCTTCTTAAGAAGTATGGACGATTCTTATGGAATTCCGGGGGCAAAAGGATTGAATGTAAGACTTGTATATTGTCAGCCATATGATGGCAAAGAGGCCTTGGAGAGAGGTGTCCTTGTGTTGGACAAGGATCTTACCCATATAGAAAAGTATTTCTCCTAGAAATCCCAAATAAACTTAGATGGAACTATGGCTTTTTGTTTCCCATATCAAGGATATCGTGGAACATTCCGTAGAACTGGAGTCTTGAGTTAACACCTTCAGATATTCTGAGGTTTGCCAAACCAATCACTTTAAGAAGTTCGTAGTTCTCCATGTTCTTTGCAGCCCGGAAAAACGAGTTTATCAGATCTAGGGGATCAAACTTCTCATCCCAGATTTCATCAAACATCTTTAAGGCCTCTTCAGCCTCATTCCTTAGAAGTCTCTCGAGGACTCTTTCAATTCTCTTTGGAGACGGAAGGCCTATTATTTTGATTATGTAGCCTTGATCTATGGTTTCCGAGGAACTGATGCACGCCTGGAGGATGTTTAGTGACTGTCTCATATCTCCATCACTGAGTTCAACAATGAGGTCTAAGGCCTCCTTGCTTATCTTAATGCCCTCATCCTTACTAATTTCCCTTAGTCTTTCCAGAATCATAGAGTTTTCTATTCTGTCGAATCTCAGTATTGCACATCTACTCTGAATAGGCTCGAATATCTTTGTTAGAGTATTACATATTAAGATGAACCTGCACTCCGAGCTGTGCACCTCCATTACCCTGCGCATGGCTTGCTGGGCTGCTGTGGTCATTGAATCCGCCTCGTCCAAAATAATAACCTTAAAGCTACAGTCCTTAATCCTTCTTTGAGCAAAGCTTTTGATGGTGGTCCGGACTGTCTCTATTCCTCTTTCATCAGATGCGTTCAGCTCTAGTAGTCCTTCCTTGCTGGGGAGAAGTTTTCTAGCGAGTATCTTTGCACAAGTCGTTTTACCTGTTCCAGGAGGTCCCGCAAACAGTAGGTGTGGCATGTCTTTACTGTCAATGATTAATGAAACAAGCTCCACAGTCATCTGGTTTCCAATTACATCTTGAACTTCATTTGGCCTGTATTTGTTAACAAGTAGATCCATCGGGGCTTTATAATTGTTCCTGATAACCACCTTGATGGTAGTAGACGTTCTCTAAAATGGCCGCTAGAATTACATTTAAAACAGAATGGAGTATGTGGCAGTACTCATGGAGCCATTGTTATACTTATGAAACTATTGTTTCGGGGTCTTTGTTGATAAACTCGTAACAAATGCATTGGATAGAATGCTGGTCTTCTTCTTAGGCCTAACATTTGCGAAAGATGCTTGCGTTTCCGGGTCTGCAGAATGTGTTGCAAACACCTTGAGAGTGTGCGGAATAAAGAATCAGTGGATATACGTTGACTGTCCCTCCGGGACGGAGTGTGCAGTAAAAGGCAGTGAGATATCTTGTGTTCCGAATGGTGGAAAGGGAGAATTAGAGTCCCATGACAAGAAGAAGCCTAAGAAGAGGGATGAATCTGAGGCTTCTCAAAGCCTTGAGGAAAAGCAAGATTCAGGTGATGATCTCGGTGAAAGCCCTGAAGATAATAGACAATCTGAAGACGATAAGCCAGAAGAGCCCAATGAAGAACAAAAGAAGAAGGTCCATGGGAAGAAGGGGGACGAAGATCAAGAAGGGAAGAAAAAGACAAAAAAAGAAAAAGACAGTGATGAGAAAACCAAGGACAAGCATTTGGGCTTAGGAGAAGATAAAAAGAAAAACACAAAGGGAAATAAGAAAAAGGAACCTAAGGTTGTAACCAAAACAGTAAGTGTCTTGAAGAAGGAGACCACTACTACTGTCACTGTATTGAAGACAGTTGTTCAAAAGCAACAGCCTACAGAGATAAAATTGGAATACACATCAAGTGACATTGAATCGAAAGTTAAGCCTGTTGGCTCTTCATCACCAGGACAAGGACAAGCTTTGCAGGGCTCAAGTAGAAATGTTTCAAAGGCAGGGCACCCTACTTCTCTCCCTGGTATCGAGAGCATGGGAGGAGCCAGTTCACCAGGGAAAGCGGGGCAAGGTGCAACACCGGCAGCACCATCTTCGTCAGGCAGTCCCTCCTCAGGAAAGGGTACATCGGTAGGAAGTAGCTCTTCGTCAGCCCCTTCTTCGCCAACAAGCAACAAGTCTTCTTCCGCACCTTCATCTCAAGGCAGCACACCAGAGTCACAGGGAAAGGCACAAACAGCTGGTGGAGGCACTGGAGGAGCTACCCCTTCTACAGGTTCGCAGGGAGGAAAGGGAGCAGAAAGTGGTAAATCGTCAGGAGGGTCGGCAGGAAAGACTACTGGTGGAACTAGTTCTTCTGCAGGTTCGCAGGAGAAAAAAGAAACTGGAGGAAGTGCTGGGGGGTCTACTCAAGCTTCGGGAGGATCCCAAGGGCAGAAAGAATCAGAAGGTAGTAAACAACCAGAGGGAGGTGCAGGGGGAACTAGTCCTTCTACAGAGTCCCAGGGAGGAAAGAAAACAGAAAGTGGAAAATCATCTTCTTCAGAAGGAAAAGGAGGTTCACTTCTCTCGGCCGATAAGCTGACTAAGGTAATGACGAATTTGGGATACTCTCCCAATTCAGAATATATCGATGCAGTCGTCCTTGGAGTGAACGAGAGATTTTCGGACCTTAATCAGGCTGTAATGTTCGTGGCTCAATGTGCTCATGAGTCTGGAGGATATCAATATATTGAGGAAATAGCGTGTGCTGGAGGAACGGGATGTGCAGGGCAGTATGGAACAGGAGCCCCCGGGAAGTCCTATCACGGAAGAGGATTCATACAACTCTCATGGCCTGAAAACTACAAGGCTGCAGGAGAAGCCCTGGGTCGGGGAGATGAGCTCTATAATAACCCCGAGAAAGTTGTAGAGAACCCAAGTCTTGCAGTAGATGTGTCGATATTCTACTGGGAGTCGAGGGTTGCAGATGCTCCTGGAGTGAAGGAAAACCATTTTGGAGCCACTACAAAGGCAATTAATGGAGCGCTGGAGTGCACGGGGTCTAATATTGATAAGAGCAAGAAAAGGTATGAGATATACACTGCTCTTGTTGAAGAATTTGGCGTTAGCAATCCTGCCGATGAAAGCGGATGTTACAGTTAGTAGGAAAGTATATCAAATTCAAAGTCTTGTTATCTATATCAAATCTCGATTTAAAGAATTAAACAATTTCTTTTACATTTTCGGGATGGTATAGGAGCTTTGCCGATTACGTCATAGGTATGGCTCTCAGGATCTATGTCCAGAAGCTCCAAGCCATGGATTGTATCGTTTACAGAGAGACCTGACTCTGCAGATATATTACTTATAGACACCTCCTGTCCATTTTTGTTCTGTAATGTTTCCAGCACCTTGTTTCTCCAGTACCTTTTGTATAGAGCACGTCCTCTTCCACTCAGAGGTTTCTCTGGGGTTCCTGCTTCCAAGATATAGCTTAGATCCACCATCAATGAGCCGTATCCCTTGGCCCTGTACGGAGGAAGAATTAGAAGACAGGATAGATTATGCTCTATGCTTTCCTTTTCCTTACTAAAAAACCCTGTCGCTTTTCCTTCGGAAAATAGGACATAGAAAAGATATCCATCCACATCGAGATATAAGGTCTTCCTTTTTATAAAGGCTTTTCCAATGATGCAGATTCTTTGGCATAAGACTCTCTCTTTCTCCCCATCAATCTCAATCACAGATATGTCCTCTTCCCTGTCGCTATATATACACTTTCCCGGAATTTCTAAGGAACAGCTTCTTCTGTGGCTAGCAAAGGACATCGAATCCCAACATTGAAGCAGACACCTATCACATATATATATTGTGTTTTTATCCGAAAACAGCCAGACTCGGTTGGGAAAGTCTAAAAGGTTATCTCCAAATACAGCTTGTGTTACCTCGACGCTTCTTCCCTGAAATTTCATAGGCGGGATAGGCTCTGTGGACTGGTTTTTTCTTTTTATGGTATCGAAGTATTCTCTGAACTCGGGGTCTTTCTTCAGCATGTCGATCTCCCCATCGTTAAGGTCCATGGGCTCACCGGAACACAGATATAAACAAAGGGAATCCAAGTCCTTTTATGGAAGAGCATATTACAAGAAGGGCAGAGGCTTTGAAGATTGCTAAAAGCATTATAATGAAGTCGGACAACCCTCCCGAAGAGTTGGTGAGGAAGATTCTGATCCACCAGGAGCTTCTTTCAAATAGAGACATTATCTTGAACGATGACTTCTATTCGATACTGACTAGTAAAGCCAATGTCCGGCCAGAGATGGTTGGTCTTGCAAGAAAGAAGGAACAGGTAGAGTGTGTTAGAGTGGAGAAGAAAATGATATGTCCTATCAGCCAAAAAGAAGTAACCGAGGCATATGTTGGAGAATGTGGGCATGTGCTGGAGGAAAAGGAAGCCATAAAGTATATCCGAAATAACTCTCGGGCTATCTGCCCACAGATTGGATGCAACAAGAGACTCGTCCGGAAGAAAAGATAAAGGCTTTACTGGTACTTGGTTGTTCCGAGAACGAATTTTGATTAAAGTTCTTTGACCGTTCCCCAGGAGGATGAGGGAAAAGATGTATAGAGAGAGAAGACAGCCAAAGAACCGCAGGATGTATGGAAGGTTGGAGAAGAAAAAAGACTTGGTTAAGAGACTTTCGAAGATTGGGAAGCAGAAGGAAGAGATTAGAAGAGCCAAAGAGGAAATCAAAAACAAGAGTGGCCAGGAGTATTTCTTTGGATATTATTCAGTGGAAAGGAATGGGGCGAATATCTACAAGATCGACAGGCCCACTCTTGAGGAGCTTAGAAAGATGAAGGCCTATGTCGATAATGAAATCCAAAGATCCAGGATGAAGTTGGAAAGATATATTCCCCGACCGTGTGGAACACATATAAAATTTGAAGAGGATAGCTCTTCGAAGAATGATACAGACATTGGCTTTGAGCACAACGAAGAGACTAGAAAAGAATTTGAGAAGTATTTAGAAGATCTAATTGGGAAGAGAAGGGAAATTCAGGAGAGGATAGACGAGCTGAAGAACCAAAAGATATAGTGTGTGAACAAAGATTTATTTCTTGAACGGGTATTAAAAATTACTTTTTCCTTCTATTCAATAACGTCCATGGCAGATTCCAGGACTTCTTTACAGATCGGATGTCCATTAGAGCGGCAGAAGTCAAGGATTGTCGGATTGATGGATGCAGGATAATTCCTATGCATCACGTATAGCAGCTTGAGGTGTTTCAGGGTAACCATGCGGTTTAGTTCGCCACAAAAATATCTTTGAACAGGATCTATAGATATCTTTTTTTTCTTCTCAAGTATGTACCTTAGAAGCACCGGTGTATTTTCGTCTCTCTTCTTTACCAAGATGTCTATCATGTCATCCACATGGTTCAACGAGACCTTTTTGAGTGCACTTCCAAGAACTTCTGCCTCCTTTCTGGACAAATCTAGCCTCAGAATGTTATATATCTTACTTGTCTTGGCAAGGCGGCACAAGTCATTCCACTTTCCCGGTGGTAGCTTTGGCTTTGCAGCAAGGATGTCTCGGTATATCTGAAAGTCGGAAGGTCTGTCCATCTCCTTGAGTGTATGAATTATCCTATCTGAAAGAGACATTTGGGGTGGATGTTTTAGAAGCCGAAAAAATTTATCCCTATTAAGGATGGAAGATCAGCAAGAATTTTTCGGAAAGGTTACACAGGTGCTTGGGAGAACTGGAGGATCTGGGCTACTGACCCAGGTGAAGATGGAGCTTATCCATAACAAGAGAATGATCCAGAGGGCGATCAAGGGGCCGATAAGCGAGGGGGACTTTGTCGAGATATTAGAGTGTGAGCGTGAGCATCGAAGAACAAGGTAGATAAAGTATCCAATAAAGATGATTTAATGTTCTTTGGCCGTTTTAACTGTTTTTAGTTGTTTTTTTGTTGATAAGAATGAAAGGAGCCTGGGAAGCTAGACCCCGGAATGTGCCGCCAGAATGAGATTTACGGGAAGCAAAGCGAAGAGGAAGGGCACTTGAACTATGGGGAGATTGAGAGGAAGCGCAGAGAAAGGGTCGACGAGTTGGCTTATAGGCTATTAGTAGAGAGAGAGAAAGCGAACAGAAGTATTGAAGAGGAGCTTCAAAGGCTTTTTGAGCTTGAAAAAGATCCTGTAGACACAGAAACTCATTCCTCGGAAGAGCCTGCAAAGGAGATAGAGACATATAGTCCTGTTATTCTGGAAGAACATGGACTTAGTGAAGAGTTATCCAAGAACAATTCTGGAATGCAACCCTTATGCTCGACAAACGTGCCTTTTACTGACGAGCTTGTCTCTAGATTCATTCTTAACAAAGCCTATGTGTCTATAGAAGAAAAGATCTGGAGGGAAAGGCAGACTATGCCAAAGAACATACAAATGCAAACTAAGATTCAAGTCAATAAAAGACTTACCCAGGTTAGCGGAAAGGCTGGACAGGTTGACAGAATATTCAATGTTCTTAGGGAATATTCTCATTCATACGTATTTGTAGAGACATTCACGGTAAAGATTATAGAGCAGGGAAGATTACAAGTGAGTTCCTGTCCTGAGTCGTATAAAGAATTTGCAGAGCTCTTCTGCAGGTTTTACTCCTCTGAATTGATGGAGTACTTTCGAGTTATTTTGTTTACTAGAGAGGCTTCTTCCAGTACTATCAAGGGAGTTTACAGTATCTATTTTGGAGTACTAGAAATTCAAGGGAATTCTGACGAGGCATGGTTTTTCATTGCATCGATGCTGAACTCGAGGCAGAGCGAACTGTCCTGCTATGTTGTAGAATGTTTTTTTTCTATACTTGGAAACTTGTTATTCAGAACATGCCGAGGACCTTTCTTCAAACTTATAGAATATGTCAAGAGGTACTACTTCAGGGAGATGAACAACGAGCCATGTAAAATAAGGATATCTTCGATGTTTGAGAGATATGGGGCATGATGTAGACAAGGACATGTGTCACATGTGTAAGTTTTTGGTAAGTTCCAATTTTGATGCCCCGATGAAACTTATAACCGACGGAGTCTGGTCTCTTTCAAGAACACATTTAAGAATACTTCGGACTGCAGAGCAATGCATGAAGTCACACGTGGTTATTCCCTTTGATGTGCTGAAGACCAGATCACAAATAAAAGGCAACTTCATGGAGCATGTGATAGATCTGTGCAAACTCAAGTTCCTTTCTTATGTGGAGAATGGATACAAACTGACGTACTCTGGACATGATTGCCTTGCAATTAACACACTGAGGTCACGCGGGCTTGAAGCAATGGGAGAAAAGATAGGGATTGGAAAGGAGTCTGACATTTATCTCGGGGTGTACAAGGGAAAGGATTCAATATTGAAGCTCCACAGGCTTGGGCGGAGCAGTTTTCGAAATGTGAGGAGAAATCGGGAATACGCAGGGGAGAAGACAGATTGGCTTGCATTGTCAAGAACTTCTTGTAGAAGAGAAGTTGAGTACTTGGAAAAGTTCAAGGACATGAATGTTCCTGCAGTACTTGACCATGACAGACATGCTATTGTGCAGGAGTTGCTGGATTATCTCCCCTTATACAAGACAAGAGTGGAGAATGTGAAGACGATTTTTTATCTTATGATAGACTTCATTAAGGACCTATGGAAAAGAGGATATGTGCACGGAGACTTCAATGAATTCAATGTTCTGGTGAAAGACGACATAAAGGTCATAGACTTTCCTCAGTGCATCCAGAGCAACGATGAGAGAGCAGTAAGCTACCTGAGAAGAGACTTTGAATGCGTCCTAACATATTTCAAAAAGAAATACAGATACGAGCCGGAGAATGGATGTTCTAAGTTTATGAGGGAATTGGGGATAGAAGACTTCCTAGATGAGCCTGAGACTTATGGGACTGATTCTGAGGATTCATCCCTCTATTCGACTGATGAAGTGGGTTCCCAAAAGGAGATGGAGCTTCTAGAGACAAAAATGGAGAAGACTTTCATTTCTGATACCCAGAGTGCATAAAGATTATTTATTTCCAAAGGTGTTCCTTAATCTACCTAGTAAAGACGTTGCCCGAGAAATGTCATTTTTATATTCCTAGAGTTAGAGGGAATTCACTTACCTGTAAAATGTCGTTGTATCTATCAAGAACTTCTTCCAGAGACTTCTCGAAACTATCCATTGGTAGGGTGTCTTTGGATGATTTCAGGAAATAAAAAATTTACCCTGGAAATGAGCGATGACCAAGTTCTGAAAAGGTTTATGAAGAATGGACTTATGAATGCAGAGCTGAAGGAGTTTTTTGAGAAGGCACTTGTGAATGAAGGCTTTAATACTATGGAGCTTCGGATGCAGGAGACTCCGATTAAGATTATTTTAAAGGTTGCAAAGCCACACGAGGCAATAGGAGAAAAGAAATACAGGCTAAAGCAATTCCAGCACTTAGTTGCCCAGAGGCTTGAGGTTCCCGATGAAAATGTCGAGATAATTGTTGAAAAGGTCCACGAAAAGGGACTCTGTGCACTTATCCAGGCCAATTTTATCAGGGAGAAGATGCTGGGAGGAGTACAGTACAGGAGGTCGGTTAACATGGCCCTGAAGGCTGTAAGACATTCGGGAGCACAAGGATGCCAGATAATAGTTAGTGGAAAGCTGAAAGGGCAGCGTGCCAAATCCGTAAAGTTCCAGGATGGAGTGTTAATTCACAGTGGAAACCCAGTCAAAGACTATATTGATACGGGATATGCCACGGTTGAAACCAAGCAGGGAGTGATTGGAATTCAAGTTAGAATAATGCTGCCATACGATCCGGAAGGAGTGCTTGGGCCAAGCTACCCTCTTCCTGATAGGATTACCATTCTTGAGCCTAACGAAATTCAATAATTAATTAAAGCTAAGTCAAAGTATTTATTTCGATGTAGTCTCTAGGGATTCGGAAACTCAAGCTTACTGTCTTCGGAGAGAAGATGGTATATATCTCTTATATCGGTGTCCTTCTCTGCATCTATCCATACAAACCCATTTAGCCCCAATGCAATTCTAAATCTGTATTTCTTTCCTATTGTGGCCAATGTGGTACTCAGATAGAGAAGACGTACCTTCCAAGGCTCTAATGGAAGCACAACCCCGCTTAGCTTTCCAAAGCCCTCACCCACACATGTGAGTAGTGGCTCCGTACCTGTTCTCGCAATCTTACATAAAAGATAGTCTCCCTTGTTTATCTCCGGTTTGTTTCTTTTTGTGGCATTTGTAAAGCTGAGAGAAGGAAGTGCACCAACCACGCCTCCAAGATCTATCCTATGCATGTCCTGGGATGTGAGTATAGCCTTCCCTATCACAATGTCGTCGATGCATGGATGGTATCGATTGGTTTTCGATACCACAAACAGATGATTGGATGTTTTGCACAGTGTTCCTACAATTGTCGCCTTGGTTCCATGGATTCCAAGAGATTTTGAGCCATTGGAAGGCACATCGTCTCCGGGAAGTACATTTTTTATCTTAGTCAGCATTTGCAGAGGAGAAAAATATCGAAGAATTATTGGGAAATCCCAAGGGCCCATAATGAATGTAAGGCCAAGGAAATCTGCATCAAAATACTCCTTTGAACCGAAGATTCCTCAGAACCAAGAGTTATTTGAGGTCGAAGAGTCTAAAGAAAAGAAGGAGTTTGTACTTGGAGACCAAGGAGAATATGCTCCAAAGTCTATGGACCAAGGGGTTGTAGAGTATCCGTTTATCCTTGGAAAGGAGGACGGAGTTGTCCTCACTCTCCCTTCCAATGCCCTAACATCGAAGATCATTGTATACGAAGATGGGAGCTGTGGACTAAAAATTGGAGATGAGATTCACCCGATTGCCACAAGATTCATTGGAGAGTCTCTTGCTATCGAGCACAAGGATATGGCATATAACATAGGAAGTGCTAAGTTTCAGCTGACTCCCCAAGTCCAAGACAGTTTAAAAGATAAAAGTCCATAGAATAAAACATAGCGTTTAGTATCCAAATATGTTCTTGATGATCAAGTCATAGCAAATCTTCCCGTCTCCATCGGGATTCAAAATGTTCAAAAGCTCTTCAATCTCTTCTTGACTAAACTTATTTTCTCCAGAAGAAAGAATCTGGACAAGCCTTCCTGCATCGATGTGCGAGGTATTTTCTGCATCCAGTCTTCGAAAGGACTTTTGCAGTTCCTCGCGTGTTATCTCTCTTTCCCGGATTTTCTCGCAGATCTCTACAAGCTGGCTGAAGTCAAACATCTCTCCAGGAACTGAGGCCATGAGCTCTTCTGCATAACTTTCAGATATGATGTATCCTGCAAACCTCAAGATATCTCCCAACCTGTCGGTGGGAACTCTCTCAGTGGGCGACTCTGCAAATAGTTGGTAAACCTTTTGAAGGCGTTTTGTCTCCTCCATCCCGATGGGGTATATTCTTGGCCAAGACCAAATGGCTAGGAGGAGTAACTGTTTTTCAGGCATGGCGGGAGTCAAGAACCCCTAGCAAAGCAATCCTGTCTGCTTCCTTTACCAATGAAGATGACTTATCCAAAACCAAATTAATCGCCGGGGAAATTACCCAAACAAATCTTCCGAAGCGAAAATTAGATGAAGAGATTAAGCATTGCAATGGTATCCGACTTCTTTTATCCGGTAATGGGGGGAGTGGAGACCCATATAAGGTATTTGAGCGAGGAGTTGATTTCAATGGGGCACAAGGTCATAGTCATTACACACAAAATAGGGGACCTTGTTGGATGCAGAGCTGTGGGAAACATAAAGGTTTATTTTCTCGATATTCCTGTTTTATGCAGAAACACAACATTCCCAAGTCTTTACTCCAACCTTCCTCTGTTCAAGGAAGTCTTCGATAACGAAAAGATCGAGATAGTTCATGGTCACCAGACAATGTCGAACATGTGTATTGAGGCTTTATTTCATGCAAGAACATTGAACCTCAAGACAGTGATCACAGACCACTCGATATTCGAGGTGGGTCCCTTTGAGAACATTGTTGTTAACTCCCTGTGCAGACTTGCACTGAAGAACATAGACAGATGCATCTGCGTATCCTACACATCCAAGGAAAACACTCATATCAGAACCATGATCCCCCTTGAAAAGATCCACGTTATCCCCAATGGAATAGTCTCGGACATCTTCTATCCTAGGGAAAAAAAGCAGTCCGATGAAAGAATTGTTGTGGTAGCATCTAGACTTATGTTTAGGAAGGGAATAGATCTGCTCATTGGAGCAATCCCACTAATCTGTAAGGGAGATCCAGAAGTGAGGATTATTATAGTGGGAGATGGGCCTATGAAAGAAGGAATCGAACAGGTTTTAGACGAAAACGAGCTTTACGACAGAGTGGAGATAATTTGTGAGGTAGATCACGGAGAGGTTGGAGATATAATGAGAAGGGGTGATGTCTTTCTCAATACATCCTTAACAGAGACCTTTTGCATAGCCATAGTTGAGGCAGCTTCGTGTGGCCTCCATGTTGTAAGTACCAACGTCGGTGGGATCCATGAAGTCTTACCTCCAGACATGATAACATTCAGCAAAATTACATCTGAAGACCTTGCCGAGAAAGTACTGATGGCTTTGAAAAAAAACAATCATAATCCGCAGGATTATAACAAAAGACTTAGAAACATATATAGCTGGGAAAGAGTAGCAAAGATGACTGAAAAGGTGTATGTTGACATCAAAGAAACTTCTCTCAGCTACTTGGACAGGAGAAAGGAGTTTAAGGGCGCCACAGGCTTTATTTCGAGATTCATGATAACCATGGAGTATATATTCCTCTTTTTCCTTGGTGGAAAGAGCAGGTAAGACAGCGGTAGCATTATTTATCCATTGGACACTTTATTGAAAACTAAAATCTGCTGGAAGCTCCTTGATGGTGGTGTTATAGAATCTTTCGATTGCCTTTAGGTTTTTTAGCTCATGTTCATAAACTATGTTTATAGCTATTCCTTTTCTTCCATATCTTCCAGACCTTCCTATCCTGTGGATGTAAGTGCTTTTCCTCTCGAACGACGGCACATCGAGACAGAACACTACAGAGAGATTCTGGATGTCAATTCCTCGCGAAAGCAACCCTGAAGAGATCAGACATCTTCCAGTTCCCCCACGGAATCTGTTCAAAGTTCTTTCCCTCTCAGCCTGTGTTAGTTCTGCAGATATGAGCTCACACTCCCACTCATGCTTGATCAGCCAGTCATACACTATTCTAGCATCCTCTTTACTGTTGATAAACACAATTGATTGACCCAAGCGTTGCTTGCGGAATATATCATATAGAGTTACAAGCTTTGGAAGTAGATAGTCTTCTCTTCCCTTTCGGAATGGTGGCTCCTTCTTCAAGTCGATGAAGTATTGCCTTATTCCTTTTAGTGTTTGATCGTTGTACCTTAGATCGATTATCACCGGATTAATAAGGATCTCCTCACTAACGCGAAGCTCCTCCTCATCGTATGTGGCCGAAAACATTGCTATTTGAACCTCATCCTTGTTTGTGATTCTTCTGAATATTGACTTCACCTGCTCCTGGAACCCTGCCTTCAGCATCTCGTCGGCCTCGTCAATCACAAATAATTTAATGTTGTCCATGTTCAGCTCGTTTATGTTGATCATGTGCTCAACTCTTCCAGGCGTTCCAACAACAATATGAGGCCTCTTCTCAAGTGCTATCTTATCTGCAGAAATAGGACTCCCTCCAGAAAGCAAGGCTACTCTTGCTCCCATAAAACATCCAAGATCCTCAAATCTTGCTGCATTCTGTGCTGCAATTTCCCTTGTTGATGCAAGTACGAGGATCTGCGTAACATCCTGGCTCATATCGCATATCTGAAGTGCTGCCACCGCAAATGCTCCTGTCTTTCCAGTTCCACTTTGTGCCTGTGCCCTTATATCTCTCCCGTCTATTATTGGCTGGATTGCTGCCTTCTGGATAAATGATGGCGTCTCAAACCCTATCCCATAAATCCCTTTCAAAAGGTCCTCCTTCAGCCCATAATCTTCCCACGTATCAAACATCCGAATCTGGGACGAATCGCTTCTCAGATCCTCAAAATCCCTAACTTCCACATTGCTACTTTTCAAGTCTTCAAAATCTTCCTCTCGTTCCAGCGCCTGTTTCATAGGGGTAAATTTTTCTTCAAATAATTTCTTTTTCTTCAGCAATCTTCCTTGGGATTACTAAGATCTATATGCTTCCCCCACAAGAAAGCCCTTCCATGAGCTTGTCTCTCCATGAAAGAAAGGAAAGAATCCTCAAAAGACTGGAGTTTACCCTTGAAAACACACATTCCATCATCTGTGACATAAATACCAGGCTAGAAAAAATAGTTGACAATTCAAAGGTCCTTGAGAGAGTTGTAGATGCCTATGAAATATGGTCCCGAAAAAACTCCTTCTGAGATATGTCTAATTCATCCAAATAAAGCTTTTTTCCAAAATCTAAGCATCTAACCTGAAACATTCCTAGCTCAAAACCATGCCTGAGAGTCGTAAACATGGCCACAACACTGGCTTCTGGATATGTGACACTCCTCAAGACATCTATAGGTAGTGGCATTCTTTCCTTTCCTTACCTATTCAAGACTTACGGAATCCTCACAGGAATTGCCTTAACAATGGTCTCAGGCTTTTTCTCGGTACTGGGCCTCATCCTCTATGCAATTTGTAGCCAGGAACTAGGAAGAACTGCTACTCTCTCAAGGCTTGCCACAGAGAGTATGCCATATACAAGGATAATAGTCGACCTTTCTGTATTTCTCAAGTGCTTTGGAGTTGCACTTTCATATCTCATAATCACAAGACAGCTTCTGCCAGTACTAATAGAAACAATCTTTGGGGCTTCAATTCTATCTGATCCAAACGTTTCTCTCCTAGCATTTATATCATGCATAGGGCCCTTTGCCTACTTCAATAGACTGGACAAGCTAAAGTACACATCTCTATGTGGGGTTATTGCAATAGTCGTAGTGGTGATTGCATCACTCTACAGGTACGAATACACCCCAGTCTCTGCAACGAATTCCATAGAGTATTTTGCCCCGCTTTCCTACGCCTGGGCCGGCGGGTTCGGAAAGTTTGTATTCTCTTTCACTTGCCACCAGAACATATTCGCAATCCATTCAGAAATGGAGGACAACTCCTTCCCCAGAATGAAGAGACTTATCTACATGGTTGCCTCCTCGGCTGCCATCATATACATTTCCTTTGGAATCCTGAACTATCTTCTTTATGGAAAAGCTGTCAAAGATAATGTCCTAGAAAACTATCCAAACGACGTCTTGGCTTCTGTAGTTAGAGGTTTGTACATAGTGGTCATGGGTGTCTCCTACCCACTCCAGGTAAATCCTTGTAGAAGCCATCTCATAAACATCATTGCCTTTTCACAGAGATCAGAAAAGCTCCTGAGATTCGCCGTCACAACAGGCATCATCATATCAACATGTCTTCTTGCAGTTTCGGGGATGAGTCTTGGTATCATATACTCAGTAATCGGCGCAACCGCCTCCACATTTATGTGTCTAATATTCCCTGCTCTCTTCTACTTCAACATGAACATCACTAAACCAAAGGGACTTATTTTCCTATCCTATACGGCATTTCTGTTTGGAATCTTCGTTTTCAGCGCATCTCTCTTCAGCATCATACTTCGCAACATCTAGCCCACTACTCCTACAAAAATTTATGTTCTTTTGTTTTGTCCAGAAACATGAACTCGAAGGAAATAGAAAGATACTTCAGAAAGAAAAGACAGTATCTGAGTAAGGAGGAGTACAGGACAATAGTTGAGGTATTAAGGAGGCTGGAAAATGCCGAAAAAACCTCAAACAAGCACCTTGCAGAGGAGATGAAAAACAAAGGAAATGAAGAATACAATGCCGGAGATTTCCAATCGGCTATAGACTCATATACCCAAGCTATCATCTACGACCCGACTAACGCAGTCTATCTATCAAATAGAGCTGCTGCCTACTCAAAGCTCGGAATGGTAGAAAGTGCAATCGAAGACTGTGAAAGAGGACTGAAAATCGATTGCAAATTTGTAAAGCTATATATAAGGCTTGGAATGCTGCATCTCGACAGAGATAAGGAAAAGGCATGCCAGATCTTCAAAAGGGGGCTGGAGATCGATCCAGAAAACAAGACACTAAAAAGACAGCTTGCCCTCCTTCAGGAAAAAACTCCCGATCAGTCTTTGAAATCTTCCAAATCCCCCTCTCTGGACGACATGGTCAAGAACATAAACATGGAAGCCCTTAAAGACAGCAAGATCGATTTCAACTCTTTTTTCAACAACAAGAACATTAAAGATGTCTTGGATACAGTCATCAAAGACAAATCTCCTAAGGATCTGATGGAAATGGTCAAAGATGTGATTGAGGCAATGGGAGGTCAGGACTGCAAAAAATAAATCTTTCTAATGGCATGAGTTTTCGAAGAAAGAATAGAAACATTAGACAAAAATGTAGTTCCAAAACTATGAGAAGCACAGAAGGGCCTTCAACTCTCGAGGAACCCTCATGTCCCATGTGTGTAACGAATGGATGGAATAACCACTATTCTGACTAAACATGGGAGGCAAAAGCCAGGGGTGATCGGATCTACTAAATTAAACAAAATATTCTAATTTAATGAGACTCTGCACACTCTCCCGGACCTTTGTTCACTTGCCTAGCTCTTCTAACCAAGTAAAATTAGAAGAAACATCAGTCAAGTCAATCCAGTCATGAATCCCAGTCTTCCATTGGTTCTATCGATATAGCATGTTTTCTTTAAAATCATCCTAATCCCTTAGAACATGAAGTATTGCTTTTGCAGATGTTTCGAAGAGTCAAAGAACTTGGTGAAGATAGGCCTTGTTGACAGGATATTCAGAAGAGATGCCGACGAAAAAACAAAAAGCATGTGTCATCTTCTTTGCCTAAAACTTACAAACAACGGAAACATAAAAAGAAATGGAAGATGGGGATTCCAACCAGTCCTAGGAATGACTGAGTTCTTCTCAGCCCTTTTTTCGTTCATGAACCTCATAACAAACATCTTCTGCTTCCATAGAATGCTGAAGAAACACCTTCGGGTGACAAGATTGGGTAAGCTATACTACATCCAATACTACATATGCAACCTGGCATTCATCTCCAGTACCCTCTTTCACATTCATGAGACCCCCTTTACAAGAAATTGCGACTATTTCCTAGCATTTCTAACAATTCTCTTCGGTTTCTATATGGCGCTTGTTAGAGTCATCCTCATGGCAAGCCCTTCCATGGAAAGAGCCATAAGAAAGCCACTCCAGCTTATCTTCACTCTGTTCTATGCATACCATATTCACAGAATGTCCAATATAGAATTTGACTACGTATACAATAAGATATCCTGCACCATCATCATCGCATTCACCCTTTTGTCACATCTGATAACATTCCTCAAGTACCGAAGAATGGAACACTCCAAAAACATCCTTCTGTTCACATTTTTCTTCTTTCTTGCAGGAGCAATAGAGATCCAGGATGTGCCTCCATATGCCTATCTCATCGACTCCCATGCCATTTGGCATTTGATCTCTTGCATCTCAACGCCGTTCTACCTTCTCTTCTGGAGTGGAGACGTCTATATGCATTGATCCTATACAATAAACCTCATTCTTATCCATAATAAATTGATTTCCCTTATTGTGTTTCCCCTTTCTCCTATTGATCACAAAATAATATCCTATCAACTAATATATAATCTGTTTTGATTTCTGTTTAATTATCCTAATATGGAAAAGATGTTATATATAAAGTAAGACCCATTCTACCCTACCAAATGGATTTCAATCAACTTAAAAGACTTACGGAGTATGCAAAGATAATTGAAGGTATCGGCGACAAAGAAGCCGTAAAACACCTAGAAAGTGCTATTGAGTCCTTTCTTAAAGAAGTTGAAAGCCTCTTGGATAAAGTTACTAATCTTGGAGGGAATTTGGAAAAAGCTGCAGAAGGAGCCGATAGTGAAGGGATTTGCCAAAATGCCTGCCAGAAATTGACTAATCTATCTGGTCTTCTTAAAAAAGCTAAGGAAAGTTGTTGTGGAAAGGGGCCTCACAAGTGTACTACCTTATTCAAGAGTATTGATGATGTACTCAAGGAAGTCACCGAAGAAGGTCTTGATAACACACTTGGAGGACTCAAAGATTTCCTCGGAATCTTTAAGGGGGATGAAACATTAGGAGAGGATATTCGTGAAGAGGTAAAAGCAACTACAACAACTATTGAGAAGTTTTTGGAATCTAAATTTGATGATAAATTAACGGAAGAAACTCTTAGTTGCTTTAAGAAATGCTTTAGTGGAACAGTATGCGAAGAGCAATGCGCCTCCGATTTTTCAGAGGGTCTTCAGGGAAAAGTAGACCAGTTAAAAATATTGGTTGACGAATGCCCAAAAGAAGAAGTTAAGGGTCAACTCACTGAACTTTTTGAACAAGTTTGTGCTTTGTCTAATAACATTCAGGAGATGGCCGCTGCACCTGAGAATGTTTTTAAACATTCTTGTGGACAACTTGCTAATTTTTCTCAAGTAAGTGAAGAATTCCGTTCGGAACTTAGAAAGGTGAAAGGAACCTTGAAGGATATAAGCGAAAAACTTATTGATTTAGAAAAGAAAAGTGAAGAAATTAGAAAACTTACAAGAAAGGGATTTTTTGAAAGACTTCAAGATTTTTACCAAAGACTCAAGGAAAATATACTGTCGATAAACACTGGAAGTTTATATGGAAATCTATGCTTGGCATTCTTGGGAATTCTGGTCATACAGATCATCATTTGGAGCTTTGGAAGGGAGGATGAAGAGACTGATTTCCAAAAAGCATGGAATACGACAGTATACTTCATAGCTGTAGTGGTAAGTATTATATATCTCCAGTGGCTGGCGAATAAGGGATATAAAAGTAGCAGTGGCATTGGAGATACTCTAAAGAAAGAGTGGCCAACCATTTTGAGCACAATTCCGATGATGATAGGAATTCTGAATTTTGGGCCAATAAAGAGCAGCATTTATGCTTTGACAATGGCTGCTACTGCTGTCGTGATGCTTTATGCACAGAATCTTGTGAGAACAAACAATATGTCTAAAAAGGGGATGCTCTTAGTTGGGGTCGGGAACTTGATTATAATTTTGGCATACTTCACTGGGCCTGAGTCGTCTTTTATGCCTACTATTAGTGGTCCTAACTACCGTGCGTATACTGCACTTATCATATTCGTCATTCTTCTCCTTATCATATCATACCTGGAACGAAACCTCCCAAAGGAGGAGGTATTGAAAGAAGGAACACCGGGAACGAAGGGACTTGCCTATTGGATTAGTTACGCATTGTTCGCATTAACGCTGATCACGGTTACTTGGGTGTCTTACATGGCAGGAAGTGACTACCATCAACTTTATGGTTCCAACAATAGCACTAAGCCTTTAAACGACGATTTCTTTAATTCATGATTAACAATAAACTTTATTCATGATTAACAATAATAAAAAATCTTTTTGTTTAGAATAAGACCTTACTTCTCCTTCTCAAGAAAGTGATCAAAGTAATTAAAATACAATTCTTTTATGAGTTGAAAGCGTATAGAATAGACAAAACTTCTTTCAAGTGGAATTCTCTTCCAGGCTCTATATTTAATAATATGAGCACATTGGATGGAATGTTTGGAGTCCTTTCATATCTTGTGCCTGTTCTCTATATAAGGTAATCCTTATATTAGAAATCAAAACAAACCCCAAGGATGTTTGGAATTATGCTTGGCACTGTTTTTTTTTCAGGTTATGCTATGGCCGAGGCAGTCCACATGCAAGACAGCACTCTACTTGACAATCTCAAGATTGTTCCGAGTCCGTCTATGATTGGAATGGTAAGGGACATGAAGAGCATTGTTTCGTATGTATCTGAAGATGAGAAGTTTGATGGGGAGGGAATTAAGATAAAGCATGATGGAAGAATGTTTGTTGTTTCAAAAGCTGAGGATGTTGAAGGAGCTGTAAACATTCTGAAGAAGTATCCTGCACCGACAGAGGAGGTTATTAAAACCATAAAATCCTCTGATGGAAAAGGAATTGAGGGAAACTTTATCATATACTTCCTGGACAATTCTGGATACAAGGAGAAGCTTGTAGGGAGTAGAGAAGGGTTGAATGTGTTTGTGTCTACTGATCCTGCCCTTGCATCTCTTTTGGATGCTTCTATTCCAGGAATATATGGATATAATGGAAGGGATAGGCTTTCGTACAAGTTCCCCTTTAGTGATAAGAATGCCACAAAAATCTTTTCACTGACCAATCTTCCGATATTTGGATTTACTTCTGCAGAGAGCATTTCGTTGTATAGGTCATTGGATGGAACCATTTTCTATATTTTCTTTAATCCATCCAGCAGTTTGGATGTCCTTAATGGGTACTCTGGAGTTTTGGATGACTTTAGGTACGATGTTCGAGTGATACTGATTCCAAGTGTCAAGGACGGCATCAATCTTGAGGACTACGGGCTAACGGAAAAAGATCTTCCAGGATGCATATCTATCAGCGAGGACGGAGGGAAGTATATCCTAAGGAATGTGACCAAGGAAAGCATTTCGGAATTTGTCAAGGATGTGTTGGGAGGAAAAGCTGAGGCGTTTTATAAATCCCAGGAGGAACCAAAAGATAACGGCAGTAAAAATGTTAAGGTGGTTACTAGAAACAACTCCAAGACATACCTTGGGGATGTTTCCAAGGACAGACTGGTTGTATTTGGAACCGAGAGATGCCCGCATTGCATCCGAATTAAGCCGACACTTGAAAAGTTAGGGGAGATAGTAAAGAACAATGCAGATGACAAGGTGTTTATTGGATACTGTGATGTTGATATGAACGACATGAATGACGTTGAGATTCGCTTTGTTCCGACCATTCTACTTTATAAGGCTGGAGAAAACAAGAGCATTCAGTACTCTGGTGGAGAAAGAAACCTCTTGAATTTAATTACCTTTATCCGGGAGTCTGGAAGCCTAGGTGTTGATCTTTCGAAGTTTGCGGGTCAGGAAGATGAATCCGAGAAGAGGAAGTTTGAGGCTGGCAAGGAGGCCACTGGGTCTTGGGGAGAAGATGCAAGGGCAGAACTCTAATGAATTAAATGTAAGTCCTTGGAATCCTTTTTTGTATATGTCCCTTCTGAAGATGGATATCCCAAGCATCATTCTTAGGCTTTTAACAGATGGAATTGTGGATGGAGAGTATCATGATTCTTTGAGTTCTCTAAATGAGCTCCTCAGGCCTATACAGTATGAAGCCGTTGGATGGCCAGATGGATCATGTATTGTTCTAAAGGATAACCATAGTTCATATCCTCCTGATTCTAGAACAAAAGAAATAGAGGATGTGTTCAAAAAAGTTGTACGGGGGATTTCTGTTTCTGGAGAAGTGGTAGATATGCTTATTAGAGAGAGATGGATGGAAAGCACCTCAGAAGGATACCGATTGAGTAAAAGGTCATTAGTGCAGCACAAAGACTTTATTCTTGGATTGGGAGAAGGATACACAGTATGTGATGTTTGTGGATTTCTTAGATCTGAGAATGAAGTTCATAAGTTCTGCAAGGAACTTTTAGAAAGCGAAAGAGGCTTTGGAAGAAAAAAGAATTGATATCCCATTACCAGGAACCCCAGATGACTGTGCTGGAAGTGGAATTTCCCTTTAGAATTGGTAGGAGACATCCTAAGCTTAAGGTGGATGTTACAATGGAAAGAAAAGAAGATTTGGTGTCCTTTGACATGGAATACGATATGGACTTGGCGATAGATAATGCAGAACCAAAATCAAAAGAAAGGGCTGGAGGAAGATTTATACACGTATATAAGTTTGTTGATTTGGATAGTGCAATGGAGTTTATGGAAAGTAGGAAAGCGAAGGCCTTGCCCCCTAAAGGATTGCTGGATGTAGAGAGGGTGGAGAAGGAGATGGACTTATTTATGGAAAGATACGAGGCAGGGGAAAGAAAAGTCAAGAAGAAGAAAAAGACAATTGTTGTTAGCGAAGATGGATTCATGAAATATGCATGAGCAGCCAAAGCCGATCCAAGAGGTCTCCAAAGAAAGAAACCTTTATTATCAAGACAACAGAAACATAATAAACTCTTGGATGACAACTATTCCAAAGAGATAATATGCTCTTCTCATCCTTTCTGCTCCCTTGTCCATCACGCGTCTCTTCAAACTTCTGCTAAGAAATACAAAGAAACTTACATACAGATACATTCCTCCAATCACCCGCACATACTGGATTTTGTTCAGGCGGAGGAGCACGGCAATGACATACTTGTATCCACTGTATGCTATTACATCAAGGGTGCAGAGAGTTACATCAACAAAGTAACCAGAGACTCTCATAAACAACACACACATGGCTTCGAGGAAAAACAGCCTAGTAAACACAATTCCTAGCTTCTCGGGGCTAAACACTCCTTCAAGCCCGAGGTGTAATGCTCTCACCAAGACATAGGAGATAAAGCTCATAACTGGAATATAAAGCTCAGGCCTTGCCATTCCTTCATCGTCACTTGCCCATTCTTTGTTATTGAATGGAAACAGGATGAGCACAAGCTTCTTTAGGACAAATGTATTGTCTATATCGAAATATGTACGGAAGGGTTTTAAAGACACCCCGCTAAGGCCTTTGTTAGCATATTCAGTACTCCTCTTAATCGCTTCTTTTCCTATTTCTATTTCCATGGGTGTTTTGATCCAAAGCTTCATCAAAGCAAAAATATCCTACCACGGTCCCAGAGATATAATTTATTAATCAACTCATATTTTTCTTTTAAACTTCTTTGGCATCTTCTCCGTTTCTTTGATGTCATTTCTTGTTAAGTCAAAGCTTACTCGCTTATCATTTCTTTTAGACCCTTCGTCACCTCCTTTTCTTCTTTCTCCAAATCGAAACACCTCCTCCTTATGCTCTTGCCTCTCCGACTTCTTCTTCTGCTTTTTGAGTTTTGAGTTTTTCTTGGAATCTTCGGGTTGCAAGTCATCCTTTGTCTTCTTGTCCTTTGATATTCCATTTATCCTATCAAACACTCTCTGGATTACGGTGCTTGTTCTCTCCACTTCCTCATTAGTGCGAAGAGACTGGATCTTCTTATCAATAAGTGATTTGAGTTCCAGTCCGTAATCCGGAGTCCTATCCTTCCCAAAATAATCGATCTTTGCGGCAATAGAGCATTTTGTTGCAATGTACCTACAGATCCTTCCTTTGTCTTTGTCTCGGACCCTCGATAAGTAACTGGTAGTATAGATAAGCCCATACTTTGGTGTCTTCGTCTTTGTCTTCAGAGACTTGAACAGAGACTTCTCCGCTCCAAGAAGTTGAAATGTAGATGCCGGAGCCTTTGCAAGATTTAACAATCCTCCCCCTTGCGAAATGAGCCTTGCTGCAAGCACATCCCCAAGTATGGCTGCAAGATTAGGCGCAATAGATTCCATTTTGTCCTTAAGATATTTAGACAGGCCTTTTCTGATTTCAATCTTATTGTTCACTATTTCTATTAACTTCTTCAAGTTAATCATGTCCACAGGAGAAAGTTTCATACCCATGGAATTTCTTTTCAGTTCCTTGATCTTCTCAAGCTTTTCAACATCCACTTCTATATCTTTCCATTCTCCTTTGTTTCCCTCGGTCTCTTCGTCTACAAAATGCTTTACAGCCTTAATGTATTCATGGTTGTCCTTCAGTGCAACACTCAACTCGGGAAATACCCATCCATAGATTTCTCTTATCCTCATGGAATACGAATTGATGTCCTTGCCCACTTGTTCTAATAGCATCACTGTGTGGATTACAATAAAGTCTTCTCTCTTTACGTTATATTCAACCTTCTCCCTCGAATATTCATATGCTAGACCAAGCACCATCTGCTTGCTATCATATTCATCAAGCCTCATAAGCTTTCTATAGTCCTTTCGGACGCCTCTCATTATATTCTCGCTCTCCTTCTGTTTGATTCCAAGTACATCAAGGCCCTTTCTTAGAGTGCTGTCGCAATGCAAGACCTTAACATTGTTAAGCTCAAGAAACTTCTTTAAGTCCTCATGGATCTCTCCTTGCGAAAGACATTTCAGATGGTCTGACGCCTCGTTAAGACTGGCAAATCTCATTCCAGATCTCAAGTTCAGAACTTGAGTTAGTTTGGTATAGTCTTCGTACGTAGACTTCGACATGTCTTCATATTCCTTGAGTTCAAACAGTCCGTATCCCCCTGCATACTCAAAAAGCAAGTGTTCCATGGGGTCTTATCCTTCCGTTTTTCTAAGCTCAGAACATGATAAACTTGAGGAATAATAATATCAGCTTTAATCTTTATAGTTCGATGACACGGTCTGCCGCCTTCTCTAACCTATCCATGATTGCATGGCCTTGTTCGTCGCAATCCATTCCAGCAACTAAGATTATATCGTTGACCTTGTCGAGCTTTCGAATTCCTCGGAAAAAGTTCTTGCATATATTTTTCTTATCATCTCCCATGTCGAAGATGTCAACCTTCACATCCGAAAAGATCTTAAGATCCATTCCTGAATGTAAAGCAACACCTACTCTAGCAATATTGGAGCTCTCAGAAATATATTTGAGAATTCCATCTTTAATATCTTCTTGTCTTCCTTTGAATAAAACTAACGGTGATTTTGGCGAATAATGCTTATGTCTTTTCTCCTTTCCTCCCCATTCATTCTTCTTTACTATCACTTCGCAATCAACAACATCTTTTATTCTTTCCACAGTTATTCCCCCTGGCCTAAGAACCTGGAGCCTTCCATCCACATACTGCACAATTGTAGACTCTACTCCAATCGAAGACGGACCTCCATCTATCATTAGCTTTACTTCGTCGCCAAAGTCCTCAATCACATGCTCAATCGTTGTAGGGCTTGGCCTTCCGCTTATGTTGGCTGAGGGGATTACAAGAGGTGCTCCAAGCCTCTCTATTATCTTTAATAGAAGCTTACTTCCGGGCATTCTAACGGCAATAGTATTAAGTCCTCCTCTGACTATAGGGCTCACATTGTCTTTCGACTTGAAGAGAAGAGTTAGAGGCCCAGGCCAGAAGTTCTCTATTAACTTTTTATATTGCAAAGGAATCGGGCCCTCAACGATTTCTTCAAGCATTTGAACTGAAGAAATTCCTGCAATTAGTGGGTTATTTGCAGGCCTTCCCTTGAGTGCAAATATCCTTTCCACAGCACGGAGGTTCCAAATATTTGCAGCTAGCCCATAGACTGTCTCTGTGGGAACAACCACCACATCTTCAAAAAAGTCTAGAACCGACTCGACATCGAGCCCTTCCGCAGAAACCACCCTCATTTGTACTGGGGCATATGCTATGGTAAAATTACTGTTAAACTCCAAACATTGGCCCTTGAGATGGTAAAGGCAACAAAGGGATATTTCCTAAGGACAGAACCTAGTGTAAAGGAAGTGATATTGAAGCTTGGGGAGACAGAGAACTTCATAATAGAAGATATAAATGATACATGTATTTTTATCACTCCGGAAGCAGCCTCAGATATCAAGGAACGGGTGGAGCTTATAATGAACAATGCAAAAAACCCAGGAAAGTAAAGAACATCTTCTCTAGAAGAAAGCATATTAGATGATTCTGAAGAGCCCCTATGGGTGTTCGGTCGTTGTGGAAGATTCTCAAGCCCTCGATGGAGAAGACTACGCCGTCTGGGATAAAACTTGCTGTGGACACAAGCATCTGGATATGCCAGTATGGACACTTAGGAAGTGATGATATAATTTACTTTTTTTCAAAAAGGATTATCAAACTTCTGTACCATGGGATCCAACCAGTTTTTGTTTTTGATGGAAAGCCTCCGGAGATCAAAAAGCATGCCATTTTGGAAAGAAGAAAAAGGAGCAATAGGAGCGGGATAGAAACTGTAGATAAAATGCTCAAATGGGATGAGAATTTAGATCTTCCAAGTAGCAAGGCTAAGGCTGTCGAGTTTGGAAAGGATAGATATAATTGGGGGGACATCTTCGATTCGGAATTGGATTCACATCTACTTGAATATTCAACAAGTTCGGATGAAGAAGTCTCTTCTAACGAGCGAGAAGAAAACAGCTTGGAACTAGATATAAGCTTTGATTTTGTTGAATCCAAAGATTTGTCTAGAACACAAAAGCTTAGAAGGCTGGTTGACCTAAGAGGGCGCAGAAAGGAAATAAGAACAAGATGTAACTTTGACGATCCAGACACTTTCTCAATGCTACAGATTAAGAACTTGAAGATTCGAAATCTGATCTCCCATAATATAAAAGCTCTGGAAAAAAAAGGTTATAGAAGAGTCCATGGGGATTGTAAGGCCATATATAAGCTTACAAAGAAGCCAGATTATGTACGTAACGAGGGAGAAACAACCAACGAATTAAAAAAACCTACAAAGAGGGTTCTTCCTGCAACTGGGCCCGATTTGGAAAATGATATTTCTGAATTGGTTGATGAAACGTGTGTAAAGAACAATTTGTCTGTTCAGGATTTGGCATCCTATCCTGTCCTTAAAAGTCTGGTAGATAAGTACAAGGATTCGGATAGAAGTCTGAAAAAGGACACAGAGTGTATCCAAGGAGTAGAGAACTACAAAGAAGAGAAAGTGGCTTTGGTAAGTGGTGCGAAAGAAAGGATGATGGGAGGTTTTTTTGGCCTAGATGGTAGTTTGGACTCTTGGGACACAGTCCAAGAGGAATATGGTAGCTTTTATAAAGGCAGAGAAATCCCCGATGAAACTAATCAGGGAATCCGTGATATTTGCAGAGTGATGAGGCTTATAAAGGATATCCTGGAGGTGTTCAATATTTCATACGTAGAAGCACCTTCGGAAGCTGATGCCCAATGCGGGTTTATGTGCCGCAATAATACTGTTGATGGTGTGATAACTGAAGACAACGATGTTCTACTCTATGGAGGAACAGTTTATAGAAACTTTTTTAGAAGGGACCGAGGAATAGAGAAATACAGTCTAGAGAGAATCAAAAAGGAGCTCAACCTTGATAGGAAGAATCTTATAGAACTTTCATATCTTCTGGGAAGTGACTACACACTAGGAGTCAAGGGAATAGGGCCAGTGAAAGCTCTTGAGGCGGTTAGAAAGGGATCTGTAAGGGAGGAAGATATAGGTATGCTGGTGGGATTATACTTGAATCCTGTTGCTATTGATATGAAGGATATTCTAATCCCTGTAGTAGACAAAGACAAAATAAGAATGTTCTATGAAAAAAAAGGACTGAGTAAGGAAAGAATAGATGGAGTTATGTTTTTCCTTGAAAGAATCAAATTTGGATGATTCTACTGTTCTTTGAGACTTCTGGAAAATATTATACTAATGTAGGGAAAAAAAAGGATAAAATTATATCCATATGAAGCTGAGACCAAGAAGAATAAAGAAGAGATGTTTAGTTTTACTGATTATTTTGTTTAATCTCCTACTGGTTCTTCTTGTGAAGCATAAAAACAAAATGAACATAGGAAACAAGGTGGATCTTGGTCGTTTGAAATGGTTTGGAACTGGTACAATAGTGGTGTCGGCGATGGAAATGTTCCAAGACGTGGGGTTTTCCGATGCCATCTCGAAATCTGAGTTGATTTCCACAGACGTTCAAGGACAAGGAGACGTTGTGGATTCCATACTGAGCCGTGTAAACGTCGAGGTTAGGGAGATTCTACTCATAGATACAAGGAGACTTAGAGGCATGAACCGTACTGTTTTCCCAAGGTTTGAGAAAGAGAGGGCAAACTACAGTCTTGGAATAGACTATATTGAAGAATTGGCCAAGGAATTTATCAGGAGAATAGACAATGGAAGAGTTAAGTACCCATTTGGTAGTAACACAGCAAGAGAATATGTAATGAGGATAAAGTCGTTTACCAAGAGGCATACCAAGGGAGAAGACGATAGCGAGATTATAAAGCTAGTAAACAAGGTGTTTCCAACCATTGAGATATCATTCTACACATACATAATGATGGTTCTACTCAACATTCGAGAGATGATTGTTGAAGATTTTGATTCAATTAAGGAAATATTGAAGACAAGAAAGATATATAGCATCAGTAACGACAAGATAAATCAGCTTGGAGGAATGATCATGAGAGCCCGGGCTTTCAACGACGGAATACCCGAGTGGAATTTATGCAATGCATGCGATCAAGTCTTTTTTGAAGAAGATCGCGCCGATTTACAAAAGCTTACGTGTGATGATGTTATATGTAGGAGATGTTTAAAGCAATCCTTCCTGTATTCTGATGATGAGTTCTGCATAAAGTGCGGGACTGAATACGACATTTTACCTGGAAATCGCTTTAAAGATTTACTTGATTAGATGGTTAGATCATGTGGATCTGGAAATCAATATGACCCGCCCAAGGCTACAAAATTTAGTCGAGGCTCAAACAAATATGTGATGGAAATGCCCATGAAAAGCATGACGGAGGATATAAAGAAAGAAGGAAAGAAAGGTGGAAGAAATAGAGAAAAAGAATCTTGGAAGAAAGGAGAATTCTTAGGGAAGAAGTATGTGGAAAGAAGCTCTGCCGGATTGAGTAATATTCGAAGATCCGAGGAGGAATTCCAAGGAAATGGCAAAGATGAAGAAAGAAACAATTTGGAAGGAAAGACAAATAGGAAAGAAACGAGAGACACAAAGACTAATTCTTTGGAGCTTTCCCTATTGAATAGAACAGCAGAAAGTGATGGAGGTGTGTTCTTGTCTAAAGACGTAAGAGAAACAGAGAACGTGAAATGGGAGATATTTGGACTTAAACCCAAACTATTGAAAAGAATACAGGATATTGGGTATAACTTTCCTTCCCCTGTTCAAGTAGCGTCCATCCCACATGCTTTGAAAGGAAGGGACATGCTTGTTAGATCGAAAAACGGGACTGGAAAAACAGCATCCTACACAATTCCTATTCTTAATGCAATAAATCCTGAGGAGCTGAATATTCAAGGGATTATATTGGTTCCCATAAGAGAGCTTGCATTGCAGATATCGAGAAATGTCAAAAGGTTATCCGAAGGGATGGGAGTGATATCAGCACCTATTGTTGGAGGAACAAACATGCAGGATGACATCATAAGGGTGTCCAATGGTGTCCATGTGATGGTAGGAACACCTGGGAGAATAGTGGATCTTATAGAAAAGAAAATTGGAGTACTTTCAAAGAAGATCATCTTAGTGTTTGATGAGGCTGATAAACTACTTGATGTGACATTTGGAGAGACGGTCACAAGGCTCCTGGATATCCTGCCAAGAGAAAGACATATATTATTGTACTCGGCGACATTTCCATATTTTGTTACAGGGTTCATCAAGCGGTACATGAGAGATCCACTGTGTCTCAATCTGATGAAGGAGCTTGTCCCTGTAGGAGTTAAACAGTTTTATACAATTGTAAAGCCTTCAGAAAAGCTTCTTTGTTTAAGATCGCTTCTTCTGAAACTAAAAATCAATCAGTGTGTGATATTTTGCAACAATATCAAGACTGTGGAGCTTCTGGCTATGAAGGTTACTGAGATTGGGATTCCTTCCTACTTTATCCATTCGAAAATGACACAAGAAGATAGGAACATAGTATTCCATAACTTTCTGAAGGGAAAGTGCAAGATTCTAGTTGCAACAGACCTCATAACACGTGGTGTTGATGTTCCCAACACAAACTATGTGATTAACTTTGATATTCCTAAGTCTCCTGAATCCTACCTTCATAGAATTGGAAGGGCAGGTAGGTTTGGAACGCCAGGTGTTGCCATAAGTCTGGTTACGACAGAAGAAAAAGAAATGCTAGCAGACATAGAAGTAAAGCTGGGGAAAGAAGTATCTCCTCTCTCAGACGGAGGTCTAGATCGCTTATGAAAGTAACATAGATAAGAATCAAGAATAAGAATAAATATTTTTGAGTTTCATCAATATCTTAAGCATCCATTAGCTTTAATACGATCGATTGTGATGTCTAAATCCTTCTATTTTTCTTCATCTCCATCTTCTTCTTTTGGAGGCACAAAGTATGGAATCTTCCCTCGGACCCAGTCATGAAGGATCATTTTAGAAACGGTATTGGTATTGGGTTCTCCCCCCTTCTGTAGTTTACCAAACTTAATTGCGAGTCTTTCAAGTAGGTCTGTAGAATCAAGAAATTGAATTCTATATGTCTTTGATATAGAATCCCTAGCCTTTTCAACTATCATATCAATATAGTCTTCTGGATCCTCGATGTTTTCAATTCTTACAGCACCTCTAAGGACCGCCTGATCATAGTCAGGAATAGGGACAATTCCCGGGCAGTCTATAAGGTAAATCCCTCTTGTAAGTGCTATATACTGCCATACCTTGGTTTCCCCCGGAATAGGAGCAACTTTGCACACTTCCTTGTTTCTTAAGGTGTTTATTATACTGCTTTTTCCTGTGTTTGGATATCCAACAAATCCAACGCTTAGATGTCTCTTCTTGTATAGTTTGCTAAGCTGCTTCAACAGATTTATAAGACTGGCCTTTCCATAGTTGTTTGTTACTGAATTTGAGTGATATGCTATAGTAGGATGAGACTTTGAGAGACGTTTTAGCCACTTGGCAGTTACCCCAGTAGGAACAAGATCCACTTTGTTCAGTACATACATAAGATGTTTATGAGGCGCTTCCTCCTTAATGTAACTGGCTATTTTATCACACATGGTTCCCAAAGGATCTCTTGCATCGAGAACATGAACAATCACATCGCTGCTGTCTAGAACCTTGTACAACTCAAGCCATATTCGATGGCTCTGGCCCTTCACATGGTCTTTCTTGACTTCTTTCTTTTCCTCTTTGGCTTCCTTGGCTTTCTGAGACAATTCCTCAAGACTGCTGTACTGAAGATTTGGTTTCTTCCTTACAGATCTTTTTCCAAAAACCTCCTCAAAGTCTCCGCGCTTTTTCTTCTTTGTTCCATCTTCAAGAAGAGAGTATGGTACCTTTCCAGTGCTAAGCAATACATTATATGGGCTTTCTATCTTTGTCTCTAGTCTAAATGCATCTAGTTCGGTGGATGATATCGTTTTTGACCCGGTAAACCACTTCCTACTTGGCTCAATTCTTCCAACATCAGCCTTCGAGTTTTGGAAAGGTGCATCTTTGATTATGTCTCCTCTTGAATTCTTCTTTGCTTTCCCAGACCTCAGCATTTCAAGATATTTCAGTTTCTTCTTGTTGTAGTAGTTTTCACGCATTCTCGGGGATAATTTTTTCATGCCTTAACATTCCAATCCAAAGCTGAAGATGTCTCTGCTTCCGAAAAAAGATTCCAAGGAAGACTCCAAGAAGTCTTCATATCCCTCCAAACATACGTCTAGCCTTTGAATTAATATTTATCTCGAATATTTGATCCTCTGAGCTGGAGAATATCTTGTCATTCATCTCGGAAAAGACTGCTCCAGTTATCTGTTTATCAGGAAATATCTTGAGTCTTTGGCATCTTCTGAAGTCTCTCATATCACAAATAGTCAGAAACGAGAAATGCTCTGTGAAAAACAGCAGGTCAAGGGAATTCTTCAGAGAAAACTTCACGTTCCGTACTGCTCCCTTATGACTATCCTTCTGCTTACTCTCAAACTTGTGAAGCATGCGGTCACTTCTTATGTCCCATATGCATACATATCCGTCCTGGGTTCCCACTGCAAATGAAGAGGACACACTGTTCCACGACACACTGAATCCCCCATCCTCGGTACTCTTCAGTTTTTTAACAAGCTTGTAGTTGTCGTTGTCTATAGAGTACAAAAATACGTCGTTAGAGTCTCCCACAATAACCAAAAACTTGTTGTCCGGGCTGATTCCGCAGCTGTTGACTTGTGCAATATGGTTTATACAACCGCTGCTCTGAAGATCCATTGTAAATACCTTTAAAGTTCTATCATTGTTGCATATGAAGATTCTGTTGTTGTTTATACATATATTATTGTTGATCGATGAACTTACAACCTGAGAAAGGACTTCGTTTGTGGAAAGATTCTTAACTTTGAGATGTCCCCTGGATCCTCCTACTGCCAGAATGTCATCTTTCAAGCAGATGGATGTAGGGAAGAAGTCCGTTCCTTCATACACCATTTTGGTTGCATTTTTATAGGGATCGAAAGACATTACATTGCATGCCTTGGGAAAGACCAAGGATTCTCCTTTGATCTTAAGCATATCCTTGAGCTGCCAGTGCTGTGAAGTTACTCCAAAGTCACATATCTTATGCATATCATTCACCAGGTTGGAAACTTCCCGCGCTTCCTGTGACATTTGTTTGTTTAGTTTATGGATAAGACTTTCAATGATACTCGTTTTAGCAAAATAACCTTTAGAAGGCTGAGCAATTCCTTAAAGTCGATGCAGAGTTGTACTTTCTGATGCAAGACTTTTATACAAACGCCTTATACATGGTTTAAGAACTCCTCCAGTTGAAGGATTTGGATCCCTTCTAGACTGTCATTGCTCATCATAAATTCTCTTATTATTTCTTTAGCATCTTCCGGATTCATAGAAACTTCTCTAGCAATCTCCAACTTACTGTTATAATCCATCAAGGGGATTGGATTCGCTTCTTATGAAGTGGGAAATGGAGATCCCCAATGGATTCAAACTGGAACACAAAGGACCTTTACCTACTGGCTTTGGAAGTTTCTCATCTTCACAAAATTGGCTATGGAGAGATAATGTCCATGAGACTCAGAAATGGAATTCAAATATCCTGTACTCTAGATAACGGAGAAGAGATCGGGTTTGGGCATTTGTGGAGGTACGAAGGAGAAGAGGCAGAGACCAGATTCAAACTATGTTTGGTAGAAACACAGCTGAAAAATTCGACTGAGGGCGCTGTGGATCATTTACTGATGATTCTTCCCAACACCTCGAAAGCGAACCAGCTTACAATATTCATGATCTTCTATAAGCTTACCACAAAATATAAAGTATATGATAAAAGAATCCTTCGCGAGTGTAAAGCACATTTGCATGCCATTCACTTAAGGTATCCCATTCTAAAGACATTGGTAGCATATACTCTCTTTAAAGAAGATCTTGTTTCTGAGGAATTTACTGATGAAGAAATCATAGAAATGAATCTGGTAGATCCTAGAAACTTGAATCCAGAAAATCCAGACGCAGTAAGACTTGTGAAAAGATTGTTTTCTACTATCACCAAGACCTCCTTTAGATACTCAAGAAGAATATTTAAGCATATGGACGAGAAGTTCTTTTTTCATTTTCCCTTAGAGCTTAATGGAGTAGGATACTCACATCTTCGGGAACTGATTGGAGAGCTCTCGCCTAGAAAGGCTTTGTCTATTGGAGAAATAATTTGCAGCAGATCAGCAGTTCGGCTGTTCTTTCCCTTGAAGATAGACGACGTGGAGAGATTTTTCATTCACAAAGATGTAGAGGTTAGAATAGAATCGGTTAGACATATAGATACCGTAGGATTGATGAAGAGATTTCTTGAAGTTAACCAATTTATCTATAATCGAAATATGGTGAAGTTGTTGTCTAGGTATTTTCGTATATGGCTTGGAAAGAGAGTTAACGAAGAGCATGAGTTTAAGGTGATGTATACTGAGATTGTATCACCGATGCTTCGAAGCAGAAACACATATAGAAGACTTCTGGGGGTTCACTTGATGGACTCACTTATAGATATAGGAGTTGTAGAACCATCAGGGCATTCCTGGTTATTATTTGATCCGGACTATGAGATAAGAAGTATCGTATGCAAATACAGTGGGTGGATTCCCTTAAACATAGAAGAGGCCAGAATAAGAATAGAAAGTTATCAATCCTATGATGTGAATGGATGTGTAGAATACATCAAGAGTTGCAGGCCAGAATGGCTTATTAGCGATCTGAAGGATATTTTGGATACCTATGCAAAGGACTTTATGAGTGGAAAAAAAGGCATAGAAGAGGTTCCAATATATGGATTTCTCAGACTGTTTTCAGAGGTAAAGAGTTACAACATAAAGATCTATGTAGACAGGGTTTACGAATACTGTTTTGGAAAACTCTCCAATGTTATTCATGAACAAGATGACGATGGCCTAGTGGTCTATTGGAAAAATATGAAAGAATGTTGTAACTATTACTGCTCATTAGCACTAGAAGGGGACAAGAGTTCGGCAGCCAAACTTGTAAGAACTCTTCTCTATATCAATCATCTAGGTGTTGTATTACAGGTGTCTCAATACCTAAATAAGGTGCTTAGAAGTGTGGTTTTTCCCCAGGACGAACTACTAGAGATAGTAGATCTATCGTTCAAAAGAATTCAAAATTGCAAGATCTTTTTCAGAAAAAGCGGAGGAATACCTTTGTTACTTGTACAGATTCTTAGGAACTATCCATCCATCATTAATTATGTTTTAGAAAGATTACTCGAAATGATTGACAAAGATGAAAACAATATCAAAGTTCATTGTTTGAACATTCTTAGCAGGATTATCGGGGATGGAAGTCTCAGCCCAAAAATACCTCTTCAGACGATCGAATTGTTCAAAATTTCCTTCAGATGTAGTAGATCCAGCCTTTGGGCCGTAAGAAATATAGGAATAGAAATATTTTCTCATTTAGTTCGGAAGGTGTTTGAAAGAGGACCTGAATTTATTGTTTCCATAGCCCACAAAGAATTTCGAAATCTGTTATATGAGGAGCTTAGTTCCTGTAGCCACAATAAGGATGACATTCTAGTGTTTCTTATACTCCATTTATATGGAAGAGTAAAGAAGCTAGACGAGAGAGAAATGGAGTTGGTTAGAAGATTTTCGAGTAGAAGTGACCTGATAGGATTAGAGTCTAAGAGTATTTGCGAAGGAAAGGAATGCAGGAGACCTCAGTATCGGGAGACGAGAATAAAATTTGATGACAAAATGAACGAAGGAGAAATACTTCTAAGATTGCTAATCCTCTTGGACTCGGAGCAACCTGAGGAAAGAAGAATGGCCGAGTCTTATATGAAAGATGTTTACAAATTATCTCTGTATTCCGAAGAGTATTTCAGACATTACATAGCAAAAAGGATATGCAGAATTGGATACAAAGATGTTGCAGTTAAGAAGCTTCAGGAATATGGGCTAGGTGTTGAAAAATCTCAGAGCTGTTTCTTTAAAGATTCTCCATCCAATGAACGCTTTGATCTGGAATATAACATATCTCTCATAGAGAAGTATAAAAGTCAAAAATGGTAAATAATTTCCAAGAATTTTTTAATTGGATCAGATATTATAGAATATTAACTTTAAATTAGGGCTGGCACCTTGAAACTTTTCTTGGATAGAGTGTGGCTTCGTCAACATTCTCATACCTCATAAGACCCATCAAGAACCTTTCAAACCCAAGACCGTAGCCTCCATGTTTACATGGGCCAAACCTTGCCATGTCAAGGTACCAATAGTATGGATCAATGTTAATGTCCTCTCTCTTAAATCCCTCGATTAGATCTTCATAAATGTCTTGCCTCATAGAGCCCCCGAGAATTTCCCCAATTCCTGGGAACAAGAGATCAACACTTTCTGTCCAATCCTTGTTTCCTTTGTCCTTTCTCATATAGAAAGGCTTCTGTTCCACAAGGAAATTTGTTAGAAACACAGGACACCCATCTCCTATGGCCTCAACAATATACCTCTCTGCTGCATCGGGAATATCATCTCCAATTTCAAAGTCCGTTCCATCTTCTTTTTTATAGCCTTTACTATTTAGAAAGTCTATAGCCTCAGAATACTTGATCTTCTTAAACGGAGTTTTTGGAATCTTGTGAAATTCGAATTTTGGATATAAACTCAAAATATCGTCTTTCATTCCTTCATAGAACTTCTCCATCGAATACGAAATAAGAGACTCGATGGATGACATAAGTTCACTGAAATCGATATCTGCAAGTTCTGCCTCGACATGAGTATACTCACTTAAATGCCTTCTTGTTCTGCTCTTCTCTGCTCGGTAAGACGGCATGATACAATATGCACGGTGTGAAACCGGCACTACAGTTTCAAGATAAAGTTGCGAAGATTGAGTCAGGTAAGCATCTTCACCATAGTAGTCCAGCTTAAAAAGAGTGCTTCCTCCTTCTACTTGTGTTTGGACCATTGTGGGAGGTGTAATCTCCGTATACTCCTTGGCAAAATAGAAATCCCGTATGATCTTCAGAAGATATCCTCGAGCCTTAAGGAACAGTTGGCGCTTCTTTGTTCGGAGGGCCAGGTGGGCGTTTGTGAGTATAGCGTTTACCGAAGATTCCTCATTCAGTGGGAAAGATGGTGCTATAGCATCGTTGTATATTTCAACCTTCTCAACCTGTATTTCAAACTCGTAAGCATCCTTTTTCCCAAAGTTCTCCGCCACAGTACCATAAATAGTCATGGAAGTGCACATGGTCAAATGCATCTTTTTCGGGTAAACACACTTTACTGTCTTATAGTGGGCATACAAATCAATGAACGTTATTGAGGATTGTGATCTTACATTTGTAACCCATCCAAAGGTTCGGATCTTCTGCCCAATATTTTCCTTTGTCAGCTTGGATAGCTCAATTCTTTTGTATTCAGAAAAATCCAATTTGGAAATTTCTTCTTCGATTTTTCCAGACATTAGTAGGGGCTCTTTAATTTTTTAAAAAGACTATGGGCAATGGAAATAGATCAAATAATACCAAAGGACATTGATTAACTTCAAAATGGCAACATACAAGATAAAAAATTTAAGGTCTAAAGTTCTTGAAACCTTCCCCATAGATGCAGAAGAGGAATGTTTATGCAGTTCCGGATCTCCCGGTAAAGGAAATAATGCAATACTTCAACGAGATGGAAATAAACATAAAGGCAAGCGACATTCTTAAGCCAACGCCTCAGTCAACTCAAAGGATCTATGAGATATTACTAGAGGTATATTGTGGAATCAAGACATCCGACCTAGTATCCAGAACAGAGAGCACAGAAGGGTTTGAAGAATCCTTGTCATACCTTCTTCTCCAGAAGCGAATGGAAGGCTTTCTCAGGAAAATAGGCATGGACAACTTTGGGCTTCGAGACCTTTCTCCAGATTCAAAAAGGCTTATTGGAATTCTGAGTGTTATTGTAAACTTCTCGATGTTTAGAGATAACAAAAGACATGTTTACGAGAGAGTATGCCAAGCTAACGACGAGAAGCTACTTTTGAAGAACGAGATAGATGAAAGAGTTTATAATGCCCGAAAAGAGCTTGAGAAGTGCGAGAAAGATGCAAAAAAGAGTGTTGAGGACGCAAAGGAAGTTGAAAAAGAGATTTCTCTACTGGAATCTGAGCTTAAAGACTTCTACAAGCATCAAAGAGCCCTAGTACAGGAAACAGAAAGAATTAAAGCAGAGAGGAATGAGTATAGTGACAAGCTGAGTTCTTTAAGGCTAATGCTGCTTAACTTCAGTCAGGAAATAACCTGTTTGAAGACACAGGTTGTAAGTGATCCCACAAAGCTCATGGAGCTTCTTGAAGAGATGAGGAGCCTAATTTCCAAGGAGAACGAGATAATAAGGGGACTGGAGACAAAGAGAATAGGTCTCAAGGAGAAAACCGAATTTATGGAATTGATGAAGGAAGACACAATGAAGGCCATTACACTGGCGATTTCCAACAGAGAGGCTGGGAAGACTGTTGATAGAATAAACAGGGAGATATCTGAGCTAGAGGTTCAGATAAAAAACCTTGACTCTGGCATTAATGCCTTAAAGATCCGCCTGAATCACGTGAATAGGCAGATTTCCCACATCGAATCAAAAATATTTAACCTTCAGGATAACGACAAAAGATGCTCTGAAGAAATATCTGCAAAGCTTGAAAAGCTTAAAAACAACTACGGAGTTGTTTCGGGGGAAAGAAACACCATAAGAAAGAAGATCGAGGAGAATGTAAGGCAGACTAAGAACATAGAATATGAATTAGTAAAGAAGAGAAACGAACATATTAACGACATAACCGCCATACAATCAGCATTATGCAGGCTCAAGGACGACATCTTCAACTACTTTGCCGAGGCCAAAGGAGTGATTGATAAGACCATGTCCAGCTGAGAGTTTTAGAAGTTTTATCTGAGGAGAATTTTAATCCCTCAAGATGGTTCCGGAATCTGTCAATAACCTTTACAAAGATCTTGAGTCTGTGATTCTTCAGTTCAAATCTCCAGCATTTGGAAACTATTTCCTCAAGAAAGCTAAGGAAGAGTTTGATAACATCAGCATCCAAACCTCAAAGCAGAAAGATGAAGGGGCGATTGAGAGATATTTGAAAGATCAAGGAGAACTCCTGGATGTTCTTCGAAGACAAACAACCATTTACAACATGTTCTATGACGAGTCAAGTGGAATATGACAGTTTGGGCGACTTGATTGTTGTTGAATACATGCTATAGGTTTGAAATCCCGTCAAAGTCCTAGGAATATCCATTGATATACCCGAGGGGAAAATGAAGAGAATTGAAGGAAGGCCATTTCCGAGACTCTGTAGCTTCTTAGCAATAAAGATCTTATCAAGCGATTTTTTGAGAAGGATATTTATAGAGGGAATTTCTATAGCCCATGGTTCTTGGTAGAATAAAGAAGATGTTCTCAAATACTAAGAAGAATTTATTTGGAGATTTGCATTGCGGAAGAACTATTCTTATGAATGGATGCGAAGCATTAGCGTCCCAGGAAGATCTTTTATTCTCATCAAAAAAAAGCAAGATGTCATTCAAGCTGTGTGAGATTGTGTCAATTGAACACGATAATAAGACCCTTAGCTTCATTCATAACCAGAAAAAGTATCTCTTTACGAGCGGGGAATCTCTAGATCTTTTCTGTAAGGCTATAGTACCCTTTATAAAGAAGACCAAGATCCTATACAAAAAAAGTGCGGTGTACTCAAGATACAATACAACTACGGGGAGATTTGAAGAAGCTTCGGGAAACGTAGATGTATTTATTGTTGAAGATGGGATGTTTTTGATCAGGATAGAAACAAGAGACGACATTATACATTTTGAAGAGATAAGAACGGAGACACAATACTATATGGATCAGAAAAACATAACGTTTGTATGGTCTGTGATGGAAGGGGGAGTTTTCCACACGTTTTCGTTGAAGTTTTTGGACAATCTTGATTTTCTTGAGTTTCTCGGCAAGTACATTGGATGTCTCTATAAGAATGTTAATCACGAAAACAAGGAGGACAAGGAAGCGGAGCAGTATTTTGAAAAAATGGAGATGGAGAACTATCACCCTGATGAATCCTCGGAGTCGGAAGAGGAAGAGGAGTATGAAAGTTGTGATGATGATGAGCTTGAAAACCATTTTGGAGAAGCAGACGAAAAGAATAAGCATCTTGTCGTGGGAGATGAAATGGCTTTTATAACAAGAGGAAAGTCAATAGGGGTGTTTGAAAACACAGATGACGGACTTGAGTTTAGGGCAAATATCAAGAACGTTCTGAATGAAGATGTAAAAAAGATAATCACACATGATAATTGTGCTTCGCTCATATACTTAGACAAGAGTGAAAGAGACAAGCTCCATAAGCTGGATGTAGAAAGAGGAGAGGTTATTGAGACTTGGGATGTGCAAAGGGACGTTAATGATTACTTTGATGCGCAGAAGCTAATTGATACTGGTTCGCTTGTTGGGCTCTCGGATTATTCGGTGTTCAGGATTGATCCAAGAACAAAGAATAAGGTTGTTGAGTCGAAGGACTACAAGACAAGAAATAATTTCAACTGTGGGATGGCTACAAGCCTGGGGCATGTTGTTGCAGCAGGTAAGGGAGGAGACTTGAGACTTTACGATAAGATTGACAAACGGGCAAAGTCTCTTCTTCCAGGATTTGGGGATGAAATTAAGTATATAGACGTTACAAGCAATGGAAAACATATTATTTGCACATGCAAGAACTACTTGATGCTCACAACTGTTCCCGGAGACTATAAGCAACCTATTGGGAAGGATAAGCCTGTTCCAAAAAGACTTCAGCTAAAGCCAGAGCATTTGGCATACATTAATGAAGAGATAGACTTTACTCCTGCAAAGTTCAGCACAGACACTTCGGAAAGCAGCATAATAACAAGTACAGGAAGTTATGTTGTTAAGTGGAACTTGGATGATGTGCTTAATGGAAAGCTGTACTCGTACCAGCTAGCCAAATGCAATGATTTGGTTGTTGCCGACAACTTCGAATTTGGGGAAAACAACAGTGTAATTGTGACAATGCCAGACGACATAAGAAAAGTCAACGTCCGAAACCTCAAGAGACCTGGGCGAAAGATATGGGGATGATTGTGTATTTATGCTATTAAATAAATGTGTTTTTGAACATTTCTATTTCAAAAGAATGATATGCAGCCCCGAGCTATGGACTTTAATCCTGTTCGATTTGAATACAATAAGAATTACACAAAGAGTATAGCAAGCATATTTAGTAGGGTTGAAATAATTTCTACAGATACAGACAGCTCTAGCCGAAAGTTTGTTTTTCCTTCCATTGGAAGCATTAAGTATTGCAAAGCCAGAATAGTAGAGACAGAAAGACTCGAGACCTCCTGGAGAGAGGTTTATCGTATAAAATTCGATAAGAAGTTTGATTTTAAGCCTGGAGATTCCATTGGAATATTGTGTCCAAACAATGATGCTTTGGTCGACGAAATAATGAAGATTCTCTGTCTCAAAGATTTTAGCTGCCAAATGAGTAGAACGGGCAAGAACTCCTTCAATTACACTGGAAGAATTAGAGACTTCTTTAAGTACTACTTCGACTTCGGGGGTCTTCCAAGAAAATCCTTATTAATCAATCTAGCTAGAAGTTGCACGGAAGAAAATCAAAAATATATTGAATATCTCTGTTCAAGAGAAGGTATTGCAGACTATCTTGGAATAGGGAAAAGATGGAATAACATTCTTGATATTATAAGGACCTTTAAATGCAAGCCCACCCTGGAGGAAATTATAGGAGAATGTGAGATTGTAAAGCCTAGGTACTTTTCTCTTATAAATGAAATTGGGAAGGAATCCGAAATTCTTATTGGAATAACAAACAAGATCTTTAATGAGTTTGTAAGATATGGTCATGTCTCAGACTTTATAATTCAATCGGAGGCCGAAGAGATTGAAGCATGTTTAAGAACAAATCTTCTCTTCAGAATGGATTACAATAGAAGGCGGATCCTGGCAATATGCACAGGGACAGGAATAGCTCCTTTTCTATCTTTTGTGGCAAATCTTCAATCACACCAAAGTATTTGGATCATATATGGGTTTAGGAACGATGAAGATGATATTTCTAAATTGATGAAGTCTGGGGAAAAGATAAAAATATCCAGAGTTAAGTCTAGCGACGGACACTATGTCACCGATTACTTAGTGGAGAAGATTGATGAGATAAAGGAATATATTGATGAGGAATGTGCAGTCTATGCATGCGGGAAGATGGAAATGCAGAGGAAAGTGTTTGAAATATTCAAAAATGAGCATCCCGAGATTGTAGAGTCCAAGCGATTGATCTTCGACCAATGGGGCTAAGGCTTTGTGCTTATTATCTGGCGCTTGAAAGTTCGATTATGGAGTTTATTTACTTGTGAATGGGAATTCGACAGGTTTTAGAATCAGGCCTATGAGTATTGCAAAAATGAAGATAGCAATAGGAAGCGTCATATGAAGGATATTGTATCTTCCGGACATTCTATGTACTCCAACAAAACCATCAAAAGAGGAGAAATAAACCGATTCGTTCATAAACCCTACTCCCGTTATTGGAACATTGTAAACTTTTTTTCTCCCACTTAGAACACATTTGTTGAATAGGTAGATGTAACCATCTGCGGTTCCAACAACCGTCCACTGGCCTTCACACGACATTGTTGTGATTTTTGGGATGCTGTAGATCTTTTCGTGCACCTCCTGAAAGTACAGCTTGGAATCCTTTCCCTTTAAGTAATAAACAAGCATTTCATTGTTGTGAGCTATTCTCCCAATCTCCTTTTCATAGGAATACTTTTTGGAATTGTATACAAAAGTGTATCCTCCATCTTCGTAAACAATCTTATGGACTAATCCTCTAGTTATGAAAAATCCTTCCCAGTTGTTAGCTATGTCAGACTTTCCTTCCTCTCTCTTGAAAATAATCCTTCTATCCTTCCTGAAAGGTCTGTATGTATACTCTTCATGAGACTCATCATTGAGCAAGGATCCATTTACTTTTTTTCTTTTCCTTTCAGGTTTCAGCACCTCATCTAATGAATCTGGAGAACTTACCACATCATGGAATCCATACAGCTTTTTATCACTAATGATATATAAATCCTTGGCAAATACTTGGGAAGATATCTTTTTCTTTACTCTTTTGATAAGCGTGAGATTGCTGCCATCAAATATTAACAAGTAGAAGAATTCTTCCCCTAGGGCAGTAATATAAAGTTTCGAACAATCATCTTCTGTTTTGTTTTTTGTGTCTTTGTTATCTGGAACCAAGTCTTTACAACCTGAATTATCTTCCGAAGAGTCCTTATTGCTGGCACCTTCTATATCCTCTGAACTCCGAGCAGAGGAAGAAAGGCTTGCCTCATCATATTCATCCCATGACATATCATCCTCTCCTACCTGAAGAAATTCATCTTTGGTGTTGCAGACCGCTATATCCACAATAATTTCGTCTGTTGAATAATAGGCCAGCTCTTTGAAGCGAAAACTCTCCAGAACCTTAACTCCATTGGACTTTCCAAATTCCTTTTCTCCCCCTCCTCCTCCTACAATAACAAATTCTCCCTTTACTTGCAATGTGAATACAGGAAAAGAAACCTTCATTTAATGGGTTACGAAAAGGTAAATAAAAACCTTCGAAATATCTTTAATTTCCTACCATCAGATCCCTAGAATACAGCTTCTGATCCTCTCTTTTATTGAGCTAAGGATGGGCCCATCTACCTTCCCATTCTGAATAGGAATTTCAATAGCATTCCAGTTCCTCATATAAATACTGCTTGTCATCCCTCTTTTTACAAAGCAAAACGTCGGTATAGAGTTAAATATCTCTCCCACATCCTTTATATTCCATCTGCTTACTTGCCACTTGGTTCCATCAAGAAATATACATACAACCTTTTTCCAATCCTCAGACGTAAATCTTCCTACATCGTCCACTGCAACAACTCCAAATCCTTCAATCTTCAGTTCTACCTTCTCGGCTTCACTGATGCTAATCTCATCGGAACATATTCCCTTCTCAAAGAACTCCTTAACGTTGCTTAGATTTACGGGAGAAGAAACCGATTGCGGAACTATGGCATAGTAGGTCACTGGTCTCCCTTCTTCCTCTTTCTTGCAAATGTTATTTAAATAGCTATAATCCCGGAATCCAATGTATCGGAAGTCCGGTCCATCAATCTTGGCTTCAATAGATGCTTCCTTAAAGTTTTCAATCTCCTCTACAATAATCTTTTGGTCCGTATAATATATCTTTCCTATTCCACTTTCCTTGCACAACGTCATATACGCCGTGTACTTCTTGTCTTTGTTCAGTAGATAGAACAAAACCTGCTCAAATGTATACTCCTTGGTTTCTGTTCCTTTAAATTTGATGGTCTGTTTAGGGGAAATCTTTCTTCCCCCGATAGTTATTTCTTCGGGATTCATTTGGCATATGCTGGGATCCCTGAGTGCCCTCTTCAGTAGATCCATTCAAAAGGGCACTTTCTCAAAGCTTTTTATTTAAGACCTATCCTTGAACATTCCAAGCTGAAGTATCTCCAAGTTAAAGTATTTTATTGCTAGGAGTCCGGAACAAAAGGCCTGGAAAGCATCATGCCCTGTTTCTTAAACTTCTGTTTACAAAATAATCGTCCAGAACTTCCCCATCAACAACCCCACGATCCTTTAGTTCTAAAACACGGCTGTGGAACATCTCTAGATTAAAGGGAGGATCTATAAACAGATTGCTGAGAAGCCTTACAAATGTAATGGCTTCCTTTTTATCCTGGGGAGTAAATGTAGGTAGAAAAGAGAGGTCAAAGCTGTATTTATGGACCATAAAGTATCTTATAAGGTCCAATGCCATAAACATTAGGCCGTTCTCAATCAGCTTTTCTATCTCTTCCTCAACCTTGCCATTGTCGGCTATCTTCGGCCTTTCAAGGTTATCAAGAATATATGGATACAGATACCCATGATCGTCTTTGACTCTGTTCAACATATTCTTGATACCTTCTACATTAATTCTTGAATACGTTTTAAACTCTCTGGCCGAAGTAAAATTCTTCTTGATGAAATCGACGATATCATCTCGGAACTCATCCCGAAGCTTATTTTTACTTAGGAACTTCTCGGCAACTTCATAAACATTTTCATCATTGTTGAATGAAAGGGTATAATACTTGTTTTCTAGCTCAACCTGGAATGTGTTGTCGTGAGGTTTGATTCCTTCTCCCTTACCGAGAAAAACCCATTCTCCATTAATCTCTTGATATACAGATCCATCAGTCACCCGGAACTTCTGTCCATCTGATATAAACTCTCCATCTTTTAATGGCGCTTCTTTGCTATTTCTAATCTCTTCTAGAATCCTAGAGGCCTCGTCAGAGATATCTGAAGAGTACACATACAGCCTTCCATCACTTCCCCCAACATATACTCTACCTTTCCATCCAAGGACAGCCCAGCATGATGTTGTAGGCACTAGTATCTCCTGAACTAGCTTAAGATCTTCATTAAGTATTACAACTTTTCCATTCTCTCCTGCACATATAATCAGGTCACTATCTCCGTTTGTACAGGAAGATATAGTATACATAAAGTCTTTTGCAGAGTAATGCTTTAAAATCCTTCCGTCCAATGATATCTTGAGAATCATCCCTTCATTGTCGACAGAAATAATGCTTTTATGTAAAAGAGCAACTCCTCGGACATATGAAAGGTTATAGTTAAACGTACAAGCCAGAGTCCCATTCTTAAAAACTCTTACCAACTTGTCGCTACAACCTGTTACAACTGTGTTTTCATTGACAAACTTAGCACTCCAGACAACTGCAGGATGTGGTATCTTCTGTACTATAGTTACGTTCCCGTTAAGTATATGCTTTGTAGTCCAGATAATGGCTGAGCAATCCCATGAACTAGAAACAACAAGATCCCCTACTGTATCTAAACAGCACACGTTGGAGGAATGCTCCTTTATCAATCTCATAGGCTCAACCTTCTGTTCTTCTTTCTGGGCCCCCAGTTCATCCATAGAATACATAACTATACACCCGTTCTGGCATCCGACAAATAAAAATCCGTTTCCAGTCGTGATACAATTGATATATCCCTGCCCAGGCTTAATTTCTGCCCAACAACCAAGTTCATAGCCATAGATTCTTATCACTCCCTCCCGTCCTCCTGTTATAATCATCTCATCGTTTACAAAGAGCGCCTTAACATCGGAGTTGCTAATCTTTTCGATTTTCTCTATTCCTATCATCAACCAGGGTATAAAAAGGTATGTTTAACTAAAGATCATGCCTATTCCGTAAATGGAATCAGATTTTTAATCCTAGTCTTTTATCCCATGCTTCTTTTTATGCTTTTCACTATATTTGTAATCAAAAAATAACTCTTCATTCTTATCTATATCTCTACTGGCATAGAATCCGATTCGCCTGATCCCATTCACAAGCAGAACAAGTGCATTTAGGTTAGAATTTTTCTTCGAATGATTTATAAATCTAGACTCGTTTCCTATGAACCTGGAGTCGATGACATAGAGAGGAACTCCTTCCCTACTGTACAGATCAAACAAGTATGAACATCCTTTCAAATCATAGAAAGTCCCTCTTCTTTCTGCTTCCTCGTTACTTATTATCTCTCCCACATACTCAATGATAAACTTTCCCTTGGATATCTTTTCCTTGGCAAACAGGCCATATCCTTCTATTTTGCTAGACGACACATATATTGGCGACTTCTTACCCAACTGTATATCTCTGTTTCCGCACTGGTTGCATGAACACGTCTGAATACATTCTCTCATTGCTTGTCTACATCTACATTTATTGTCGCATGCCGAAGAGCATCTACATCCTATGAAGAAGTTTTTGCATCCCGCACAAAGACAAGACATTTCACAGTTGGTCTTGTTAGAGATGCATACACATCCATTCTCTTTAGTACAGTTTCCAGAATGGTCGCAAGGTGTAAAAAAGACATTGAAATCAACATTGTTCTTGCTCTTGCTTTCTATCAAATACTTGTGACGTCCTGGCGGAATAGCACAAGAATCTTTTATTTTTGTACAAGGAATGTATTTCTTATACCTAAAGTAGAAAAGCAGGGAAGCTATACATTCATACCCTTGAGACTCCATACAGGCCTCATAAAGGGCGTTATAAGCATTAAAGTCAAGCTCTTCCTTAGTGGATTCCTTGCATGTGATTTTCATTTTCTTGCATATATCTCCACAGATGTCTCTAGCCTCTACAAATGCATTTGTTGGATTCTTCTCAAAACCTACAGGCTTTATGCAAATTCCTTCTGTCTTGGAGTGCCATCTACATCCAAAAATAAAGCATACATTACAAAAGATTCTTCTCATTATTCGAAGTCCATCATCTTTAACACATTCCTCACGGAAACTTGATCTGTCCCAAACATCCAACTTCTTAGGAAGTGTCCCTTTAACAACTTCCTTATCATATGAATAGCATTTCTCTATAAATCCCGTGTTCTTGAATTCTGTGAGATTTATAAATCCTGAGGCACCCGGGATATATGGAATGAATCTTAAAATAGGATCATCCTCTGTTTTTATGCTTGTATTAGTAAAGGTAAAGAAAGTACTTCGAGTTTTTGGTTCTATTCTAGGAATCACTATCTTCTTAACGGAGGGATGGAAGCCGTTGGGTCTTAGATGGTTTTCGGTTGTTGGATTAGTGTTATTGCTTATCATCTTGGCCTCCAAAGCCCTTTTTTTCTTTTCAATCCTATATTTTTAAATCTTGGTACCTGGCTTGATGATGTCCTGCAAGGTAATTTGTTTGTGTTATCTCCAAGACCCATGGGAAACAAGAGACGGCCAAGCTTTGAACAGGAGTTTATTGACTCATTTGTAAGTGATGAAGTTATCAACTGGAAATTTGACCCAATTCTTCTCGATGGAGAGCTTAAGGCTCGTTTAAGCCAGGAATAGATATTAACTGCAAATTTTCCTCCCCAGAATGCAAGTATCTACTTGGCCACTTCCTCCAAGATTCAAGAAGAAGGAACCGCCAAAAATACCGTCCTCATACACAATCTTTGGTGTAGGATATAAGGTAGAAAACGGAGAGCCCACAAGCACTTCATTTTCTTCCGTAGAATTCGATAAAAGCAGACTCAAAGATCTTCTTAACCTTTCCTTTTCCACATTTGTTGAGCTGCTAACATTTCCTCTCGACCATCAAGAGCTTATAGAAACAATAGGTAGCATACATCTTGAAATTAACCAGATTCTCAACGGAGCTAAAAAGATGGAGGCTGTTTCTGAGATTAGAAGAATTAAGAATGATCATACAAGAAATAAAAACCGAATTGCCGAGGAGGTTAGAAGGGGAATATCCGACTTCAAGATATGAGTTATGGAATCTCAATTCTTAGGATATCAGGCAAGACTTAACACTCTAAAGAAAGAATCTTCAAAAAGAATAAACATTCTGTTTCTAATTACGCGGAAGTCCCGTATCTTTCCCTTCTTGGTTGATCTTAATATTGTTGATTGGGAAGTGAATCCAATATCATTCATCTTGAACAGAATTATGTCCTGTGATTCTGTCACTGCCACTAGCATCCCATCGTCTATCTCGAATCCCCGCAATAGTTGGCCTTCAAACTTAACGCCTCCCACAAACTCGGTCCTTGATGTGGGTTCTACTTCCCCATATCTTGGAGAAATGATGTCGATTCTGCTTTCTCCAGAATAGAAAACCAGAAACTCTCTATAGAACCGAACACATTGAATGGGAAATTTATGGATCCTTGGCGATAAATAAATGGGTGCTACACATTGAAACTTGTTCAAGGAGGAAGGAATCCTCCAAACTCTTATTGAGCAGTCTGTTCCACCAGACGCCAGATACCTCAAGTCATCACTTACATCGATAGACAAGACATGGTCTCTATGGCCTGTGTAGCCTCCAAAGACACAGACACACTTTAGTTCCGAGACGTCCCACATCTTTATTGTTGTATCTTCACTACAGCTCAACAGATACTCATCCTTATATCTTTTTATCGAGAAAATTATCCCTCCATGGGCCTGAATATATCCAACAAATGTCCCTTTCGATAGATTCAGGACTTTTATGATTCCAAGACTTCCGCCGAGTGCTAATAAGACATCATTCTGTCTTATAAGAAACTCACTGCATTGAAAGTTCTCGTCTGGATGCTCATCGAGAACTCTTTGGACCATCCTGAGATCGTCGGCATATGATATAATCACAGAGGTTCTTTTTCCAACCAGCGATACTATCTCATATTCATCGCAGATACTCATAAATTCAAGATATGCATTGGGTATTTCTATTGACAAAGCCATAGGGTATTTAGAAAAATGTAACCATCAGCATTCTGTATCAAAAATATAAAATCCTTGGAGATCAATCGATACCGGTGTCCACCCGGGAATCTCCAGATCTTTGTTCACCACTGTTACAAGATGACCTCCGCATCCTGCTCCTGTTATCTTTACTTCAACTCCTATATCCCTCATCCTTCTCACCACCTCCCTCATCTCTCTAGGACAAACTCCCAGCTCATCTAAGAGGTCCTGGCTTTTCCTTATGAGCTTATACAATTCTTCCAAAGTAAATTCTCTTTGAAGTAGCCAATATGCTTCTTCAGAAATCTTCCCTATTTCATCATACAATTCCTTCTTAAGTTCCCCCACCTGGATGGCAGACTGGGTATTCTTAGGTATTCTGCTATTGAAGATAAGTATCTTGAATCGGGAAAGATGGCGAGTCGAGAGCTTCTGCACATTACCCTGTTTAAAAGAGATCAAACCTCCTGTATAACAAGCCAAGACATCAACGCCAGACGCCTTTCCATGAAACATATTTTCTATTGCAAGGGCCTCTCTTGTCATCTTCGAATCTTGGACTCTCCCATATGACAGTAGGAGAGACACTGCAGCACTTGTTCCTAGCCCACATCCCAGAGAAGCTTCCAAGAAGAGAATTGCATCTGATCCAGGAATGCTACATTTGTACTTTTCGATTAGGTCAATATAATTTCCCTCGCCATCAATAACAACAGCCTTATCCCTTGGAGAGGGTTTCATAGCCAGATATCCATATATCTTTATGGAAATAGCCAGGCATCTTGCTCCCGACAAAACACCATGCTCACCAAATAGTATTACTTTCAAAGGAGATCTAGCCAAGTAAGCCATCCCAGGTAGGGGCCCTAGAGGTTTGAATAATTAGGGTTAGAGTCATTCCTTGCTTGGAAAGGAGATTCCTACTGGTCTAGCGGTTAGGATGTCTGCCTTTCAAGCAGGAGGTGGGGGTTCGATTCCCCCGTAGGGAATTCTTTTTTGTTTAAGAAAAAAAGATCAAGCATATCAAAAAACATATATAAATCCAATTTATTTCGATAGAGAGCTTTTTCATTCCTAGAAGTAAAAGAGTAACTGATTCAAACACATATTCACTCGTCATCTAAAGATATGTTGAATCCAAGTGGCTCAAACAAATACCCCTTTCCCCTGAAGAACTTCGAGTGGAATTCAACCCAATTAAGCCTTAGGGCATGAAGACACGATCCAAGACCTTCCATTCCAATGAGAAGGACAATAGTCCCAAGAATGTAAACACCAGAAAGTGCAATAGGTGCAATAAAGCCTTCTTTTCCTATTGTGAACTCATGAAGGACCCTAGTAAGTTGGGCATGGGCAAGAGAGACAGCCCATAGCCTAAGATAGGAAGAGGTATTTGAGATGAGTCCAAGACCGAACTCAACGACATGGATAAACTGATTAATCCACAAACTGGAAATCTCTTCTTTCTTCACCTTGTTTTTGGCTATCATGTATACAGGTTTACCTAGAAGCATCCAAGGAATACAGAGAAGCATGAGAAAGAGTAGACATAGTTGGACTCTATGCTGATATGGATATATTTCCTCTGCAACAACGAATGGATTCGTAAACATGTTCACAAGAACCCCAATTATTGACGGATAGTTCGATGTAACTAGCCACTTGTATATTATTAAAAATACCATGTATCCAACAAAGGAACAGAAGACAATTGTTTGGGGGATAAGAACCCCATATATCTCCACCGGCTCGTTAAAGTACATAGCATTCAAAAAAGAAATAACTATTCCCAAGCTCATGTGAAAGAATCCTATTATTATCGACATTTTCATCTTCATCGAATTGAGAAAGATCATTTCGTTTTTCGAATGGTGCCACATGTGGTCAACACCAAACGGATAGGGCCGTCCTGTGTCTTTGCTCGAGGAAAACAGAGGAATCGTAAGAGAGCCAAAGTCAGAATACAAAAATCCAAAGAACATGGCTGCAAGTGAAAACACAAATATTATATACTTCCCATTGACAATCATCCTTAGAGTCTCCGAGCAGTTCTTGAATTTCTTTGAGTTCTTTATCATGTATACTGATAAGCAAAGAAGTAGCAATCCATGAAACACATCGCCAAACATGCATCCAAAAAGCATAGGAAATGTAAATAGAGAAAACACCGCAGGATTTATCTCTCCATACGACGGAATTGCATAGGTGTTGGTAAGAATCTGAAAGGATTCTGTAAACTCATTCGTTCTGAAGTATGTAGGAGGCATCTCTTCGCTTTCTGTGATTTCAAATGCGAAAAGGCTTGTTCCATCCCCTTTTATCTCATTGATCCTCTTTAACTTTCCTATCTCTTCTCCAAGAATCCAGGCTTCGCCGACAAGGCAATCTCGATCGAAATCAAAGCTTAACTTGTTAAGAGTCTGATATATTTTCGTTTCCTTGTTTAGATAGTACTTCCAGGTATTTGCAAAATGCCGGATCTTGTCTTGTTCCTTTTCTATTGCTTCGTCATTATGATCCTCGATTTGTTGCATCTGACTTATTGTTGCACTTAACTCAAGTAATCCTCGCTTACATTCTCTGAATTTTTTGTGATCTAGCATTCTTCCTCCTAAAGATGAAAATATATCTCTAACCTTCTCTAAAGCTTCACAACCGTGCGCAAGCACAATAAATACCGTTTTTGTTCCTTCTTCTACATCCCTTGTCCTTATGACCAGGTTTCTTCTTAGTGCCTGATGAAGTACCTTTCTTATCAAAAGTTTTTTTCCCCTCTCAACTATCCCAGTCATGAAATCAAACTGAACAAGATGTACTTCTTCTGCAACAGTTCCAAGAAAATTCTCTGTCTCCTCCTGCATATATAGGTCCTCCTTTAACCTTCCCTGGTTTGCATTGGTCTCTTTCTTTATCGACTTCAGCTGGGTCAATCTAGAGAAAAATTTGTTAACCTGCTCCTCCACCTGATCTATATCGCTATGCTTGATTCCCTCGTCAATTTCTCCGACGTCCCCTGTCAAGTATTGCAATCTCGAAATGAGCTTTTCCATATGTGCTATCTCCCTGGTGTACAGTAGATTCTCCGCTTTAATGCTCTTATTAAGATCTTTGAAGTGAAGAAGTCCATTCTTCCCAATCTCGGTTATCGTCTGCTTTGCAGTATCCTTGCTAAAATACATCGATACCAAACACATCTTTTCACTCCTCAACATGACTATTTTGTTTGCTTGTCCTGGTGAAATCAGGGAAGAACTTTTATTTACTTTGTTTCAAATTTGAAAATCTTTGCTTCTCGGAAAAATCGAACAAATGAGGATAGTCATATTTTCCTTTCCGTTTTTGGTAGAGGGGCAGAATAGGGAGGATTTCCGTCTTAGAGATGGTATGCAAGAATAATCTTCTTATGCAAACCCATCCATACCTACTAAAGTATATAAGATGGATAGAAAACCTTCAGTAAAGTGGGAGGAGCCAGAAAGTGATCGAAAGACTGTCCCAAAAAAGATAGAAAGGCCAAGCGTCTCAACATTGGACTTTTGGAACCGGGAGCTTGAAAATCCGCTGGATTCAGATAAGGATCAAGACGAATCTACCGATATGGATGCGTTTTTCACTTCTACAGGCTGTTTGGAGAATGAAAAGGAAAGGGAATTTCTGGTGTATTCGAAATTTACTGTACGGGAAATCAAAAGATCGACTGATTCCGTGGTGTTAGTAGGTGACAAGGTTGAATGCCATCTTTCAGGAGAATGGTGCGAGACAGAGTATAGAGTAAACGACCGGATCACTGTTCTTCACTGCATCTGTTGCAATGAGCAGGATGAAACATCTGATATTGATTACCTGGATGAGATCTTCGAGTCTGAATGTGGAGATCACTCTATGATTGAAGAAAAAGAAAATTCAGGCCAAAGTATCTTGAGAAATCGAATCTTTGTTACAAATACGGAAAACTACCTCCTCATTGAGGATGATCCCATCTCCATCACAACACTGTGTGAGTCCTTGTCATGCAAAAATAAGCGCTATATCAACACCAAGATTGCCTCTATAAGGTTTTCTTATACCGACCTAAGAGTTCTTATTGGAGTAGTGGTTCATTCTGTGATGGAAAAGGCTCTAGTTGAAAGGAACTTCTCTTTTGACTTCTTAACAAGGCAAACGAAGGCAAAGATTTCTAAAAATGTTGCTCTGATGCATAGATGTGGTATTGATGAAAGGACAGCTCTTAATGAATCACTGAAGTTAATAAAGAACATATACCTGTTCCGGGATCACAGGTTTGAGGTTGTTGAGACGGAAAAAAAGCTCATGTCACTCTTGTTTAACATCAAAGGGAATGCAGATGCAATTGGGGAAGACTCGGTCCTCGAGATAAAGAGCACCAAGTCTCAAAGAGCAGAACATCGTGCACAAGTAATCTTGTATGCTCTCATGCTTAGGGAAAAAACAGGAAGAGACTTTTCTCCGTGTTTGTACTATATTCCTACAAGAGAGATGGTTGAAGTTAAGCTAAAGCATCAAGAAATTCGAAGTCTGTTAAACCTTAGAAATAAGATTGCTGTTACAAGTGAACCGTGTGAATGTACATGCGACGATTTTAGTTGCAATGCTCTGCTTAAGATAAAATCTCTCGACGAGACACATTTTCTAAGAAGTCAGCTAGACGCAATAGATTCAGAAGAAGGAAGGACAGCAGAGTCATTTATTCCAGTTATACTTCGTTATCAAAATAATACTTTAGTTAGGCTGGATATTCAAGGAGTTTTTTCTCCCAACAACATATATCTGAGTTTGTTCAGCTCTGACTTTGTAAGAATCTCAAAGGGGATTGTTGAGGAGATTAATGGAAATAGACTATTGGTAAGACTAAACGAAGAAATACTTTTCAAAGATAGAGAAAAGCTTTATGTGTCTTTTGGAGTCTCAGACATATTCTTCAGGTTTATGAGGTTTTCACTTGTTCATATTGCCTATCCAAGATACTGCACACCAGAGGTGATAGGAGGATTCACCCTCCCTATGGAAAAGATGGGCCTTGGTTTGGAAAACGGTTTTGATGAGCCAAACTCGGGAGACGGAGATTCTCTTTTGACTGAAGAATTGGAGGAGTGTCTTAAAAGTGATAAAGAGGTTTTGGAAAATGACAAGGAAAAAATCAAAGCGGATGGGAATGGTGGAGATAAAACCTCTTCTAACATATCAGAAATACATACGAGTTATGAGTTGGACGATCACAAAATCACAATACCCGAAGTTTATCGGGAGGAGTTCTTAAAGCTCAACGATGATCAACGCTCTGCATTATTTTTGTCCCTGAACTGTAAGAACTACAGAATTATACATGGAATGCCGGGGACGGGAAAAAGTACCCTAATATGCCTCTTAATTAAGATTCTTGTTTATCTCAAAAAGAAAGTTCTTCTGATATGCTACACGAATCTTGCACTGGCAAATATTACAAAGAAGTTAAGCGGAATTAGAGTGTACACTGCCGGAAAGGAGGGCTTTTTCTTCAAAACAACCGAAGAGGCCAAGTTGTTCTTTGATAATATTGAACTGGTAGTAGGAACATGTTTTTCGTTTTCCGATCCTATCTATTTAAATAGACGGTTTGACTTCTGTGTAGTTGATGAGGGTTCTCAAATGCACCTACTTCTAACCTTGATACCTATAAGCATTTCTTCGAAGTTTGTGATAGTAGGGGATCATCTCCAACTAAAACCTCTTTCTAGATGTTCTAAGGACCTGAGTATTTCACTTTTTGAGTATTTACTTGGAAAAGATTACTCCAAACTTAGGACACAATACAGGATGGGAAATGAGATTATGAGGCTGTCAAACACCCTTTTCTACAGTAACCAACTTCTTGGGGAGAAGAGGCCATCGAAGGTTGAGTTTATAGACACCGATATCATAGATTTCATGGCATTAGTACCTTCTTTTGAAAAATGCACTATCCTCTGCTATTTCAATGCACAGGTAGATACTATAAGAGAAATGACTAGATGTATTGTAGAAACGGTGGATAGGTTTCAAGGGAGTGAAAGTGACAAGGTTGTTGTTGTCTTTGATCCTATTTCCAAGTGTGAAGTGATGGAGAGCAGCGAAAGGCTTAACGTGGCATTGACAAGGGCCAAGAAGCACCTTGTTCTTGCAGGGAGCAGGACAAAAATGATGGAAATAGACATATTGAAGAGACTTATAAGTATCTTGTAAGAATATCCAAGATAGTTGGTCAATCTTCATTTCATTTTTGAGTCTGAGTAGTTTATGCCCCAACACCAGATGTTGTTCTATGAGTTTTTCAAATCCAACATAGGAAAACGGATTTTTGTGATGTTGAAAGCTGGAGTGTATGTGTCTGGAGTGCTAAACAGCATAGATCCATACCTCAACTTGAATCTCGAGGAAGTGGAGATCCTTAGCGACCACCCTGGATTGAGTGGGACTTCTCTGTGCTCAATACGAGGGTCGTCTATAAAATATATCCTTGCAGATAGAGATGCAGGATTACTTCAAGGAGTGAATGCTGGAAGCAGGCTTAGAATGATACTTGACAAATGTTATTGACGTCTGTTAATTGAATAGGAAATAAACTACTGGCTTAAGGATTATTACTATTACTATTTGTTACTCTCTTTCAACCCCATTTATTTGAGCTTAATGAAAGGTTATAAGCGACAATCGAGGGAATCGACTATTGTGAAGAAATTTCTGAAAGAACATCTGAACGAAGGAACTACAAAGTCTACATGCGAAAAGATATATCAGCTTTCACAGCGTGTGGCTAAAGCTAGAATGAGCAAAAGACTCCTTTCGGAGATCATAAAGGTATCTAAAGTTTTTGTAGATGATTATGCAGAAAAAACCCGGGGAATGAGCTCAAAAGATACAGGAAGATGTCTTTACTCGTTTGATTGTCTTTGGAGTAGAAGCATGAATCTCTTTGGGAAAGTGTTCTGTCCAATTATACGAACTAGAAGGAAGTTTATAGACCGTTTATCTTCAAAGTTATTTATGCAATTTGTGAAGAACATCGAGGATAAGATAGTAAAATTTATAATAGACAATATAAGAGAGGAAATACAGAAAGTAGAAACTAATAGGAGAACAAGTAAACCTGAATCCAGTAGTTTGGAATCCTCTTCTAACAAAAAGCAGAAGCTAAGCCAAGACGAGCCTGGAAAATTGGGGGAGCTTAAGGAAAGGGACTTTGGTGTATTTGAATCGCTTTCCAGAAAGGAGAAAATTTCAACTTTAATCGGCATACTTCAAGGTAGGGGATGCTTCGATCTGTTTCTAGAAAGAGTTGTTGGGAGCTTAACTTCGGTCCTTGATGAAAAGATAGATAGGGAAGGTCTTGGGATTTTAGCAATAAAGAGACTTATTGACGAGCAGAGAAAAGCCGGGTATATGAAGGACTACTTCTATGCAGTTGAATCGAATCTGATGAGAAAAATAGTTATAAAATATACTAATGAGGAGATTTTCAAAATGCTGGACAAAGAGGATGAAATGAGATTATGTATGGGATTTTTTTGTGCCTCCAACGAGGAGAAAAGGCTTATGGAGGCTTTGGATGTGTATTTCAGGAAAATAATGGGAAATCCTTCTATTGATGACTTTATTGGAAAATACTACTGGATCTACCTCAAGTTTAGAGAACTAGAAAATAGCAAGGATGGAGGATACGAAAGGATTATAGAAGGAATTAGAAACTGTAAGAAAGACATTCTAAAGTTAGATGCAGAGTGTGTTGTTGAGTGCGTATGCAGATGGACGGATTCGTTTCTAAGAGGAAAAATAATCATCCAGGAGAACACCATTGAAGGGATGGAAAGTCCAATTTTTATTCCAGGGAGCGAAAGGAAGGAAGTGATAAATGTAGAAAGAGTTTTAAAGAAAATAGGGATAGACTCTCTTCTTGAAGGTAATGGATGGAGAGAGTATCTTGTATTGAATATTTTCGATATGATTGGAGAAATGTTTCGTTTCTGCGATTACAAGGAGATGTTTGAAACGACATTACAAGGCAGATTGGGAAGTAGACTTGTCTCTGGATCGTCTATATCAATGGACTGGGAGATTCGACTAATTGATAAGATTGATTCCGGTAGAAGCACCATAGACAAGATGAGATGCATGATAAAAGACTTTATGGAAACAGAACAATTCATGGGCCATGATATTCTGCTTCTTCGGGGATGTAAGTGGCCTAGATATGAAGAGACTATCCTTAGGATCCCAGATGTTGAGGAAGTCAAGAAAAGGTACAATCACGTGGTAAAAAACAAAAGAAAGATAATCAGATGGAACGATCTGTTATCATCCTGTGAAATTGAGTTTTTGGGACGTATGGTGAGAGTTACATTGCCTCAATACCTAATGATGAAGCTTTTGGTTGAAAAGGATAGGACGGCTGAGGATTTGAAGATTTGCAAATCCTGGGACAAGAATCTTGAAGTATTGGTTAAGAAAGGGTTGGTGAAGGTGGAAGGAAAAAGACATTTTTTGAACATGGATTATTGGAAAGGGGACTTTCCCATGGACTCGATGATTCCTGATATGTTCCCGTTGCTAGGACCGCAGAAAATCATAAAGATGTTTGATGAATCTGAGTCTTATAAGGATCTTTTAGATTGTAAAATAATAAAGGAAATGAAAGCTAATAAGACACTGAGCAAAAGTGGTCTCAAAGAACTGCTAAATAAGACGTATCCACAGGAAATTCTCGATGAAAGAATAGACAGCTTGGCAAACCGAGAGTTTTTGAGTGTTGAGGGAGAGAATATAAAGTATGTTCCATGATTCCCAAGTGTTCTCCATTTCCATTCTGCAAAGCGTTTATTGGATCCCTATTTTTTTGTAAAATCCAATTAAGGTCTTTGAAATTCCGAAAATCCCCCTGGAAACTATTTCATAAAAATGTTTCTCCCTTGGAGTGCAATGAATTCAGAAGCTCGGATTAAAAAGATAATGGAGGAGACAGGATGTTCACTAGAGGTTGCAAAAAAAGCGGAGCAAGAATCCCAAGGTAACTTGAATGCGGCTATAGAAATGGCTAAGAAAAAAGGAAATGTTTTGTATTCAGGGGGAAACAGTGGGCTATATGTTGAGGAAAACCCATCGCGAAAGTCAATAACTCAATACAAAAATGGAATCCTGGTGGAGGATAAGTTCTATGATTTTTCCGTAGATAATAATATCAGACTCAAGGACATGCTGGAAAAAGGAACTTTTGATGCATCACTTCTTGTTTTGGAGGGAGATACAGCCGAAGTCATCTACAGTGAAAGGTTGGATGAGGAATACAAAGAAAAAAAGCCCCAGGAACCTTCTAAGGTAACAGCCTCGTTTGTAGGGGAAGGAAGGCAGATTGGGAACTCCAGCAGAGATATTCCTTGTAATAATATTGAAGACACGTTAGAAATAGTCCATGATGGTGATACAGTATTCAAAGTTATGATAGGGAGCAAAAGAGTCACGGTGAAAATGCACAAGTTTCAAACAGTTGGCGATTTCTTCGATTATATGGAGAGATATTATGACTTCGGGCTTGTTTTGTCTACCAATGGAAAAGAGATTCCCCCTAGCCATAGTGTTGAAGAAATATCAAACAAACTTGTTCTCCTTAGCAGAAGATAGGTTTAATAAAAATGATTAAATTTATTAAGTGGTGGCCAATTTTATTTTTTCTGGTGTTTATCACTTCTATATGTTCACAATGCTATGCAGGTTTATTATTTTGTTTCGGGAGGCCGAAAACTCTCACAGGCATTTCTAAGTCTGATAACATTGTCTTTACTGAAAGAAAAGCTGAGAAAACCAAACATTTCGCAGGGAAAATACAAACTTGCATACACTAACTCTATTTCTTTATACGGTTCTCTACCTAGAATAAGTATCTTGTCCATCCTCTCCACAGAAAGTTTCCATAGCTTATTAATACATGGGACAATACAGTCTTCCCCACTGTAAACGAAAATCTCTTCTCCCTTATCTCCTTCAGTAGCTTCTGGAGTATCTCTCGCAACTTTAATGAGTCCTTTTTCTTGGAGTAGAGCAAGTACCCCGTACATCCTAAGGTACAGACTTGGGAAATGGAAGTTGTAGTCTAGAACTTCAAACAACTCTGACTCATAATTAAAAATGTTTTTCTTATTGGATCCCGGGAGCCTTTTTATAAGAGTATCTATATTGCCATGGAGATCCTCACACTTAGAAGCAACTATTACTATCGCATATATGACATCCCTCATTTCTTTTTTGCCTCTAAGCATTTTACCAATGGCCCTATCGAATATTTGTATAGATGTACTCCTTACCGTAACAGGTAAGTCTAATTTTATGCATGCCTCTATAATCTCCCATCTGTATCCTATGATCCTCTCTACAGAGTTTTCCATTCAAGGGTGCGGACAAGTCTTTATATTAGTGTGTTCCTGCATGAAATTCGTTTGTATCATACATCTCCAATCTTAAATTACAGAGAAGAATTTACAAATCGATTCTGGAAACGTTGCAAGCTTGGACTGTGTAAACAAATAAGATTGCCTATGAAAAGTAGATTCTATTCTGATGAATAAGGCCCTTTATTATTTCAGAAGCTTTCGGAGATCGGAATTCAGATCTCCAGCTTTCTTCAGTACCTTATGGACTGCCATTTCAAAGTCCTCTTGTGTTACATGGACTCTTCTTTCTCTCAGAGCATACATTCCAGCTTCTGTGCATACAGCCTTAACCTCTGCTCCAGAGCATCCGACCATCTTGCTTGCTATTGTCTCAAGATCGATACCTTTGGTAAGATTCATCTTTCTTGAGTGAATCTTCAGGATCTCAAGCCTTGCGGATTCTTTCGGCTGGGGAAACTCAATCTTCCTATCAATCCTTCCAGTCCTCAGTAGAGCAGGATCAAGAATATCAATTCTGTTAGTTGCCATTATAACTTTGATGTTATTATGGGACTCGAATCCATCGAGCTGGTTGAGCAATTCAAGCATGGTCCTCTGAACTTCACTATCACTTCCCTTGTTTGAATCTCCTCTTGTAGATCCAATAGAGTCGATCTCATCCATAAATATTATGGACGGGGCATGCTCTCTAGCCATAACAAAAAGTTCCCTCACCAATCTAGATCCTTCTCCAATGTATTTCTGAACAAGCTCCGACCCAGAAACTCTTATGAACTTGCATTGGGTGTGATGAGCTACAGCTCTTGCCAACAGGGTTTTGCCTGTTCCGGGAGGACCGTACAGAAGAACTCCTTTTGGCTGGGCAATCCCAAGATTCTCAAATAGCTCAGGATGTTTTATTGGAAGCTCAATGACTTCCCGAATTTCCTTAATTTGTTCATCAAGGCCTCCTATCATTTGATATGTAGAATCAGGAACTTTTTCAACCATCATAAGAGATACAAGCGGATCTACTTTTGTAGGAAGTATTCTATGAACATCATATGAGTCACTGCGGAGAGCAACTCTTACCCCGGGCTTGAGATCATCATAATTTACTCCAGGCTCTACTTTTGCTAAGTACTTTCCATCTGGATTTGTTTTAACTAAGACTTGCATTTTTCCCATTTTTTCTACAATCACTCCAACATTAGAGCTGGGTTCCTGCACAATAGATATTTCCTCCCTAAGAAATCTGACCCTTCTGTTCAACTCTGCCCTCTTCTGTTCCAAAACCCGAAGGACTTTACTCTTCTTGGCTATAAGCACCTCAAGATGGTCCAGTTTGTTGCTATAGAAGTTTTTGCAAAATCCCTCCACCATCTCAAGGGATTGTATTAGGATTAGATTTTCATTCAACAAACAAACAACTTTTCGGGCACAGGAAGACTTAGTAAATTCAAGGCATATTCATTATGGAAGAGATCAAGAAGTCCTCTTTGGCATAGATGTCTCGTCCAGTAAAGTTGGAAGTGTGGCTGAAGTTTACATCCTGGACATATATCGGCTGGATTAGCTTAGTGGTAGAGCATGGCGTTGTGGCCGCCAAGATGCGGGTTCGATTCCCGCATTCAGCACTTTTGCTTGGGACACTTTTTCTTTCTAGTTTTCCTCCTTCCTTCCAATTTTAATTTCAGGAAGAACAAGTAAAGGACCTCCAACTCCTCTTCTTTTCAATTCCCAATATTCCAATACTTTCAAAAGATCTGGGAAGTTTCCTTCCTTTTGGGTATATGCTTTAATCTTTGAAAGAATGGATGGTGTGGCAACCGGCTGTAGATTGCAGAGCTTTCTGAATAGCGTAACCTGAGGGCATGCCATTGGAGCCTTTTTTCGGATTATTGGAGGATTTCGTAACTTTTCATATCCAAAATACCTTATTTTGGTCACTTTTCTGTAGCCTAATTCATATGGACTTCTTTTCAAAGGACTATGGTCGATACAATAAGATATTCTATTTTCCAAATCAAAGTAACATTTGTCTAGAGCACATGACACATGGTATTTCCTAGAACACATAAAATACGAGCAGCATATCACAGTTCCAACAGTTTTTTCACAGAAAGAACATCCGGATTCTTTGGTATAGGAGCTAACATCAATGGGGTCTTTTGATAATGGATGGCCAAACGAGAGAGATCTGTTGAACATAGCACACAAAACATGGCCCCATCTGTTGTCGGATGTCTGCTTGAAGATGCCGTCTGAAGAAGGGCAGAAAGAACACTCTTTTAGGTCCTTTCCATATATACATCCCTTGCACAACCAAAAATCACTCAGATCTTGTATTCCATAGCAGTTTTCATGCACACATATTCCACATCCTTGGCATACAAAAAGAGTTCCGGTGCGTTCCGATGCATGCCTTGTACAGATATCACAGAAGGAAGTGGGTTCTATAGGTTTTACGTGCCTGGATACTAAATCCTGCACGAATAGGAACCATTCCTTTTCTAATCTGTCGATAACTAACTCAAAAACATCTTTGGAGATATCAATTCCCGATCTCTCCAAATAAAGTTGATCATAGCTGTCTAGTTTATACACGATAGACTCAAAGAAGTTTCCTTTTTGATTCCTTCTAGTTGTTTTCTTGCTATCCGATTCACTTTCTGATGCATAGGTGCTTTTTGAAATAATCTGATGCATTTTCTCGATCTCCAGATTATGATATATCGATCTGTAATCACGTTCCTCCCTCGGAACGCCTCCAAGGCATTTGGAAGTAGACATTTTTGGGTAGTAAGATTCCCCATAAGGAATGGAAAATTTTTTTTCTCGGCACATAACCATAGCCGAGACAGGAGGAGACACTTGGATTTACAGTAAAGGATACACGGCTAGAAAAAATATCATCTACAATGAGTCTGGCGAAAGTATATATGAGATTCCATTTGTCCCAAAACACTTCCATGTTTTAGCATTTGAATACTTCTTAGTCGATGAACTAAACGCTATATATCTGGTTAACAAAAATACATTGGAAATATTGGAGATTGGAAGAGTGAAAGATGAAGTGGTTGCTCTCAGTGTATCAAGAGATGAAAAATGGTGTGTTATTGCCTCTACTACGGAGATTCTTCTCTTTGATTCATATATTGACTTCAAGAAGTCGATCAAATTCGAATTTAATGAAGTAATTCAGATTGAATGGACGGACTACGAGGTTTTTGGTGTACTAACTAGTAACATGATATTCTTTTATGATATCGAACTTAATTTGGTAGGAAAAAGCAAAGAAAGGGAATATTCAAGTATTTCTTGGAGAAGCAAATATAACGTATTTGGATGCTCAACGGGCAAGGAAATCTGCTTCGTTGAACCAAATGGACTTGAACATGGAGATCCATTAGAGGTACGATGTAACAAATTGACTTTTCTTGAAAATGAAGATTTGCTGGCTACTATTGAAAATAATGACGAAGGTTCTCTGCTCAAAGTGTTTTACACAAAGAATTTTCATTGGTATTTGAAACTTTTGAAGCAAGTACCTGGAGGATTCCTATGTAGTGAAAAAAATGCCGTGCTGTTCAAAGATAAAGAGAGGATAGCAAAGGTTTTTTTGTTTGAGGAGAAGACGCATAGCGGCCCAGAATATTACGTGATTGATGGAAATTGCATACTTTACACAGACTTTTCGAAGAAAATCGTTCCACCACCTTTCTTCTCTGTAAAAATTGAGTTTGATAGTAATGTTATAGATATCTTTCCATCAGCAAAGAAGGGAGCAGTTCTCCTGAGAGACAAAGTGATTATTTTCAAATGGAACGGAGATAATTTTATTAGCGAAGAAGCTTTTTTTTTGGGAAGGGAATTTGACTCTGTCGTTCAGTTTAAAAGTTTTCTCCTTCTAAAGAGTAAAGATGAATTTCTTATAAAGAAAATGAATGGCGGTGAGGAAATACGTATCAACAGAAGTGTAAGAATTCAAGAAGCAACAAGAAGAAACATTATGAATGAAGAAAACATTAATGTCGTTACTAGCCAGCTCTGTGAAATATTGAACAGTTCGGTTGATGTTGTTAGATGTTACAACTTTGAAGAAAAGCTCTACTTACTGTTAGAAGATGGTTCTGTTATTCATAATGGTAGAATAGTGCATTCAGGAATTGACCTAGAGAAAAGATTTGAAATAGTCATAGGAGAAGATATCTTTGTTCATAATGGAACGAAGCTTTTTAAAAATGGTAACGTTACAGAGAATATAACTTCATTTCTGATTGGAGAGCATGGAATAATTACTGTATCTGAAGGAACAGGTAGATTTTTCTTAGGCCTTAAAGAAAGCACTTGCCAGGTTGATCATAGGTTGGAGCTTCTGTGTGCTCTGGACTTTAGGGTTGTTGGATTGACTAGGCATGGAACACTCGAGACATACACGCCTAAGATTTACACGCTAACTTTTATAAGGAAGCTTTTACTTGATGGGAAGTATAAAGATGCCATAGAAGGATGCCAAAGATATATAATTCCTTTTGGAGTATTTTTGGATTATAACATTGAACTTTGCAAGTTCATAGAAGCATGCAAAGATACTCATCTTATATCCTTCTTCAACGAAGCCCTACAGACGTTTGGAGATTTCGATTTTATTCTTGAAAGTGAAAAGGTAAAAAGATTCAGAAGGGTTTTTAATTTTCCTATGGTCTTGGAGCCTGGAAAGGGAAAAGAATATTTTGAAGTGTTAATAGCTAACGACGAATCAATAAGTGATGGCTCTCTTGAACATCTAATGGAATATAGAAATGGAAAGAGCCAAGAAGACTCAAAATTGGGTAACTCCAGATACTCAAGAGACCTTCCTAGAGACGGGAAGAAACTATGTGGGAGAAACACAAAAGATTTCTTTAACGAGCTTTTCCAGTCATTGGATCTGGAAAGAAATTTCAAGTTTGCCATTTTCGCACTAGTGAAAGTAAAAAGAATGGATCTCGCGCTCCAAGTAGCTAAGCATGATATGAAGGGGGGAATTGGATATATGCTTTCTATAACTAATATGAGTAACATTATCAATTCTGCATTGGAAACTTGTGAAGAAGATTTGGTGCATGAGGTGATGAAAATTTGCCAGAAGGACTCATCTGACTTTCTTTTTCTGATACGTAACTGTGAGAAAGACCTACGAGGGTTTAAGATTAATGACTTCCTTAAGAACAGAATAGATGCACTTTATCACATAAGCAGAACCGGAATGGTGGATTTGGAAAGAGAATATATCCAGAAGCACGATCTTGTTGAAGAGGCATTGATGTATGAGGCTTGTGGTTTGAGTATTAGAAAGGAAGGATATTATTTCAACCTATGTGCAGAGCTTCTTCCGCCAGAAAAGGCATTGATTCTTTTCAAGAGAGCCCAAAACATAGAAAAGGCATTAGAAACAGCTATAGAAAATCTCTATTGGAGAGAAGCATTAGGCATGTGTGTCAAAGAAAGACAAGAAGAACTCGGTAAGTCACTGGCTAGTAGGCTTATTGATTCAGGGAAGAATTATGAAGCAGGACAGTTATTTGAGGAGTTCTTGGGAGATACAGAAAAGGCCTTCATTGAATATGTAAAGGCAAAAAGTATGGGAAATGCTCTTAGACTGTGTTCTGATGGAGAACTTCTCATGAAGGAAGCACGTGAAATTCTCAAGGAAAAGCTTCTGGTACTTGATGATATAAAGAAATCGTTTATAAAATACAGAGACAGACTGAAAACTCTTGAGGAAAGAGAAGATGATTGTATGAGTGAGACATCGTTTAGTTACACCGAAAACAGAAGAGGTAGTAAGAGTACAAAAGTAAAGAATAGGCCAGGAGGAGGATATGAAAAAGAGTTTGTACTCGGAAAGATTAGAGATATTGGCTTGAATTTGATGAGGTGGAGGGATGAAACCGAGGATCTTTTGAAGGTATTTGAGAAATTTGAGATGAAAGAGTGCATCGATGCACATAATACCTCATTTAGCGCAGTAGGTGAAGTTTTAAAGATGGAAATAGACAATGTATTCGGAACAGAAAAAAGACATCTTTATGAATCAAATAGGCCGATTGTTGAGAAGCCAGATCTCAGCAAATGGCTTTAAGTTCGTATGTTGAATAGTCTTGAGACTGGAAGAGAATTAATTCAATAAATATTTATTCTCTAGCTGGTGCTTCAGGAGTATCAGAAAGAGGTGTACAATGGTTAATTCGGGCCACAGTACTTTTGCAAAAAATACAGATGTTCCCGTTGCAACTTGGCGTACCATGAAATTACTCAGTCTCTTTGCGTCTCCTGTTCTTATAAGTATATCGACTTTACTGTCGAATTTTATTCCTCTATTGATTTCATCTTCCGAGGAATACGCAAAGAAAATATTCACAACTATATCTGTATTGTTCTCAGTTTCCTTTTCTACTTCTATAAGCTTGTTTCTGACATCCGAATCAAGGAGATCCAATCTTCCATAAACTAAAAACTTTGGCTTGATACTTGTCTTTTTAGGATTTTTTATCTTCTTTCGGATAATATTCATTATCCCGTTCACTTCTTCAGGAGTTCTTCTAAGGTTGCTTAAGGCGAAACAGAAAAAAGAAACTTCCTTAAGACCATAAAAGTACCCGAAATTAATGAATTCGTATATTTTCTGGAGGCCTGGATCTCTTGTAAACTTGTCTTTCTGCCCAATCTTCTTCATATATCTTCTATTTCCATCGCAGATGAATGCAACCCTCATGCCTTGGAATATCTTAATCCTGCTTCTTCGAAAGGCGCCATCCGAATGATTGGAGTATGGTATTCCATTCCACACATCCAAGCCCATCGATGTCAAGGAAGAGGCCTTTCGAAAAATCCCTACTATGAAAAGAATCAACTCCATAATATACTTATTATTAACTCCATTTTCAACCGCTTCCACCACACATACCAGAACCTTCCTTGCTAGATTTTCCAGCATTCAACAATCAATGGATTCCATAAAAACTTTTTAATAGCTTAAGCTTAGAATCCTAATAATTAATTATTAAAACACAGAAATGCTGTAAATCGTTTTCATTCACCTCTAAATAAAGTCTATGGTGTTTCTGTCAAGTCTCTCTGTCTCCAACTCTAATCTATTTCGGAGAGCGCTCTCCTTATTCCTTTCATTCAATAATTCATTGTTCCTGATTTTCAGAATATTATACATCCTCTCTAACTCTTCTATATTCTTTTTGATTTCTTGAGTCCTCGTCTCGTCTAGCTGGAGTTCTCTGTTGCCTATATCATACTCCTCATCATATTTCTTGATTCTGTCCGAGAATATTTTCTCTTCATCCTCTAGAAGCGCCAGCTTAGACCTCTGGTCATCCATCATCTTCGAAAGTTTTAAAAGCTCATTTCTAGATAGTCTTATAAGGGCCAATGTCCTTCCTCTTTGGATCTCAACTTCCTTTATGTTAGTTTGTAAGTTTCTTAGATGGTTCTTCTTTGTATGAATCCTCGACATCATATTATCCTTCATTTTCTGCGTATCCTGTATCTTCTCAGTAAGCTGGTCTATGTCCTGAAGAAGCTTGTCAATGCTATTTTGCAGCATGTTTTCTTTTTGCTTGCTCTGTGCCATCTTTAGAACAATAAATGACTTCTTTGCTCCCAGTTCGTCTGATTGATTAGTGTTTTCGCCCATTCCAAACCCCATCCCATCTCCCAAGGGAGATCTAGTATATCTAGGGACCTCCATGAAGGAATCCCCACTCTCTCTAAACGACAATGGTATGTATTTGCTCTGCTCAGGCCTATATCCCGACAAAATATCTTTTGGGAGATAACCCTGTGTTCCAGACCCACTTCCATTAAACATCTGTTGATTACCTCGGTTAAATAGGCTTCTAATGTGCAATGGGTTGAGTAATGAACTTTCTTGGTAACTCATTCCCAACTCTGGGGTCGTATCTTCATCCATCGAGCTTGGTGTTGACCTTCCCATGTACTCAGGCTTGGAGGAGTTCAATTGTAGGCGATTTTCCTCGTCGTCTTTCTTACTTAAGCTATCCTTTCCCTTTCCAAATAGTTTATCTTCGCCTCGGTTTCCTTCATCATATTTAGAAGGTATGTTCTCATTGTCTCCAACAACTCTTTTTATCCCCTTGGTGTTAGAAAGCAGCACACCATCTCTGCTGTTTTTTATAGTTCCTCCAAGAGCATTTATCACTTTTCTGGCCATGTCTGGGTCTTTGTTCGGTCTGTCAGTGACTCCAAGATCGTCTACAACAACTATTTTGGATAGACATACCTGAATCAAAACTATTATTGCTATCATCTTTGTTTATTCCCTGTAGCGTCTTGTTGTTTTTAATTGCTGTGTTTCACACCAAGATCCAAGTTTCCAGGACTCGGATGGGTAAAAGAGTCTAGACTTATGTGCGTGAGTAAATGGAGATGTACTGAAAAGCCCTCAAAATGAGAAAGACAGACCTAGAAGATATTCGAAGAGTTTATGAAAAGTATGGGGAGGTTCTTGACGTAGATAAAATAAAGAACGGAGCAAAACATATTTTCAAATATGTTATGGATATTCCTGGATCTTTGCTTGACTATCCAAAAGTAAGGCATCTTCGTTTCTTGGCAAAAGAAAAGATCAGCCAGATTGTAAGCGAGATAAGAAGTCAGCATAATGAAGGAGACATAGATTCAAAAAGAACATTGGAGTGGATTTCAGCCATTAAAAATATTAGAAAGGTCCACTCTGCAATTGTAGGATATGAGTCTGCTCGTATAGCATACTGGAGAAAGATCAGCGTGATATGTGCTAGAGAATTGAAAAGAGGGCTTTCCAAGACATCCAGAACCAATCCTATACTTAAGTCAAAGAAAATATACAAAGAACTATTTGGACACATAAAGAAAACCGAAAGAAGCATGAAGGACAAGTCGAAGAGAGCAGAGAAGGAGGAAATGGAAAGGAAGAAGAAGGAGATGGAAGAAAAAGAGGAACTTCGGCAGAAAAGAAAGTTTGAGTATCTCCTGAGCCAGACAGAACTTTTTTCTCATTTCATATTGAAGAAGAGTAAATGCGATGTTTCAAATACAGAAGGAGAAGGGACTGAAGAATATAATAGCATGAAGGGATACAAGGCAGCCATGCTTCAAAAGGAAAAGGTAAAAGAGTTTGAAATGGGCAAGCAAGGAAAGAAATTCAAGAGCGGAGAAGAAGTTGGAGAAGTAGCATCTCGATATGTATCTCAGCCAAGTATCTTAAAGTGTGTTCTGAAGGAGTATCAATTGAAAGGATTAAACTGGCTTGTTAGTCTGTACGATAAAGGAATCAATGGAATCCTTGCAGATGATATGGGCCTTGGAAAAACAGTCCAATCGATTTCGCTGTTAGCTTATCTTTATGAGACAGAGGAGATCCCGGGGCCATTCCTTGTTGTAACCATTTCTTCAACACTCGACAACTGGGCTCAGGAATTTTCAAGATTCCTTCCTAGCTTTAAGGTATGCCGTTTTTCAGGATCTCCAAGTGAAAGAAAGGAGCTGAAGAAGCAATTCAAGAATTCGGACGTTGTTATTACTACATACCAAACAGCAGTTAGCGATGAGAAGATGTTGAAAAAGATCAAATGGCAGTATATGATTCTTGACGAAGCACAAGCCATCAAAAGTAGTATGTCGAGGAGGTGGAAAACTCTTCTGAGTTTCAAGGCAAGGAATAGGCTTCTTTTGACAGGAACACCGATACAAAACTCTATGCAAGAGTTATGGGCTCTTCTCCATTTTATAATGCCTACTTTGTTTGACTCTCTTAGTGAGTTCAGTGACTGGTTTAGCAAGGAGATAGAAACTTCGGCAACTATGAAAAAGACTGTTGATGAAAAGTCTTTACAAAGACTTCATACTATTCTAAAGCCATTTATGCTCCGAAGACACAAATCCGATGTTATTCATGAACTAGGGCAAAAGACGCAAATTGATCTATATTGCAACCTGAGCTATAGGCAAAGAGTACTATATAAGGAAATAACTAAATCTTGCTCAAGTATGGAGATGGAGAATCTGCTTATGCAATTGAAGAAGGTTTGCAACCATCCAGATCTGTTCAAGAAATTGGAGCCGACTTGTGGATTGAGCCTTGAAATTAGTGATGGAGTAGGCGATACTATTTCGTTTGGTAGAAGTAAGCTAGACATAAAAATTCCCAGTCTTATCGCAAAGGATGCACTTGAGGTGTTCCATAGAAGGGAACAGGAATTAATTGAAAGAATCAATGCACTGGAGAAGATTGCTTATGGAAGGGGATTCTGGGGATGGTATTTAGAGAACAGCTTAGACTTCAAATATAAGGGCCGTATTTTTAGAAGTGTTAAAGAGGTTGGTAAATCTATATTGAGGAATTTCGAGAATTTAGATTCCAACAAGTTATTAGAGAGCCTGAAAAGATTAATGAATGAGGAAATGTACTGCTTAAAAAGATATGCTTGCTGCATAAGTCCGGTTGTTGCTACAGTACCTAGGTTGATTTCTAATGAAGTGGAGCTCCCGGGTATATATTTGGAAGATGTGCACATTCCACTTAACACAACCATCCACGTCCCTCCACTCAATACTTTCATTAGCGACAGCGGAAAAATGATAATTTTGGATGAATTATTACCGAGACTTAAAGCTGAGGGCCATAGATTATTGATATACTTCCAAATGACACGGATGATAGACCTTATAGAAGATTATCTTGTGAAGAAGGGATACACATACCTGAGACTGGATGGGAGTCTGAAAGCTTCGGCCCGGGCGGACGTGATCCGAGATTGGCAAACAAATGACAAATTTATTTTTCTATTAAGTACCCGTGCTGGAGGACTAGGTATTAATTTAACTGCTGCAGATACAGTTATTTTCTACGACAGCGATTGGAATCCCACTGCTGATCAACAAGCAATGGATAGAGCACATAGACTGGGGCAAACAAGAGATGTAACGGTGTATAGGCTTATTACAAGGGGAACGGTTGAGGAAAAGGTTCTAGAAAGTGCCAACAGAAAAGACGAGATACAGAAAATGGTTATTCATGGAAACATATTTGAAGGAGAGAACTTTTGAAATAAATAGTATATTGTGAATGCAGTATCGATTCTATTCATTTGTTCTTTTTGAGCCAATTGCATTTATGACTCTATTTGAATAGGTGGCATCCAATGGAAGTAACTCTTTTGTAAGCAGGCTCCTTTTTATAGAAACAAAATAATATATCAGTGAATATGAAAAAGACAACCTGAATGGAATTCTTGGACAGGTTAATTCTTGGATCCAGAACTCCAAGATATGCAGACGAAGCTCTTTTTCCTTCAAGGACTTACAAAAAACCTATGTGTAATAGAAAACATTGCAATACCTCATGTACTTCTAGAGTGCTCGAAGAATTTGAATTCTGGGCTTATTTTCTTTCTGAAAAGGAGCCTAACAGAAGAGAGGTAAGAAAGAAAATTCATACGATGAGCAAAGACTTGAGATTTTCAATTTGGATCAAATGTGTTGGATCTCGGGAAAAGTTTATAAGGATGAAGGAGATAGGACTTTCTAATACGAAGGAAGCCCGAGATGTTGAAAGCAAAGAAGATGGGAATAGGAAGTTGGACGATAAGGGTTTGGTAAAGTTCATATTGGACATGTGTAGAGATGCGGAAGGAAATAACCAAGAAGCTATATTCAATATTCTAAAGAATTTAGAAAGAGACTTTTCTTCAATATCTAATAAAAAGCTCCTTGCATTGACCATAATGCACATTCTGGAGCTTCCATATGCCTCCCCACAAACTACATATCGCTTTATTCATTCCTTAATGGAATCTCACAACTTCTGTAGTGTATTCTCAGGATTCAATGAGTCTGAACTAGATAATGGAATGGATCAAGATGATGAGAATAGCGTCCATTCGGCATTTTGGAAGTTCATCATTTCTGAGAATGCTTTGGTGTTTGACAGAATAATAGATCTCTTAGTTTGTTATGAGGGTGCGAATATAGCGTCTGTTCCCACATTTCTTAAGAAGCAGACCGGAGATAATGATGTTCAGAAGTGGGTTGAATTCATTTCTGTGAGATCCAATCTCGACAAGCTAGGAAGTGTTTTCGACAGTGAGAGGTTAGAAGGTCCTACTGAGGTGGAAGACAGAGAAGAGACATACTTTGACTTTTTAGTCATCCAGAACGAGACGATAAAGGCCCAAGAAATGATGAAAATAGAAACCAATGAAAAGTTGAATTCTCTTAAAGAAGAGAGAGATGAGCTTTATGCACAAAAGGTCAATCTTATGGAAGCATGTTCTTCCTTGGAGTCGGATCTCAAGGAATATCAAAAAGAATACGTTAAGAAAGTAGAAGAGATGCTCCATAGTGTTGAAGATAAGTGCGAGAAGTATGAAAAAGAAAATATGGAGCTTAAGGCAAAAGTGGATGAAAAAGAACAAGTGAAAGATTTGTAACAATTAAATAGATATTTTATTTTGGTCCGTAACTGTTTAGACTGTTAGAAATGATCCCCTTGAGTCTTATGCATATCAAGCAAATAAGGTTGAAAAACTTCAAAAGCTTCAAGGATGAGACTCTGGTAGAATTTACAGAGAATGTCAATATAATTGTGGGGCGGAATGGAAGTGGAAAGAGTAGCATTGTCTCAGCTATCCGTTTTGTTCTGTGTGGAGAGAAATACAACTGTGAATCTAGGATGGAGCTTATTCACGAAGGAAGTAGGGCTAGCGAAGAAGAGGCAAGCGTTGAGATTGTATTTGATAGTGGATCTCCGGAGTCCCTGGGGAAGGGATTTAGTATTAAGAGGGTTGTAGATGCCAAGAAAGATGAATATATGCTGGATAACAAGACTATATCTCGAGATGAGTTGGGAGGTCTGCTTCAAGGTCATGGGTTTGCCACAAGTAGTCCATATTTTATTGTTTTACAGGAAGAAATATCGGAGCTTGCAGTTCTTAGCGACAGAAGAAGGTATGAATTGATAAAAGATGTTGCGGGAGTGTCTGAATACGAAAAGGATAGGGAAAATAGCATGCAGACGCTTGAAGAAACTAAACAGAGTGAAAACAAAATTGAGCTGTTATTAGAAAGGATCGAAGAAAAGTTAAGAGGATTTGAAAACGATAAAAAAGAGGCAGAGTTGTGCTTGGAGCTAGAAAAAGAGAAAAGAAGGCTTGAATATGGATATATTGAGAGAGAAGTTGGAGAGATCAATGAAGAGATATGTAAAATTGAAAATCTTGGATCTAATAATCTTGAAGAGAGCTCCGAAGAAAATGAAGATTATGGATGCGAGATCAGAGAAGTAGAGAGCAAACTAGAAAGGCTTGGTAGACGAAGGAAAGAGCTCCATGTAGACGAAAAGTACAAAGATAAGGAATCTGAGATTGAAAATGAGATCAAAAATATTGAGAAGAAAAGGAATGATCTTTTAGGATCCCTTGAGATTGAAAAAAAGACTCTAAAGAGTCTTAAAAGGAATGAAATGGAAACCTTTGTAAGGTCGGGTTATATAAAATATCTAATAGTGTTTTTAGAAACTCTGGGAAATAGAGAAGTGAGTTCTGAAGAAATAGAGATATCCAAGAGAGCTTTGAAGGAAAAGATCGAGAAGTTAAAGGATTTTAATAATCTGGATCATTCGGGGAAGTTTGAAGAAAAAAGAAATATTGAGGAGTTAATTGAAAGGAGAAAGCATCTATGGAGAGAAGAAAGAAGGTTGAAGCTTTCCGAAGAATCAATAGGGGGAATTGTTAAGTCCCAGGAAGGAAGATTAATTGCGATGGGAAACATCGGTTTGGATGTATACAAGCAGATTAAGAATGAAAAGGGGGTATTGGGATATGTGTACGATTTGATAAGCATACCTAATGAGTTAGCCAATGCGTTTGAAGCCGTTGTGGGAAATGCTCTCTTCAATATAGTTGTGGAGAGTGAAGATGTGGCATCTAATGTGTTGAAAAAGATGAAGGACTTAAGGTTTAGAGTAACATTTATGCCGCTTAATAGAATTGAATATAAGGAGGAAAATGAGATAGAAGATTCGAATGTTATTTCGTTGACATCACAATTGAAATGCAACCAGCAATATAAGCCTCTCCTCAGATATATCACTAAAAATTTCTATCTTTGTCCAGACTTGAAACAAGCACTTCATCTGTCCAAGAAGTATGGAATCAATGTTGTTACTCTCTCAGGGGAAGTGGTGGCCAGGGAAGGAACTATTACAGGAGGATATGAGAGAAGAAACATGGTTTTCCAGGAATATAAGAGGATATGCAAAGAATCAAGAAAGATAAAAGGTGAAATGATTAAAGTGCAGCATGAACTTGGGAAAATTAATAAGGAGATTGAAGAGGTAAAAATGCACAAGGAGTGTGGAAGCGATGAATCCAGATACTACGAAAGTTTGAAATCCTCCGTTCTATTTCTTCAAGAGAAAATAAAGATACTAGAAGAAGTTGTTAAAGAGAAGCTTGATGGAAACGGTATCAACGGAAAGCTTCGAAAATTAAGAGAAGAGGAAAAAGACCTAAAGCTTAAAGGGATTTGGATTGGAGGAGAAATTAAAAAAGTTGGAATGAGAATAGAAGAAGCTGAGATAGGAGTTAGGAATTTAAATGAAGGTGTAGGACGTCTTCGAGAAGAATTAAGTAAATCTAGCATGTATAGAGAGGCAAAAGAGATTGAAAAAGAGATCTTGGAGTTGAAGGATAAGAAAAGAGCTGTAAAGGAGATGATGTTTAATGAGGAAAACATGGGACTGTTTGCAAAACCTAAAAAGATAAATGTTGAAGTGGAAAATCTAGTGAGGAGAAAGCACATGCTGATAAACAAAAGAAATGAACTCTGCGAAAGGATAGGGATTTCCGACTTCAGAAACCTAGAAAGGCTATTTCCCGACAAAAAGAAAGAGGATATAATGAATGAAATAGTTAGAATAAATGAGAGAATTCGGGGGCTTTCGGTGGTTAACCGGGTAGCAGTGTCCCAATGGGAAAGTTATATAGAGCAGAAGAATTCTATAAGAAAAAGACTTGAGGAATTGAAGGATGATAAACGGCACATAAGTGAATTTATAGCCGAGCTGGATTCTCGAAAAGAAGGCGCAATGGGAAAGGCCATGTCTGTAGTAGAAGAAGGATTTTCCGAATTCTATTCAAGACTCACGGAAGGAGGTAAAGCTGAGCTTTACTCATATGAATCAAGTATAGGAATTAAAGTTGGAAAGGATGTTGGAACAAGCCTACTTAGTGGAGGGCAAAAGGCTGTAGTAGCACTGTCTCTTATATTTAGTATGCAAAGAGTAAATCCCTCCCCTTTGTATGTATTTGACGAGATTGATGCCAATCTGGATGCCCAGAGTAGACAAAAGGTTTCAATGTTGATAAAAGAAATGAGCGAAAGAAATGGAAGCCAGTTTATAATAACGACTTTTAGAAAGGAGTTACTCAACTGCGGAGATAAGTATCTTAATGTTGAGTTCCGGGAAAAAAGAAGCAATATTAAGGATATCGATGCAGGAGTAGCCCATAAGTTCCTCGATGAAGACCTAGGGGAAAGATAAAGGTCTTGCACCTACAGGGCTTGTACTTTTCTAAAGCGAGTCGATTCCCCTAATTAAATGGGTGAAAATAAGGACTTTATTTCTCCGCTTGATTTAGCAAAAAGATTGAGATCTAACGTATATGATCCAGTTAAAACACTTTTATCGATTCAATGCTTAAGTCGTCCACTTTCCGTGGACAGAAGCCAAGTAAGAGCAATAAGAAGGCTTTCAAAGTTTCTTTTTAGTCTTTCCCTAGATAAAGAGGTGCTTGTTTCCTTGGCGTTCAATCCCGAAGCAGTTGATACATTTATGGATTTTGGTAAGATAGTTATGCATCGGGAGTATAACAAAATTTATTACTGCATTGATATTAAGCCATGAACAATTGTAGTAAATATCTCCAAGTTTCTTTTTTTGTGTAAAGGTTTTTTCATAAAATCAACCAAACCCTAATGCTGAAAGAGCTTATTGATGAAGATGACTTCTGCAGAAAGCTGAGGACATCTAAGGAGGAAGACTCAAAAACTGGTTTCTATAGGCTTTTTTATGTTTTATTGGACGATCCGTCTCTGCAAGTGTTGGAAAGCCTTCTTTCTAATTACACATTGCAGGATGTTGTAAACGGCCTCAAACACCTCATTAAGTTCAAATTCGATAGACTAACTAAGGAGGTCTATGCGAACATACTTCTTGTGGTCCGAATGATGCTGGACTATGAAGAAAACATAGACACGCTTATCATAAATCTTTTGCGGCACCATCTAGTGGAGGAAGTGTATTCGATGTACAAAGACAAGCCAAAGTATTTCAACAACCATCCAAACTGTCTATCATTCTTGGCGTTCTTTTGTGCTCAGAGTAGCACTAGAAGAGATGCTTTCGAAGCCAATCTTAGCACACGGGACTTCTTGTTTATGACCATAAAGGAGATGATGTCAGGCTCCCACTTTGAAGATCAGAAAAAAAAAAAGATAAAGAAAGAATCCATCCATGGAAGTTCTGAGTATCCAATCTTTCCATTTACGTCTTATTTTTCTTCAAAGAAACTCTTGCCGGCTCTGTTTATGCCAACATCTTTAAATATCCTATCTTCCCAGCTTTCTGTGGACTTGGAGATGAATATTATGTTTATCTTGGAGCATGACCAAAACTTTGACTTTCATTTAGAGCTCCTCTTCAAGAATCATATAAGAAACTTGGATGACGCATGCAGGGTCCTAAGATTTGTAGTTAACATTCCATATCCGCAGAATATTGGAAGGCTAGTTAACTCACTTCTAGACAAGTATCCGTCATCGTATATTGCAGTAATATATGATATGCTGTTCTGGAATCAAAAGGAAAGGTTAAATGGGAACCTGGTGGAGTATCTCAAAGGAAATAGTAACAAGATTGCAGAAAAAATAACTTCTCTTCAGGAAGAATGGAAACCATTGAAGCTAGCAATGGAAAGTATTAAAAAAAGGCAAGAATGCACAGTAGAAAGCATAACTAAGATGATTCATGGTCTCAACTTTCAAAAGTATTTTGGGCTTGTCAAGGAAATGGAAAAATGGGGTACTCCTATAGTTCCAAAAGAAATGTATGATAGAATTATATTAGAATCGTCTGAATGGGATGGGTATGCTCAGGTTTATCTATGGAAAATAATAGGGTTTCAGAAAATTTATTTAGGACTGGATGTTGACACACCAAAGAGAATAGAAAGTCTTGAGGGAATAGAGGGTTTTGAAATTATTAAGAGTCTCTCAAATATTAAAAAGAGAACTTGAAACATGTTTTTTATCTATAAAATTGATTTCCTTTTTAGAATTGTATCCAGATCATCCTTATGTTTTTTTATCTCAATTATGTGCTTTTTCAAAGAAAGTGCGTCATCAATCCTCAAATGTCTTAAACAAATCAGATATCTCAAGTTTATAGCATTCAACTGTTCATCAATAAGATCCATCATTGACTTTATTCGTACTACAGTCCATTCGTTTACTGTGCTTGCTCGAATCTTCAACTTTATGCTGTTAAGTATAAGTATCTCCTCATGGCTTAGTCCCGTGGGCTCCAAAGTAAGAATTTTTCCAATTAGGTCTTGCAGAGGACACCTTGAAGAGATGCCTAGGAGCTTAAGGCACTCATCTTCGTTTTTAGAGAGAAGTTTTGATTTCCCAAGGCTTTTTGCTCTTATAATTTGAAATATCTTGGCATATTCAACAGCAATAGAAATTTTGAAGTCTGCTGGAAAAGGATGTAGTCTACAAAAACATGCCCTACACACAATGTCCTTAATAGGCATCCTCCTGCTGCACAGAGAGCAGCTCGTAGATTTTGGCTGCTTACTAAGATATTCGAAAATTAGTTTTTTCTGGAATAGACGTTCTTCCATCTTTATATTCCTCAGAACCTTAAATGCATCCGTCCAGCTGATTATCATGATTCTTTTAAATGGCTGTTTGAGCGTTTGATTTATTATTTAGATAGAAACCTGTTTCAGGGGAGAAACTGCCATTCCAGGATTGGAAGAATTTTATTGAAATGCTTTAATCGGTTTTCTTATTGCTTTCAATTACATCTTTTTTGCTCAATTCACTTTCGGCAACAGTTTTGACGGCGTCGGTTGCTTTTCTCACCGCATTTTCAATTCCACACTCTTCTCTGTACCAGCTCTCTGGAATGCGTGCTAGTATGTTATCATAAATGATTATTCCCCCATGGAATCTAAGAGGACCTGCCCATAGAAGGAAAAAGAACTTTATAGTGTACCATAAGGGAATAAGACTGATAACTGTGGTGGAGTAAGCATCTAAGGATGTTAGGATTCCAAAGACCATCCAAAACACTAGCATATGCTTTCCCTCTTCCTTTTTTGGGTTGACCTGCCTCAATATAACAAGGGTTTCTTGAAGAGGAACAATTATCCCGATGGTGGATGTTACTAATGGACCAAGAGATGTTGTCATGATAATTACCAAACAGAGAAAGCTTATTCCAAGCAGAGCATACTCCTTCCTGATGTTCATACGCTTCTCAAAGGCATCCAGAATAGGAATCTTCTCAGCTTGTTTTCGCAAACAATCCATTTTCAGGGCCTATTTTTAAACAAACATATAGGAAATTTTGGATTTTATTGACCCTTGGATTTAGAATTTCTTATTTTCATAGCCTGAAATGGCGCTTTCTTCTTCGAGACATAGTTTCTTTATGGACATGGCCTTAGATCAAGCCGAAAAAGCATTTGATCAGCTGGAAGTTCCAGTGGGTTGTGTTGTTGTTAGAGATGGAATTGTAGTATCAAAATCCCATAATATGACAAATGCTAACAAATCTCCACTTGATCATGCCGAAGTTATCTCTATTAGAAGTACAGACTGTTCCAATAGTACATTTTATGTAACTTGTGAGCCATGTATCATGTGTATGGGCATACTAGGGAGGTTGAAGGGAGTTAGGGTGTACTATGGATGTAAGAATGAAATCTTTGGAAGTGAAACCATATGCGGGGTTGGGATAGAAAGTACGTATCTTCCGGATGATCGATGCTTTAAGATACTGCAGAAATTCTATTCTAGAGAAAATGCATTTGCTCCTGATGAAAAGAGAAAGTTGAAGAACCGCTAATGAGAAGAGGATCGTTGATATCGCCTATCTTATTGATTTCAGAATAGACAGTAAGCTTTCTGATGGCAAGTATCTGGGGCATATGAAAGCGTGAGAAGAGACCCCCGTGTACGAGGGAAGAGTTACAGTTGGATCAGAGATAAATTTGTCATTCCTGTTGTCATTTCCAAAAAAGTATGAAGCCTCTGCATCGAGTTTAGATACAATTTCATTTATCTGGAGACAATTCAAAATAGAGCATTCGTCCAAAATCAGGTCTGCCGTCGCTCGAGACTCAACAAGATTGATAAGCCTTATTATAGCTGTAGTATGAGATAGGTTAAACATCCCCTCCAGATAGTTTATGCTCCTGCAGAACTTATCTATTTCGTTTATGTTGTAGTTTATCTGGACGCCTCTATTGAAAGACAGGAAATTCTTTTTAACAAGGATCTCGTTGAAAACAGAAATATTGATGGTCTTCAAAAGATAATTGATGGACTCCATGATATATGGGTCTGGAATGTAATAGTAGGACATCTGGTGGTAGAAATATTCCAAGAGATGTATGAGTTTGGAGATGTGAGGAGGTTTGAATAGTTTTTTGAAATATCCCTCGCTACACTTGAATTTGGACAGCTGCTGGTGTTCTAGGACAGCATGTGGCAGGACTTCAAGAAGAAAGCTTCTTTGAAGCTCGCAAAGATGTTTGAACAGAATGGATATAAGGCTCTTAACTTCTTCCACATTGTTAACACCGTATCCACGAAGTATGTTTTCATATTCAATGAGATTTGATAGTATAAAAGAAACCTTATGTATGTTTCTTTCAAACATATGTAGTTGAAGATTGATCTCATTCATCATACAAGCAGTACTTTCCACTATATTCTTCCCAAGCTTGTTTACGGCATAGAATGCAGAATGAGCAAGCCCTAGAATTTCAGGTTTTGGCACTTCCTCATTAGAAAATGTAGGGACAAATTCCAGATAAAGCTGTACCAAGCAATTGAACACATTGTAGGCATTGGTAAATGATACACTCATGTGGGAGTCGTCATCCTCCTCTTTTTCGGAAAGGCGTTTTTCCAGGTCCTCAACCTTTGCCTTGTATTTCTCAAGTTCCAGTTCAATCATATTTTTTTTCTTTAAAGCTTCACTTTGAAATCTATACTTCAGTTCAAGAGATTTACAATTCCTACAAGGAGCTTCGCAGAACTTTTTATACTTTTCTATCTTTAACTCCAAATCCCGTATGATTTCTTTGTAGCTTCTCTGTTTTCTATTATCTTCCTGTGCATTGCAGGGATCTGTAGTATTATATCCTTTATCTATCATAAGCTCTACAGAATTGCTTTCAATCGAAACAGAGCTTTCTGCGACCACAGGCTCATTTACAAACATGATTCTTTGCTTTTTATCACAGTTATGGTTATTCAAATAGCTCCTCAATGCATTCTTTATATTTCTAAAACATTCTTCATAAAATAGAGATCTACGAATCTCTAAAATCCTTAGGCTCTCATTACTCATGAAGTATCTGCTCTTCCCTTTTTTCACCGTCACCATTTCAAATGTGGTGGATCCAAGGACTTCGTAACGGGTTTCAAACTCGTTCTTTTGTATCTCCTGAGGGAAACATTGCTTACTTATTCTTATTGTTTCTAGGACACCACACTCGGCAAGTTGCTTTGCTATCAATGGCCTGTCAAATAGCTTTGGTTTCTTCTGTGCATTCGGCCTTATACATTTAATATACTTTGTCTGTGTTTCGTTTATAGAATGAAGCAGATTGTTCATGGAATCTTTAAAGTACTTAACCAAATCTTCCTTATTTTCTTCATGAATAATAAGGGGATTTTCGAAAATTTTCAGGTTTCCTCTTTCTCTGTTCTTGTCTAGAAAAGATCTTAAGTCGTATTCTACATCTCCAGCATAGTGAGACACAACTATCTTGTCGTCGGCCTTGGTTCTAATATTTCCTTTTAGATAATTTTTTATCTTCATACTTAGGTTCTGAACATTTCCCCAGGCATTAAAACTCTCCTCACTTATTAAATCCATAAGTCCACAAGGCTTCTCAAAGTCTAGGATACATTGATTGTTGTCAAAGAACTCAACATCTCTCCATTCAATTCCCTCTTTCTTGTACATTTCTTGTTTTCCTCGGAAAACCTTCCTAATAAAATCATTCTGTATCTTTTCGTTCGTCCAGTTTATGCAAAGCTGATCAAGCCCGTTCTTTTCAAAAATCTCAAATCCGAATATATCTAGGACAGATATAAAAAGCTCTCCATTCCCGCTCAGGCAGTTATTTATAGACGATGTAATATAATTGAATATATTGGAATACAACAACCGAGCCATCGAGTTTCTTATTGTAACTGCTTGTTTCAAAGTGTTGAAGACTTCAATGGTTTCTCCCTTAACTTGAATAGAAAACTTGACAAGAGATTCTTCAAATGCATCCTCTTGAATATCATGAAGCTTACAGAATTCTTTAAAACATTCGTTCCTCACAACCTTCAAAATCCCATCTCCTCCAAATTGAATGGATCCTAAATATAAAATTCCTAAAAGACAATCTTCAATCTTGTTTATGCAAGCCACCCCCACACTTTCCATTGCCGAACGTGTTGCCGCGTATTCTTTTGACAAACGCATAGAATATTCCTTATTTCCTACAAGACTTGAAGTGTCAATAAAGTCGTTCTTAAGATTTAAACCTTTAGATGCACAGAATTGGTAGAATATATGAAAGTTTTTTTCTCCAATTTCATGGTGCGTTACTCTACTTTTTTCGAGGAGATATGTTTCAAATTTGGCTCCTGTTATTTTTCCATTGAACATTACCTTAATTCTCTTTCCAAACCTCGAACTATTGTCATTAAGAATTGTCTGGGCATTTCCAAATGCCTCTAAAATAGCATTTGCTGCTGCTATGTTCCTTTCGATCGAGGCACTACTTGCAGTTCTCTCTATCAAGTACTTTATAATCAGCTTTGCGTTTTCGGTTTTTCCCGAACCTGATTCCCCACTAATCACAATAGTTTGGTTTCCATGGATAAACAAATCCTGATATGCAGACTCTGCCACTCCATAAATATGTGGATAGCTATAAGCATAATCAGCAGGCGACTGCATGATTTCTTTTATAGAAGGATTGAGGTTTTCGTACGGATTAAGAGCTAGAAATACCAGCCCTGATCTTGTATAGATCTTCCCAGATGCATATCTCTTCTCAAGTATGTCGGAAATAACATTTCCATCCAGATCTCCTAGTTCGCATAGGTCGTCGTTTTCCATCTTAGGACATAAGGACCTCTTCTTTTGTTTTCTAAAGGACCAATAACCTCTAAAAGCGCTGATTGAAAGAGATTTAAACAGTTCCAGAACCAATGAAATAAAATCTAACGGTGAACCATTTAATAGAACTGATAGCAGCAACGCCAAACAAATCATCTGATGCTCTATTTGTCTTTAAGACGTTCTAGGTACATGTTTAACTACTACATCTAATTTCTTTTCAAAGTATAAAAGGCTGCACAAGAGATCGTCATCATTTTCAAATATTACAAGCGAATCCTTGTCCTTAATAAAGAGGGAAAATTCATTGTAATGGTCTAAACTCACAAAATCAAGACTCTGAGATGGGAGAAAATGGCTTCCAATCTTCTTGATTACGCTTTTCTTAAAGTCTGAGAAACACATACTTGCAAGAGGAACTAGAAATTTCAAATCAGCAAATTCCACAAGTGCCAAGCCCATTATGTCATTCTGACTCATAATTCCCCCAAGCTTTTTGGCCTTGAATATACGAAAGATTTTTCTTTTATCATCCGATGCACATGGTATCTTTATCCACACTCCGTTTCTCAGGCCGAACTTCAAACCTTCTCTATTTTTTTCAACTCTCAAAATGTTTTCATAAGAAACTTCCCCCACTTTTCGATCTTTATAGAGAATCGTAAATCTATCGGGGTAAAAGGATGTGGAATAATCAAGGGTCTTGGATCTAAATTTATATCTGCCCTGTATGGTTGCTAATATGCTGCTATTATTTTCGGAGTTCATAGTTTTCCCGGTTTCTGTTGTTTTCAATAGTAATTACAAAACCATTAGTTTCAACTTAATCAGAAATAAAACAAAATAAGACCGAAGATCCTTATGGAATATACCGCCAAATATCGGAAATTCCCTCCAAGGATAGATATAATTCACGGAACTCAAAGGGGATAATGATAGATAAAATAAGATCATTTCTTCCATCTCCTAGGTCGCTGGAGCCATTAGAGCCCTTGAAAAAGAGAGTTAAAAGGAAGGAACGACCTTCAAAATGCATTCTCTCAAGATCAATCTACGAGGAAACAGACCTTTCAAGACTCACACCCAGGCAGAGATTGCTTCATCAAAAGTATCAGGAAAACAAAAATAATGTATCAAGCTTTTTTCTTCTTTCAAACAATATCCCAATAGAAAGACATATTGATATCAAACCAAAAAAATTGAATGAAGAAGCTCCTAGTAAATCTACGGATAAATCCATAGAACTTGATTGCGAAGCCAATTGGAAGGTTAGAGATGGCAATAGCCTACAGGAAGAAAAGAACTTTTTAATTTTAACTAGTGACCTGTATAATAGCTCGTACAAAGATATTGAAGAGGAGCAAAGCTCATCAGAAAGTAACGATGAGGTGATAGAGGCAGCAGAAATAGAATCTCCCTTTCGTAGTAGGATACCCGAAAATGCTAGTGATAAAGATCATCATATCTGCAAAGATTGTTTCAAAGATGCCGTGGAAATATATTACATCCTTGAGAGGATAAGTGATGTACATAAGTGTAGGCTCAAAAACTTTATATTACTTCATAAGTACAAAATACGGCAAAACTTCAAAAAAAAGCTATGTTTCAGTACAATCAGAAGAGAGGAAACCGCATTTATAAAAACATTGGAGAAGGTTGAATGTTGTATGGAGAAACCTAGGTTTTAAGAGCTACTGAAATTTTGATATTAAGTAAAACCGTTTATTTATTTGCCTATTTCCTTTTCTTCAAACTCAATAACACTTTCAATTTCTTGAACTATAGGTCCTTCATCTTCTAGTCGCGTGATTCTTGTTATCTCAAAATTCTTTTCATATCTGTCCGAGGAATTATCAAATAATTGATCCCTTATGGGACAGAACATAGATATCAGAAGCATATCAAGTATTAATCTGGCTCCCAAGCTTAAACTTTGCTGGATTTGATGGTGTAAGTCTGTCATTTCAAATGGGATTGCCACTGTGTTAATAGTATAAGTAAGAAACCCGTGGAACATGAGGCAGAAGCTTAATAGATTCGTACTGTCAAGAGACTTGTACTCAGATAGAAAACTGTGTTTTGTTCGGAGAATCAGAAGCAATGCCACAGAAAGATATACCTCATTCCCAAGGAGAAATGATTCTATAAAAACTGCAGTCTTCTCCCCCATCAGTCTTGATCTGCTATAGTAATAATACAAAAGAGCCGGGGCTCTTAAGATTGCATATATCTTAGAAAATGTAACAACAGACGTGTTAAACATGGACTTGGCCACAAAGGTTCTAGTCCCAGTCGAGCTGGACTTAAATATATCAAAAGGCCTATCTCCTCCATTGAATACCGAGTATGCACAAGGCCCCCAAAGCCCAATCAAAAGAAATACCGAAGACATCCTCAAGATTCTGGACCCGATAAGGGAAATATTCAAAAGATACACAAGATCGGCTTTGAAATCCTTGTATCTTACTGGATAGTTTGCATCAAGCCATCCAACAAGCTCTATGTTTGCTTTGTCTATTTCAAGTTTAGTGCTGAGATACGTAACAATGCATATGTAAATTCCAGATAAAAATATAGAGGACAGCGCAAAAATGGAGCCAAGACTTCGTAATTTTCCTCTAAATATATTGTAACTGGGCATAGTACTCCTTGTAGATCTCCAAACCGCAAAGACAAGAAGTAGTAGGGAAAACACTGCTTCATTTGTGTACGAAAGAATCTTCGTGTTGTCTAAAAAACCATCGTCCTCCATTTATTTACATTAAGAGCTCTGCTTTATAACTCCCGTGTTTCAAGTTAAAACATGTATTAAATGTCGAAATATATATGCATTTCTGAAAGGGATTTTTCCATATCTTTGTTTCCTGTATATTAGTCTTGTACGGCAGTTCATTCCAGCAATTAATCAAAGAATAGAGAGTATGCAAATCTCTTCTTTCTCTGAATGCTATGGAAGGAAAATTCATATCAACTTGTACTTTGTAGAGTCATCTTATTATTTCTTTATTGAGTCCTTCTTATAGCCCACTTCAAGAGGTTCTTAATGCATTTCTTTAAGGCGCATAATATCGAAGATTTCTTATATTTATTAAAGATTGTTTCCTATAATATTAAATTTATAAAGTTTTCGAGAAGGAACTAGTTAAAGATATTAGAGGTTCCCTTCAGATAGGGTAATGACCTGAAATAAAAGATAAAATGTAAAAGATTGTATTTTATCAAGACTCTTGTTTATTCAAGTAGGAAAATTCAAAGAATTTTTTTAACAGCAAGAGAGAAGAGATTTTTGGTAATGAAGAGGAAGAAAAGAAGTGATATGAATAGATAAACTACGGTAAGAACGGTGAAAATAAGAACAAAGAGGATTTGTCTCCAGGGAGTAGTCTCAATATTCTTTGGAGGGGAATATTTGAACCTGAGAAACTTGAATAGGGTAAAGAGAAAGAGGAAAAGGTGGAAGAGAAGGAGATGGTTTCTTTTAAGGAAAAAAATTAAAAGAAGCGAAAAACCAGCTAGGGCATCGATAGCAGAGCCAGAGAATTGAATGGTGCTGGGAATAGGAGATAAAGAGGTAAAGAAGAAGTAGGTAATTGACAGAAGGAACAATGAAGAGGAAGAAAGAACTTTGATGTTCTCTGGTTTGAGAAGAGGAAACATAAAAATTAAAAGAAAGGGGAGGATGGAGAATAGAATGAGGAGAAACTTGAGAACTGAATGGAGGATTGAATGGAATATAGACATCGTGTTGGAGTTATTGATGGTAGAAAATAAGCAGAAGTTTAGAAAAGTTAACTGAAGCAGTGGAATAGCAAAAAATAGGAATCTGATAAAGGAATTGTCCTTAAGGGTATTCTCCCCAAAGATTAGAAACATGAGTAGAGGAATTAAGATGGATATAGAGGTACCGAGGTGGCTGTATAGATCTGGAGACCAATAGGATTCCCGTTTAGAGTTCTCATGATAGGTGTACATAGGTGTAGAAGCCAACTCAGTAATGAAAATTGAACTCATATTCATATG